ATGCATGGCCACAGCTGCGGATCCCCCCCACCACCGGCCCCGCCCCGCTCATGACCGCGGGAAAAGTCAAGGTCATGGTCACGGCCGCCTTTTTGTTCTGCCGGATTTCGAACTGGCCGTTTGGTGACATGACTTGGACTGGTAGGACTGGTGGGATGGGGACTGGCATGGACTGGACTGGGACTTGGACCGAGTGGAAATGATATATGTAGCTAGCTATCTCTAGGCCGGACCCCTAACCCGCGGGACCACTTCACATCACATCACATCACTCACTCCTGGCTGGCTACGCTACCTGACTGGGTGAGTATCGAATTTGCTAGATAAAGAAAAAAAGCCCCCTTATTTTTTCTTTATTTCTTTTATTTTCTTCATTTCCTTGCTTTCTTGCTTCCCGTGCTGTCTTTACTCCGTATCTTAGTTGGCCCTGCATGTAAAAAAAACCAATTCTTCCCCCGTACCGCGTACATACTATCTCACCCGCAGTACATACTCTACCTGCAAATGTTTTATATTTACACATGTACATAACTTATTTGCCCGAGAGGACACAAACCGTGGAACCGGCTGATCCATGATCCACCGCCCGCATCCCCCCGTACCGTCAGCACCTGGTAAAACCCCCAACCCGACCCAATAGGGCCCAAGTATCTTATTTATTTATTTCATTTTTTTTCATATATATAGAATATAATTCTCCCTGCATAACCACAAATAGACAAACAGACAGCTAACGTTGTACATGCATTTCATCCAGAAACAGCTGTCACGGCGCCTCATGCTCATGCTCACGCCTCACCAGCGGCCGGGCCCTGTACCCGCGGGTGCTGCTCCCGAGCTTTTCACCCGGCCGCCTCCTCGCCCCATCCCATGAGCAGGTTTCTCCCACCACCGACCCTGGGTGTCTCTGATAAGGGTCCTGCAAGTGGTGGAGGGGTGAAGGGGGGGGGGGGGGAGGGGTGAGGGGTGATATGGAATCCGACCGCTTGCACAATCGTTTCCTGTCACAGCAAACCGGGCCGTGGGGAGTAGTCTACGAGTACTACACTCACTACACTGCGTGACTACCACATGTCTACATGTCTACTTCGGGGCAAGGTCAGAACGCAGAAGGAAAGAAGAAAGCACAGAAAGAGGAAAAAACAGCCAACACAGCCAGTTGGCCAGTCGGCACAGGCCAACCTCTTGCCTTCGGGATTCAGGCCGGCCACGCATGGGTTTGGCGTGAGGGCGGGTGGGTAGAGTGCGGTAACGAGGGCCCCTCATGATGTGATGCAAGATCAGATCCGGAAAGAAAGAAAGGGGGAAGGGGGGGGGGGGGGGCAAAAAACCGGTATTCGGTTTGCTGTTAGGTAAACCCCGGCGACCTTGGGGGGGAGGGGAAGAGGCGGGCGGTATTGTAATTGGAGATGGGAGATATGGTATGGTATGGGTGGGAATGAAATGCTTACTGATCTCGGCCGGAGAAGCAGAAGAAAGGAAACGAAACATACGGCAGTGTTACAGTACAGTGTGATCATATCGACATGTCAGCGCGGGGCTAACTGGGCTTGTGATGGGGAGGAGAAGAAGGAGAAGGAGAGGACCAATCGCTCTGGTTGGCAGAAGTACTACGAAGCCTATAGATCGAGTGATCTGGAGGTTACTCATTAGCAATTGCGCAATTGAGGTTGCACTTCCTCTCTCTTTTTCACTCTCTCCTCTCCTCTCCATCTCTATCTCTCCATAGGATAGATAGTCTACAAATTAAAAAAAGATTTCCCCCTCATTGATCATGCAGCGCAGTGTGCATTTCACATACAATAGAAAAGGGGGCTACAGAGTCCACGCATTGGTGAAAATTTTCCTTCCCCGCAATTTCATTTTTTGCAATGTCATGTCACTGCCAGCCATATTGAAAACCCGCGTCGAGTGATGCCAGCCGCCGAGTGACCGCGCATGACGCTCGCTAATCTGCGCCCCGCCTTTTGCGTTTTGCGTTGGCCGGGGATTGGTCGCAGCGCAACGCACGCACGGGTTGTTGCAACACGCGAGGGAAAGTTGGAACATCGGAAAGGCAGCGGCATCCGCTGAAGGAGGATCAGCTTTTGCTTTTTTCTCTCTGTGTTCTTCCCTTCTTTGTATTTTTTTCTACCTATCTCCAACAAACCACACAGAGACACCACAAATCAAAATGGCCACAGACACGCACAATGACGTCTCTGCCGTCTATGAAGAGGAGTTCACCTTCACCCCGGCCTCCATCCCCGCCTCCCTGACCGCCACCTTCACGCCCAGCTTCGGGTCGCTGGCAAACAGTGTGCGCCGGTCGTCGCGGGGCCTGCGCAACCGGCTGCACAGCATTGCGCGCGACGCGGCCTTCGTGGAGCGCGTGCGCGCGGCGTATGGCGTGCCGGTGGTGACGAATGCGCGCGCGGGCGACTGGTATGTGGATCCCGCGCGCAGGCAGGGCGGCGTGTATTTTAAGAGCACGGATGGGCATGTGGGGGAGTGGATGTTTTCGCTGAGGAGGTTGAATTTGGGGTTACTGGGGGTGTTGGAGGGGGCGGGGGCCGTGGGTGAGTTTTTGGTAGTGGTTTAGAGATAGTTACTTAGATATATGTGAAGTGAATGTGTGCTGAGTGTGAGTGGTGTTTCGTAGAGCAATTATCGTGGACTCGACACGGAGAGGGAAAAGGTTTGATACAGCTTCCTTTTTGAAACTATCTCTATTGTAGAACCACTAGCTAAGTATATACCCAAACCAAAAGGTTCCCCGACTCCCTCTCAAAAACAATCCCCATCTGGATCGCAGTCATGAACAAGATTGTCATCCCCTCGCAGCCCAGCCCCTTCCTGCAGAATCCGCAAGCCGTCCCCGACAGCGAGGCAAGCAGCATCAACAAGAAGCTACAGGGCTTCGTCGACGACTTCCTCGTATGTTCTGGCATATCTATCATTGACCCCTCATCACAGCTATATAGCTATGTAGTATAGTATAGTAATATATCAAATGCATATAGGCACTGGGTCTAGACCTTACACCTATAAAACGGGTCATCACGAAACCCCTGAGGCCGATATGGATAACACCAGACTCACCACTCCCAGAGACACCCCCGGTATTTGAAGAGTTCATCCCACTGCTGCTCGTCACGGCCTCGCAGATGGTGAAGGGCGGCGGCATCGAGGGCGAGTACATCCAGGGTGCCGGCGACGACCACGAAGGGTGGGCGCTTGTAAGCTGCACCTATAAGTGTCAATATGATCATTTCCCATATTCTGATATCTGATAATGTGTATGTATAGGAATCCGGCCTCACCCCCGCCCTCTTCTGGGCACACCACAAAGCCCTCCTCGCAGCCCGTAACGACGACGGGCTGCTAGAGCTTACACATGCCATTGTCTCTTCTACTACCTCCATAGCCGGCGGTGGAAGCTCGCTGGTTAAGCCCACCGGTGACATCTATATCGGTGCTGTAGGCGCAGAAGGGACCGACTCTTACGACATAATCATAAACTGCACCCCGACCCCCATCACCGCCGCTGCTGCCCCCAACACAGCAGGTAAATGCCAGATCATCCCATTTCCAATCCCCGAGGGTAAAAAAGGCACAAAATTTCTACGCAGTGAGCTACCGGGCGTGATGGCGGCGGTGGAGAAGTGCGTGGCGCAGGCGCAGGAGGGGAAGAAGATACTGGTGGTGTGTGCGTCGGGGAATGAGGTTGCGCCAGCGGTGGCGCTGGTGGTGCTGTGTTTGTACTATGATGACGAAGGACGCTTCCGCGGGCTGTTGACGGTAGAGGAGAGGGCGGGGGTGGATAAAGCGTACATCAGAAGACGGCTGGCGTGGATATCTGCGTCGAGGGTGGAGGCGAATCCGGCGAGGGCGGCGCTGAATGCGGTGAATTCGTTTTTGATGGAGAGGCCGGCTTGATCGGTTGTGCTGCTGTGTTGGCAATATCATTGCGTGTTTCTTGTAGAATACATAATCTACAGTTTGGGGGTATATCTTAGCTAGGGTATGTAATGAAACCGGGAGTGTCTACGATGAACTATTTGGTGCTTAATTGCATGATGTGAGTAGAATTAGCTATCCCAGCCTACCGTATCAAATATATCCGTGTATATAGGGATTTATAAAGCTCATCAAAGTCCCCTCATTATCTGCGAAGGCTTAAACAAGCCCACCTATTATCTCCATGGCTATTCCTTGCCCGTACCTCCCGCCGCTCTTGGTAGAACGATTTCTTGTAATAGCGATCATTGGCCCGCAGATCACCGGTATGTATTGAAAGTTCGACCCAGGCCGAGTAAGGTGGGGCTTTGGCCTGGCATAGCTTGAGAGGGGTTGTGGATTGTATTGGGGCGTTTATTTGATAATAGGGAGCGGTGATGGAGCTGGCTAGCTGGGGTGCCGGTGCGCTATGTACGGGTAATGACCGATGTGTCCGTAAAAGATGAGGTGTTGTGTTCTGCGGATCGGATCATTGCAGACTGGTGGGAAACCGTACTAACTATCACAATACGATGAAACCAGTAAGGTTGGCCATTCTATTTTTCTTTCCTTCCCGGTCATTTCCCCTTAATTGTGTTATCACAATCATATTGATATTGATAAACAGAGGTCAACAAAGATACACGCTAATTGACCAAGCTATTGTATACTAGAACACTCTCTGATCGATGAATTACACTAGATCCCCCACTCCGAAATCTGAGACATAGATCCGCCCAGCAAATGTTATAATTTCCCAGCTAGCTCAGAAGCCGAATTAGCCAGCTTGGCCAAATTAAAGCCACCAAAAAAGCCACTAGTGGGTTGAAAAGTTTAGCGAGACAACTCCTAAAGTCCCATAGAGCGATGATGCTGGCGTTCAAGCCCCGAGGATGATGGGAGGGCTTGCCGGTTCTCCATATAGCGGGTTATGTTTGGGATTTTCAGTGGGGGGATGATAATTCTATGTATCGACTGCTCTTTCCTTCCATCCTCATCGTATCGAGAGCCGGTATTATGCCCTAAAAGGAACGCCTAGTGGGGTACGTGTATTCTACTGGGTGCGCCTTTGCTCTAGGGGTATTGTGGCATGGATTTGGTGCCCCAGTTAAGTATACAATGATGTTGTAATTTCTGCGCAAAGACACATGTACCCCCAGCATGACCAAGAGACAATGCATTGCATTGACACTATGTACTTTAGGGCGTAGGGTCTGAAGTGTCTGCAGAAGCTGCGATAAAGGCCCAGGGACGAGACTAGGTCTAGAGCACCTACTTTGAGCGCTGAAAATAATCTCTCTTCTGGTAGATATAAAGATATTTTTAACCTTGCAATCTCGACATGTAAATCTTGTACTAATCTCATGGGAGGAGCCGCGTGATGATTCGTGTTACTGCAGCCACAAAACAGATACGAGGCTATGAATAGGTTCTCAAGTACTTTGATCATCTTTCCTACCGGCGCCAATTTCAAACTCCAAACCTCCAAGTCCACACCTCCAGAATATCACCAGATAATAATACAACAAGGATAGATAATCTGCCAAAAAAATAAATGGGTATTGGGTTAACCTTTGTTATACACGCGCGGGAAGATACCAAAGGCTAGGAGGAAAATAACAGACGACCGTACCAATGAATCATGTAAGTTCTATTATGAGTAAGATGTTAAGAAATGATTAGTCCTCGTCTTGAGGGTGCAGAGAAAATATTGGGCCAACGCTAGTATTTCCATCAAAAACTAAAAGATTTTGTAAAGGTTGTTCTCGTTTTCCAAGAACATTGATCACATCTTGGGCCAGGATGCCACCAAGAATTGCAGAAATTGGTGTCAATTCGGAAGTGGCGTTCTCGACGAATGAGCTAAAGGTTGTCAATAACTGAACTTCCTGCTGAAAGGAATATTTTTGGAATTACCTGATGAAGGAGGACTGGACGATTTCCTCAGGAAGATTGAGTTGGCGATTAGCTTCTGTCAGAAGCTTTGTGAACTCGGCAAAGTCGTTCTTTGTGCATTCCGGGAGACGTCCATGTTGTTTTTGAAATGCCCACATTGCTAGCACCAATCAGCGGAAAGCCCACAAAGCGAATATTTGTGTTACCGGAAAAAACTAACCACTAACGCCTGGCAAAACTGCTGGAACAGTTTTCCGTTTTCTTATCTTCCAGGTCTTGTCGATTTCACAATTGAGCACCTCTACAAGAGGAGTGTAAACCTCTTCTTTTGTCACAAACTCAATGGTCTTCTCGCCTTCCTTTTTTTCGGTGACTCCGATGACCGTGCGTGTTGCTGATTCCTTTTTCAGATCTGTCTTCATATTCGATTTCTCACGCTCACTGAGATAGGTTTGTTAGTAAATAATGAAAATGTGGGTTGTGCAAGGATTGGGTTGAAAAATACATGACAAAAGAGTGCTTTATTAAGTCCGCAAAAATATAGCCGTATAGACCGTAGGTTGCTGCCGCGTAGAAAGGACGTCCGCATTGTCGTGTTGAGAAGTTGATCAAGAGCTAAAGAAATTAGCACGAATAAAGACGCCTAAGAATTATGATTTTACCAAACTATCTAAGTCCAACTCAGTCGCAATGACAATGTCAAACTGCTTAAAATAGCTAGAGTCTTTTGTCTCAAGCTTGGATGTGTCTACATGTACCGGTACACGAGGATTTAAGCGTTGTATAGCTGGTGCAGCAGCTTCGGCTCTCTAGCAAAAAGAGACGTCAGTTGGAGCTCCAGAAGTTGAACGTATAGCTAGCTTTACAAACATACGTTCATGCCAATATGTTCTTCTCCGATGAAGAATTGTGCGCCGAGGTCATCCTCGTGGACAACTTCCGAATCAAGAACTGTGAGGGAGCCAATCCCCGCCAGAACAAGATTTTTTGCAACTTCGTTTGCGAGTGACCGAATTGTAATGAGGAGAATGTGGGCATTGCGCATTCTAACCAGCGTAAGATAATCAGTCATAAGATAAACGTAGGAGCTTTGAAGCTCCATGAATATCCGGAAAACTCACCGTGCCTGAGCTTCCATACCCCAGAGTCGAATCTGGCGATCATATAGAGCTACCTCATCTACAGAAAAGTCAGAGAAGCCGGTCTACAGGACGAAGTAACTGAGGATCTAGGTCTTACCAGCTGATATTGTTTGAGCTTCTGCGATGGCAGCAACCGTCGCTGAAGCTGAATCTCCCATGTCTAGTATGGGAACATCTTCTTCTAGAGCTGGGGAAACCATAATGCGAGCTTAATGAGGTTTAACGTCGTAAGTGCCCGTGGAGTCGCGTAGAGCGCGTTATTGAAGTTTGGCTTCATTCAGCCCTGCAGGGTAACCATGAAGATTGAATCCAGTCACATGCGATAAGATACGATAAGATAATAATGCATGCACAATGCGGATGACGTGAATGAAATATGATTCGAAGCTACATTTACGTGTAACGGTGCCACAGCTCCAAGAGGGCTTGACGGGCTTAAATTTACCTCGTGAGTCTCCTGAAACAATGGGTTCCTGACGTGCATTGTGAATTTTGTTTGTCATTGCAAGCACCAATCAGAGTTCAAGGGGGTGTAGAAATGACGATGCCACCCTAAACTAGTGGCCCAGTGATCAGCCATCTCGGAAGCTTACCTATGAGTGTCCACTTGAAACTCTTACGATCCATTCATCTCAACCCACAGTTAGACACTGAGATAAGATCCTAACTCCATTCTTTATTCCTTTACTCATCGAGATAGTTCCCCACCTAAAGCCGAGGCTCATCAGAAAACCTAAAAAAACCTTCAAGAATCCCAATTATCCTGTGAGCTTGGACCACCTAGTTTGTGATGGTAGGAAATCCCCGATCTTCCTGATCGTGGGCCATTACTAAACAAGGATTTAACGCCCAGGAAAACTCATCACGAAGTCCCGAAAACTCATCCATTTTTCCAAATGCGAGCATTCGCTCTGGAGCCAATTTGGTGAGACCAAACCGTTTTTTACCACGCTTGGGGCGATTCCAACATTCGCCTTCTGCGTTCTATAATTTAAGGAGCGAGCATGAACGTCGGAGACGGCGCATAACCAGTCAGCAGCTACAGCAGCCGCGATCGCTCAATATAGGCCAATACATCTCTACAAACAAACGTCGCCGGGTTGAAGAAGAAGGCCAGGCCGAGATGACTCAAGTTCCTTTGGAATTGCACTCTTGCGATGGAGGTAGTTACGATGGCGATCGATATTATAATTATCCCAGCACAGAATACTGTCCGGAGAATGCTTTGCGTAATGACGGCTCTGGTCTGATACCGGAAAGCTACTAAGGGACTGAAGAATATATACTAATGGAATACATCAGTTTACTGCACGAAAAACTCCCGCTGTAACATGATCCTTCAGCACGTCGACAAGAAATGCTTCACCCTTCAGAGACTGGTAATAAGAGCTCCTTCATCAGGCTATACCTCTCCGTAAGTTGTGTCCCCTCGGGGATAATGGAGCAACCATCTTGCTGAACCTATTGTTGTTAATTCTCAGCGATAGTGTTCGCGAAGGCATGATTTTTGTGACCATGGACGACAATAACTTACTCACTCGTACAAACTACTCGATCCGCTACGAAGATTATAATGATGAGCGTGAAGATGATAGTGAGGATGAGATCGAGAATCGTCGAGCTATTAGACTGCCCCAAGCAGACCCCTGTGACACAACCCAAGAGGATCGTGAATCTCAGCCTTTGATAGAGTCTTCAACAACTCCTGGTTTACTCTATAGAGGACGTACCGCAATCAATTTAAGAGATACCGATGTGGGTCCGTCAAGAATCGAAGCAACTCCCGATGCAGCAGGAATTGCCGCACAAATACCACTTCTTGAACCTCATGCAACGTTTTACAACCGTGATAATAAGAATAAATGCGTCATCAACTTTGAACCCGCTATGTACGTTTCATATATTCTCTAATGTACGCGTTGGGAATGCTTAAGCTAATGGAAGCAGTTCTGGGAGGTTCATTCTGGCCAAGTTCTTTGCAGGCCATATGGATGACAACATAGACATCGAATTTATTGGGGCCTATGGTTATGTCGGAAGGCGGTTTTTCCCAGCAACCACCCCACGGTGACGCAGTTTTATCAATTTTTCGTTACACGGGGATTTTCTTTCGAGAGATTGGTAACGAGTTGTTCTTTTAGTGGTGATATGGACACTCGAGGTTTAACTATCCTAATTATCGAGGAGTTATCTCATGTATTTACTTTTTGAGCTCTGGAAGGGATTTGTCAAACGTTCTTCCTACTTTCGCCCTTAGCACAAGTAAAATTCTATAATATGGTATGAAAGAAATGAAAGAATTTACATTAGAAATTGACTGTATTAAAGCATTAATCCAACACAGACGATCCAGGACTCCAAGAATTAGATGACCATAACCTCCTCGAATGTGTGGACTAGTCGACAGGACCTCGGTTTTTTTGTGTACTTAGTGGGAAAATCCGTGAAGGACAATTGCTGAGAATTGAAGTGGTGAGTTTTGAGTGCTTTGTAGGTAACAATTCTTAAATCCTAAGAACCATGACGCCCTGGATGCATGTACTTATAAATTAGTAGGCCTCAAATAATACTAGGATCCTCAATCTATTAATCTCTGCCAAGTTAGCCTCCACGGAATACGCCGGAATATGTAAAGATCACGTGCCAAGGCTACCATTATCCTTGCTACTCAAGAGGCTAATCCTTCTCAACCCCAAATCATTCCCCACATTGGCGTCGTAACTTCAAACTTTGTCGTATCAACTGAAAATTATCGGCCGTGGCTACCTCTTATATTCCTCTACTCTCATCCTTTCGGTCGCTTCTTTCACCGGCCGAAGATAAAACCATGGCAACCCCAGCAGAACAGGCTCTTGACCTGAAAAACCAAGGAAATGCAGCGATTGCAAAGAAAGACTGGGCGGTGTGTATCATCCTATTTCCGTTTCCATGTTCTAGAGAAGTTTTAGTTCATAAATAGTGTGAAAAGAATCATGCTGACATGAAGTGAAATCTGTAGACCGCAGTCGAACGCTACACAGAAGCCATCGAACTTGATCCGAGTAATGTCGTATTATACTCAAACCGAGCTCATGTTAGTTCCCCAAAGTCTGTGTGGTTGGACCATGAAACAAGTTATTCGGGTTTTCTGATGGTATCTACGGTACACAGGCCCACATAAAAATGGAAGCCTATGGGTTTGCGATTGCGGATGCCTCCAAGGCGATAGAGCTGGATCCGGGATATGTCAAGGCATACTATCGCCGAGCACTTTCATTAATGGCTATCGTTAAAAATAAAGAGGCCTTGAAGGACTTTAAGACTGTTTGCAGAAAAGGTTTGCGAATAACCCCGCTAGAGCTTGAAAAGGAAGAGGCTGATGATCGATTCGACCGGGTGGCGTTTATTTAGCACCGAATGATAAGGACGCAAAGCTAAAAATGCAAGAATGTGAAAAGATCGTAAAGAAGTTGGATTTTCTTAAAGCTATCGAGCAAGGAGATCCACCTTCTGCCGCTGAAGGCTTGAATCTAGACACCATGGGTGAGTTTTAGGATCAAAAATAGGTTGTTATTATATTCACATAACTGACAATGGGACATAGCTGTCGAGCCCGAATACGACGGTGTGCGTTTGGAAAAGGAGATGACCAAGGAATTCATCACAGACATGATTGAAAGGTTTAAGAACGGAAAGAAAATACACAAGAAATATGCCTATCAGATCGTTCTGAAAGCAAAGGAGATCTTTTACGCCGAGCCAACGATGCCGGAGGTTAGCATAGCGGAAGGAAAGAAGATGACTGTTTGTGGCGATACACATGGTGAGTGTTTCCCCTGTTGGGTGGTGGCTTCTGCCTTGTTAACTGCAAATAGGTCAATACTTTGATCTTCTTGAGATCTTCAACCGCAATGGTTACCCCTCGGAAGACCACGCATACCTCTTCAATGGAGACTTTGTTGACCGCGGGTCCTGGTCTACAGAGATCGCATTCCTCTTGTTCTCCTACAAGTGGCTTTACCCGAATAATTTCTTCATTAACCGTGGAAATCACGAGACGGATGACATGAACAGGGTTTACGGTTTCGAGGGCGAGTGCAAGGCCAAGTACAACGAGCGCCTTTTCAAACTCTTTTCAGAGTCATTTAGTGCATTGCCGCTAGCCACTCTTATCGGGAAAAAGTTTTTGGTGCTCCACGGGGGTCTATTTTCAGATGACAAGGTCAATTTGGATGATATCCGGAAGTTGAACAGACATGCAAGAAAACAGCCTGGCCAGGAGGGATTGTAAGAGAATTTTGACTCATTTTATTGGTTCTATCACTAATCCATGATGACGTTTAGAATGATGGAAATGCTCTGGACTGATCCACAGACGATGCCTGGCCGCGGACCCAGTAAACGTGGTGTTGGTATGATGTTTGGACCAGATATTACTAAGGCTTTCTGTGAAAGAAACGGCTTGGAAGCTATTATTAGGAGCCACGAGGTTCGCATGGGAGGTTACGAAGTTGAGCACGACGGACGCTGTATTACGGGTAAAAGAAACTCCATCTCTCTTCAAAAGCACAGACGTAAATACTAATGACTGAATAATTTCAGTGTTCTCTGCTCCGAACTACGTAGACACGTCCGGAAACAAGGGCGCCTACATCAATATCGGCCCTGATTACAAACTTCAACACAATGTCTTTGATGCCGTTGAACATCCGCCTATCAAGGCGATGGCATACGCTCAGAGTCCACTCATGTCGGGAATGTAAACTGCAAAGTAAAACAAAAAAAAGCCCAGGAAAAAGTGAACAACCATGGATAAAAACTATAGCAACATTTTAATACAACCTAACGATGAGGAAGGGACAATCATTACAGCGAGTTAGCACAGGCGTTTCTGCGGATCATTGGATGGGATGCTTGGACGTTGGAGTTACAAAGTACGAGTTAACTTACATGTAGTCATTTGTCCACCATATTTCACCTTTTAAGTGTGTTTTGAGAAAAGTTCTTGGAAGAATAGGGCATGTGAATTTGATGATATGGTCTACTCGCACTGATACTTTGACTGTTTGAATGGGCGAATGTAAAGTACATATATTTAGGGATTTTCGCCGTCAATAGAAATCGACAAAGGTTCAACTTGTTTCACCCTGAATAACAGATGTGCGAGGGGAAACAAGGATTATTACGTCTAAATACCACATGTAGTATATAAATAAGCGCTTCCCGGCCCTCGACTGCAGTAGGTAAGGGGTGATTTGAGGAGTATCTATAAATGAGCATATATATATCTGTCACTTCGCCAACACAAAGATCATGGGAAGCTATATAGCCCTAAATTGCACTTCACGCTGGTCAAAAAAGCTCAGCAGGGTTTCCATTGTTGTTCTACTGACCCAAACAAACATTGACATTAGAATTTATTATCAGCTCAAAGCATGGGGCATTCAAACTTCATCCCGAATCCCTAATGCCAAGACATGTACCCAAGAGATTGCTCTTAGGGTCCGAAATCTTGGCGCATGCGGCTCCTCAGCCTCATCCGTCATCGTGCGGCTTAGAAATCACCGGGATTCTCTAGATCCCGTGATCGAATTACATACTAGTACTAAATACGACATGAAATTGGAGCATCTTCGAGAACCCTCTAGAGACACCAGGAATGAGCTTTACGGTTTTTATTTCATAGCCACCTACTAATGGCTTAGGAATGTGAATTAGATAAACCGAAAAATTGTGGCGAGTAAATCTACCACATTCCAGAAGCTGTTTTTGGATGACAGCACCGTGCTTTTGAATAGGTATAAAGGATAGTTCGAGCGAAGAAAGTGAAATAAAACCTTTCCTTCAAGAGACAATCACCGTTACTCCTATTTGACTTCTTACCATAACCCACTCTGCATCTACAAGCCGTTTGACCCTTTACATCCCAAGCACAACCCTCAACAAGTCCCATAATTATAAGCTTCAACATGTCGACTTACAATAACTGTGCTCGCTACACTACGGGCCGTCGACCAGCAGCAGCGCCTGCAGATAGCATTACTCCAGAACTTGCCCTTGCCCAACTTATGTCCCTTCTCGACCCCATAATAAATGCTGCCGCCTCCTCGTCTCGAGCCCCTAAACCACCAGTACATAAAACACCTACGTATCGCACCGTATTCACGCCAAGATTTGATGTGCAGGAAACAGCTGTTGAGTATGTTCTCGAGGGAGAGTTTCCAGGGCTGAGCAACAAATCGAAGCTAGATATCCAGTTCACAGATCACAAGACACTCTCAGTGCGGGGTGTGTTAGAGAAGAAAGTTCTTGAGCAGAATGTTTCACCCAAAGAGGAAACTAGCTCTGCTAGCTTGGAAAAAAAATCGTTGAATCCAACAGTCGAAGATACAGATGACGAATCGGACAATGCTTCTACGGATTCGTTCGAGATTATCGATAAACCCTCGCCCTCCTCTTGCTCAAAGAAGTCGTGTGAAAGGCCATCGGGACCAGCTCCGATCTCAACAAAGAAGATCGTTATTGAGAACACCCCTACCAACAAAGTAAAAACATGGGTGTCGGAGCGTGCATTTGGACCATTTCAGAGAACTTTCTCTTTTCCGGGAGTGATCGATATTGAGGATGTCAGTGCTAGTTTGGAAGCTGGGTTGTTGAGAATCAGGGTACCGAAGAAGACACAACTCACCACAAGGAAGATCACAATCGTTTAATACAAGAGGCAAATACTCGGTTGAATCATTGGGCGTCTTTCTGCTTTTGCATAAATTTTCTTGGTATGACTTTATGGGATAATGGCCACGTTTCGGGAATGGGATTTGTTTACCTTTTTGTTATATGATCTTGTACTTCATATACCTTGTAGCGCTTCGAAATTTTTTTTCTTTGGAAATGTTCTTGATTCTGTCAAATCAATTTTGTTACTACTGGAAATCAAGCCTACCTTGTCAGATATACGAGTGATATGTCATGACCGAAAAACAGTTACCAATTGATTGATTGGTAATTCATTAATTATATGAGAAACAATTTTCAAATTTATAATTAGTGTAGTACATGTAAGATTGAATTCGGATCTTTTAAGTACTTAAACGTGTAGATGTGGGTTTGTGGGGGCTATTGGGATCCTTTGATAGCCTATATAGTTAGCATAACAGACAGGTATTCCAATAAATTAGTACGATTAGACGCGCGCAAGAATATATTCTAGATCTTTGAATGTCCATTAGCTAGCTATAATCGATTCGAGTTGCAGTAAGCAGGACTTGACTTTATCGTAGGACTCTGTTGGTTGAAAATTCGACTAGAAAGGACTTTTTCTTTTACTGTATCATTCTACCCTGCGCCGAGCCCTGGTTACCAAGCCCTAAAAGTAAAAATATATGGCCTGGATGTAGATCTAAATCTAAACATAATTATTGACGAGTGATAAACCATGAAGATAAACGTTTACCAATCCTCCGAGGCTGGGGGACAAACATATTTTAGATCTGGATATAAACAGGAGTCTTAAGAGCTATAATAGGAACGGCTGCATACGTACATACATGTACTCATCAGATTTATATCATGCATGTGGTTCTTATATAAGGATGAAATATGTGATAAGCCAGAGACAATATGAATACTATACGTACTAAGAGACTAGAAGGGGTAATAATATTGCGCAGAACACCTAGTCTCGGTGAACTCTGGAATTGAGCGGATTCTCTATGCCAATTGGTCAATTACAAGGGTGATCTTGCAATAGGTTCCTGCTTAAATGCCCAGTTAGTATACAACCACCCCAATCATCAACTCTCCACCCAGCCTAAGAGCTCTTTGCAGTCCGGCTCGAGACTATATGCGATGAAGCTCTTAAAAATTATAGCAATGAGCACGGATAGATGCAGTCAAGGTTGCACAAAGTGCGGATGCAGGGGGGCCATTCTTGGCATGGTGACATCGGTCCACAACACCCAAATAAGCAGGACGCGATACTACGACATGGAGAAGATTGAGGAACGGTATACGACACAATCCCTCCGCTTTATTATCGTTGGCTCTTGACGTCTGCACCATGCGCTGAAAGCCGCTCGCTTCTGCCTTTGCATAATACATATTTTTGCATATGATATTCCTTAGATTCCTACATCCTTCCTCATCAACAAGCGCATCTCTTGCAAGCGCATCTCTTCCACCATAAACTACAAAACGCGTCAATCGATGGAAGGCCCTCAACGTCGTCGTCGCCCAGCTGCGACTTACGGAAAGTCAACCAAAAAGCGATACGCGGATGTGGTTTGTGGCGATATCTTCACATCTACAGATTCACCGAAAGAGCTGGAGGAGTTATCGGGGGAGGAGCAGCAGCAGCAACATCAACGAAACAACTCAAAGGGAGACCCTACAATAACTACAACAAAGACAGTTAAGGCGCGGAAAAACCAACAGATAATAAACGACCCCCCCTCAAACCGTATTGGTGGGGCAAGCCTACTGCTGAAGGATGGTCAGAAGAAGGCCCAAGCCACATTGAAGGGAAAGAATAAACGACCCATCGCAAATTCTGCTGTAACCAGTCCCCCAAAACATCATAAAGTCTTTGACTTTACCCCAAGTGATGACGATGACAATATTCCCCAGCCTCAAGTAGAAGATACATGGCGTCATAAAGGCATTGACGAATTTGATGTTCCATCTAGTGGCGACGAAGAATCTTTCGCCGTGCGAAAGAAGCCTCTACCGAATCAGTTACCCAGAGCTCCCAATACTTCTGTTAATACCAGCATGAGAAGATTTACGAAGGAAACCAAGAAAGGAAGGGATGGCTTGTCTTCTCAAGACCCCAAACTTGTTCGTAATAATTCTACTTCAAGAAGGGACGAGAACCAGGCAGCAAACAGCAAAGACGGCGGCAGAGACACAACTAAAATCAAGAGGCTCCCTCCAACCAAACCCTTGACCGATGTTCCAAAGGCAGTTTCTAAACTGGACGAAATCTCTAAAGCTCCGAAGCCTGCGAAAAAGTCTCTCAAGGCTTCAAACGAAGTACATCCAAAGTCGAAAAAAGCATTACATAAGCTTAGTACGAGTTCTGAACAAAGGCCCCGGAGACAGCCGTCACTTGAACCGGACATCATGACGGAACATTTATCTGAACAAACCGTTCGTCAAGCCCGAACGAAGTCGACTCAGACAAAACCTAAGATTAACCTTTCTAATGAACCTGCTAAACCTGTTGCTCCGCCAGTGATTTCTGATGAGACACCATTATCTCCACTATTATCTCAACAAGATCGTCGAGATTCGGTCCCTTATTCTCCTGGCATATTTGCACACGTCGATGGGTTATCCAACAGAAATCCTAAACAAGAAGGAGAATCCAAAGGAGCTAAGAGGGTTCCGAGGTTTTCGGAGATATTTCAAAGTGGTGGTGATGAACTACCAGCTCCCCAGCGCAGGAGGCTCATAGATAGACTTGGGGCCGGAAAGTCTGATTATCCAATGATGTCGTCGTCCGAATCAGAGAGCAGTGATGAGGATTTGGATGAATATACCTATCATGCTCAACAATCCACATCACAACCCCAGAATCTATTCGATTCACAACCAGGGGTTGATATTGCAATGGAGGAGTTACAGTTCACAATCGGACCCACCGCCAAACCAGTTTATAATAATGGCGGCCCAAAAGTTACTTATGCGCGGCAACGGTCTTTTCGAACGGAAGAGTTTGATGAAAATACCATGTTCAATGTGCCGCTTGTGATGTCACAACAATCCTTCGGGAGCAAACGCAATGATGGCATGGAAGATGAGGACTTGGAGGGTGAAACTGGGTCTAAAATGATGAAGACTATCCATGAGCTGCGTGAGGCCGGGGTGAACAACCGTTTCCTGGATGATATCGAGGAACTATTCGGTGATATTGAGGGAGACAGCCCTCTAAGTAGGCGGAGGTCTGGGTATGTTTATCCACACTATCGAGACCTGGCCGTCTTACTTACTCCTTTTGTAGTTATCTGGAACTAGCTGGGAAAATGCGAGAAAAAAGCTTCATCAGCAAGTTCCGTGCCAATAATTTCACAGAAAGATTGTTTACAAAGCTCAACAAGCAGACTGATGAGGTAGGGAATCATGCTACTTTCATTTAATGGTTGACTGTAAGATGTCTAATGAATCGACACAACCAGATCGTTTGCTTTAGCTTGTCTTACATCCTTTGCTGCCTCTTGCTTGAAGACTCCACGGTGCAAATAGCTTCCCAGGCTCGTAAAAACGGCTCAATTCCGATGCTTGTTCGTATGCTTGATTTTGAAAGGGATATTTATATCATCGCCAAAGACCGGAAAACAAATATTTCGAAAGCCACACAGAGTATGGTCCAGGATCTCCGTGTGCAGGTTGAAAAATCACCCATTTTTTCCAACAGGCGGCCAAAAATCCTCTCACCGCAAGTTATAGCTCTTAAAGTATTAGAACAATCTGTGAGAAAGCTTAGAGAAGCTGGTGTTGGTGATGATGTTTTATCTGCTGGTGGGTTGGGGAAATTAGTGCATATTTTGAATCCATTCGCTATTACAAATTTCAAGGGCGTTGAGAAAGCCCGGGACACTTTTGTGCTCGAGCTTGCCGTATCAACCCTGGAATCCCATGCGGTTGGGAGCCGGGTTCCTGCAGAGCAGCAATTTTCTCCTTCGGAACTTAAGATTGTGGCGGCCCTTATTCCGTCTGTGATCAAGATGGAAACGAGCGATGTCAACGATATTTTATTGCTGATTTTACGATTCACTATCAATCTCACGAACAACCGTGCGTCGATCTGTAATACATTCGCCGAGTCATCGCTCATCTCAGTATTGGTGGGGATGGTATGTACCAAATTCGACGATTTGGCGGATCTTAGTCTCGAAATGAACGAACGTCTCGTAAAGCTAGATCTGTTGATTCTTAGTTTGGGGCTTCTAATCAACTTCGCGGAGCTGAGTGACAGGGCCAGATGCGCCGTAGATGATCGAGGTTTGTTCGCTGAATCAACACCCTTATTTGCATTTTAATTCGTTAATTGTGCAATAGGTACCCCAGAAGATGAGAAGACACTCCTTGATGAGCTACTTCATATATATCTTGAACGACAGGAACGGGCAGCGGAGGTATTTTAATCACATCTATTTCGAAATTCTAACATGCTAATCTTTTTAAGGCTGATTCGGAAGAAGAATCCCAATCCAATGTTGCATTCGGATATCTTTCAATTTTACTGGGAAATCTGTGCCAAAATAGTAATATCCAGGAGAAAGTACGACTAAGGATGCCGAACGCTACGCTCCAACCCCTCTTCAATTCTCTTGAAGAATTCATCGCGCATCACCGGAAGGTGGATGACCAATACGAGAATTATGATGATGGTCCAAATGCGGCATTCACAGAAAGGCTGGAGCAGATGGTCAGGAGATTAAGGAAAGGATAAAATTTATAATGTACATTACTTTGGTCCCCGTATCTGATTACAGCCGTAAAGTTGTAGTCAACGAACTAGACGCCCTAATGAGGTTTATGTATGATATATTATCTAGCTACTAATCGGTAGTTTACTCTGGAATTTCCTCTTATCTTTCTCTTTATTTTTCCCTTTATCTACTTCTCTGTATAACTAAAACTCATTTTTTCTTATAATTAACCTGTTATATATGTATTTGATAGATTGGAATGGGTCATCTTAAGTTATGCCCATGAGTTCTATTAGTCGCTTTAAATGTGATTTGCTTCACGTTACCAGGGAAATGGTCACAAGAACAGAATGACGGTTGCAATATTGTTTGTTATACTTTTAGGGGAACGATTGATGCGTGTTGAGGGTGCACTTGAATCAATAGTGTTGAAGCTGCCTCATGTATAAGTGGGTAGGTACATATACCTGAGTTTACCCGTTCAGTGTTCTCGACGTGTTCTTTGCAACATAGACTACATCTACATAGCTACCTAGCATGCACAAGGTGACATTTATGGGTTAGAAAAAAACATGTGATTCCTACTACTACCAGCCCACGGCCTGGTTCGTGGAGAGAAGCACGTTAGTCAAAATGTTAAACGAGTGTGGTCCTCCCTTTTGCTCGCTTGTGAGGAGTTTAACCGCATATAACCACAGTCGCAGAAATCATCTTTACCTAGTATACCCCAAGGAGCATGTACATCCTCACCGGGAGGAAAGGCAAGAAATAAAGAAAGTTGTGTCATGAACGTGCCAAAAAAGTCAATCTAATCGGAGTCACATTTGTAGGTAGCTCAGGATCTCCCACCGCCCACCACCGTTTTTTACTCCAGATTTCTCCGCTGCATGTCAGTTGAAGCTTGCCTGATAATGGTTGTTTGAGCTGCATACATACTGTAGAGTACATAGCACCCTCGTCCATTTTGCTAGCGTCTGATCTTCTCTTTCCAGGAAAGAAGGAAGAAAGCCTAAGTCTTTTCATCCGTCTGCTTGATTTTTTGCGTTGCGCCTTGTCCTCTTTCCCTCACTGGCTCTTGCTAGCACACAAGTAGAAGGCAGAGTGTGGGTGTATTTAGTGCGTAGAGTCGCCAACTGAACTGAACTGCGATTGCTATGCTCAACCTGAACTGAGTCCGCGACGTAGTTTCGACGTGATCTGTTCAACAGGCAAAGCCGCGTCTCCTCTTCAACACCGACACAACCCGTCCTCAACCACCTCTTCACTTTCTGGAGTGTTCACACATCTAACTCCACAGTGCCTCTTCCCTTTCTAGCTCCCACCCAGTCTAGCTATCACCGACACTTCCTATCCCATCCCAATATACCGATAGTTGCATATCGTTTGTATAATGGCACCTCCCCACCCTAAACAGCGCAAGATCGCTATCGTTGGAAGCAGAGCGGTTGGTAAGCGTCAACTTCTCTCCCACCATTCCCCGCTACTTGGACCTCCGGTCCAACGAACTGTGGCTGACCACACTTCATAAAATGTAGGCAAATCTTCCCTCACGGTCCAGTTCGTCGAGAACCATTTCGTCGAATCCTATTATCCCACGATCGAAAATACGTTTTCAAGAGTGATCAAGTACAAGGGCCAAGAGTATGCCACAGAAATAATCGATACCGCTGGACAGGTAGGGGTTCCGTGTTCCCTCTACTACCTTTAATCTCCCGACTCCGAATCATTCCCCTCTCTTCATGACTAAATACTGATCCTGACGCCTCCCTGGCGAATCATTTTTTAGGATGAGTACAGCATCCTGAACTCCAGGCACTCCATTGGTATCCACGGGTACATGTTGGTCTATTCTGTCGCTTCTCAGCAATCGTTTGAGATGGTCAAGATCATTCGTGATAAAGTCCTTACACATTTGGTAAGCTCCGCTCAATAACCCATGGTTATTTGTAAACTCGACTTGCCATCCTATTCCTCCCCCTTCATGTTTCATCCCTTTATACAGACCACAAATGGCTAACATGGTGCTCGTTCTTACGATATAGGGAGCTGATTGGGTTCCAATCGTCGTTGTCGGAAACAAATCCGATCTTCATATCCAAAGACAAGTCAGCGCCGAGGAAGGGAAAGCTCTTACCCAAGAATGGAACTGCGCATGGACCGAAGCCTCAGCCCGTCACAACGAAAATGTCGCGAAAGCCTTTGAGCTGATGATTGAACAAGTGGAGAAAGCCCAGAATCCCTCCGCTCCACCAGGCGGCGGAAAGTGCACCATTATGTAATTGCGAAGTTTCTACTGGTCTGGAACCCCTGGTGTAGCGGATGTCTTTTTTTTCTCTTCCTTTCTTCCTTCGCTCTTATTTGATTTTAGAAGTTTGCTTCTTTTTTTTTCTTTCTTTTTTTTTCTGCCGTTGAATCTGGTGGTTTTTTGAGGTTAGCTGTACTTTTTTTCCTTCCTCTATGGCTGCCAGTGGTTAGCTAGGGGGACGCGGCGTTCCAATTCTTGTTTTCATTTTTCCTTACTTGGTTCTCAAATAGTCTTCCTTGGTATAGGGCCTAAAGCAGGAGGAGGTAATGGATTTTGCTTCTTCCATATTGATGGGTTCTGAGTGTTGTCCTTATTGAAGCGGTGATACTATGTTGTTCTCAGAAAGCTGCAGAAGATATGTGGAAGCTCATATGGCTGAAACGGAAACGCTCTTAGCGCAATCACAACTCACCCCCGGTTTTCTAATTTTTCGCCCTATAATCCTCTATGGCAGGGTCTTAGCTGACCACAGAAGGTGATAATTTGTCAATAAAGATTCGTTTCTCGATATTCTTCGGCCCCCCGATGCTTATATGCGGGTGACTTTGAAATGACATACCTGAGTTTTTTTCTTTTGTTCATAGGGCTGCGGTTTGCAGCCTGCCTGCAGATTGGGCAAGTCGTGCGTTATAGTTTAATTCAAGTGTTTGAATAACTATCGGTAAATATAGGTTAGATCGTACTAAGGGGTTGGTAGTCAGCTGCCTGGGTTGCTTGAAGTTTGGTTTAAAATATTCATTTTGTCGCTTTTGTCGAATCGGGTGATATCTCATGATTCACCCGGTGACTAATTATTCATGAAAAGAGATCTCTACCAGGAACTGAACTCTTACTGGTATAATAAATACCGGATGGTGTATAAAACGAATCTTAATTGAATGCTGGTACATAAAAACCTTGCGATATAGGTACCCGAGAATAGATTCATGCGAGTGATGATCCATGAACAAGGGTTCAGGCCTCCATTTGTAGATTCCCGTATATATATATATATATGAAAAGCCTTATTTAATCGATACTGCAATCTCATCGAGTTTCTCTTTACCAGTAAGTCTCGACAAATATAATAATTAAATTGGCCACCTAGTGTGGTGCTTGTCGGTGAATAATTGCTCTTTTTCACTGTGTGATGTGGCCTCACTTTATGACGGACAAATTTCCTTTTCTATCCGCATATGGGCATCCGGTAAAGATTAGATGAAGATTATTTTTCAGGGCTCAGCAGCAGCAGCAGCAGCTGAACTGGTTCGTGTAGGTTCAACGTCACAAGAACTAAATCATCGATTTTGGTGTCCCGTATCTGAATTAGTAGGATTTTGATGCTGCCAGGGGTCCGCATTAAGGGAAAAAGAACACATAGAAAACCGGAAGTGCCGCTCTCGCATCGATGAATCGAGCGTCACATTATGCATCAATGAGTTCTCGGTTAGGCCCAAGTGAATCTAAGGAATGTCGGGTTTCATACCACGACATCGGGATATCGGTGATCAAATCGGCATTGTACGGGTCGACAACCTGGCAAAAGCGACCGGAGATTGACATCTCGATCACTCAGATGGAGTTTAATAGGACAGCCTTTGACAAGTGGCCGTCCCAGGAAACAAAGGAAGGGCTATTCTCGTTGTACCGTTTACATACATACACACATATTGTACAAATGTAACATGTAGCAAACGAACAATGTTACCCGGCCCTGAGTACATAATATACGTTGTTTGTCAATCGGTTGGGGAAGCATGGAAAAAAGCATGGAGTAGATCGTGCAGAACAACTGAATCGTGGCTTCGGATCACGGCGAGGGGTATGTTTGTAGGGATACTCTAGTTGGAGATATATATGGGGGTAAGGAATGATCACAGGGATATGAATTGGAGGGTTGGCACTCTATGTTGCGCAGTAGGTAATATATTGAGCTCAAGCTCCTATTACTGGTTTCGATACTGGTGGTGGTGATGATGATGATGGCGGGGAATGGGGGTCGATTCTTGCAACAAAATAGGGCAATTTTTAAACTATGATAGAGACATAGAGAGAGACAGACGTGGGCATTTCAGTAGGAATTAATTATTAATTCCACGTTGCAGTATGGGTTGGTTGTTGTGATGGTTGCAATCATACATATTTTCGGTGGGTGGAAAGGTTCCCGGCAATCGGGCGCGTTGCTGCCATCATCATCCCTCGTTAGCCACACCTTGCTGCCTGCAGTTGGCAGTGGATAGGTATCTGGTTCTTCTCTGTTCATCTTTCTTTCTTTTCTTCCTCTCCCTTCTATCTACACCCCTCCCCGTCATTCCTACTTCAGATTCATCGTATCCTTCCCCCCTTTCCTCGAGAATTTCCATGCTTAACACCGTTTGACCCCGCCGTTAATTCTCTGTGTGTGAGTTTAAAAAACGCAAACGACACTCCCTTAAATTGCACCAAGACCGCTATTATAGGAGCAGCAAAACGAGGGACAACTAGCATCAGATTTGGTGGCAGAACGATATCAACAGTTACAGTAGCCAGCAGCTCGCGAATGAACATGATGAAGAGAGACAGCCCCGGCCCTTCCGGCTCGGAACCGCCGCGAAAAAGGCCTCTGACAGTCGACGCGAACGGCAAGCCGAGGTTTAAGGGTTGCGACGGTATCAAGGCATATGAGATCATTTGCAAGCTTGGAGAGGGCACATTCGGGTACGTTTTCGCTCTTTGCAACAACCTGGCTGGTAGTGAGGGGTTTACGGGTTGGGAGTTGCAATAGGTGGGGGTTTCTAACCGCGTATACTCGTCATATAGAGAGGTTCATAAGGCTCGCCACAGAGCTACTGGCTCCATGGTGGCGCTGAAAAAAATTCTAATGCATAATGCGAAGGAAGAAGGGGTAAGTCTTGAGACATCATTTCTGGCGTGTTTTTTTTTTTTTTTTTTTCGCGGAGTGCTGAAGATAGTCGATTCTTTATAGTTTCCGATCACTGCATTACGGGAGATCAAGATCTTGAAAATGCTATCACACAAGAACATCGTTCGATTAATGGAAATGGCCGTTGAGAGGAAGAGTAAGCCCCACACTTCTTTCTGTGGTCATGCAATCATCTCAATGGACTAATCGGATGCTGTGACAACCAACAGAGGAGCGAGGAGTTATTGGGAGGGGAACACTTTATATGGTCACGCCTTACATGGACCACGATCTCGCGGGGCTACTTGAAAACCCGGATGTAACATTTACGGAACCACAGATAAAGTGCTACATGCTTCAGTTACTTGAGGGCACAAAGTACTTACATGAGGTAATTGATCTACACTCTATTACAAATGGTATTTGTGCTCTATCAGCTAGCTAACGTGGTTGAAACAATAGAACAAGATATTACATCGTGACATGAAAGGTTAGACTGATCACACGGTTATAAAAATGACTCAACTAACATCGGACAGCCGCGAATTTACTCATTGATAACCGTGGCATATTGCAAATTGCCGATTTTGGTCTTGCTAGAAAATTCGAGGAAGAGATTCCCGTTGCTGGTGGTGGAGGGGGAAATCCTGGCCGGGATTACACTAACTGTGTCGTAACTCGATGGTACCGGCCACCAGAGCTTCTTTTGGGGGAACGAGCGTATACGTCGGCAATTGACCTGTGGGGTGTAGGGTAAGGCTACTCTACCTTATCTTTAACGAAATATCAATCGACTAATATACGACTATAGTTGTGTGTTTGCAGAGATGTATAAGGGAAAGCCGATACTTCAAGGCAATAGCGATATGGACCAATTAATGAAGATTTTTCAATTATGTGGATCCCCCAATGAAAAAAATATGCCAGGTTTCGAGAAATTGCCTGGATGTGAAGGTTTTAGGCAGTTTGGCCCTTACCATCGCGCACTAGAAGGCCACTACAGCGAGTAAGTCTATCTTGGTATACCTTGTGATGTCTCGCTAACTGATGTGCCAAGTAGGATGGGCAGCGCAGGCGTGTCCTTGCTCTCGGAGTTTTTAAGACTCGACCCCCGCAAGAGAATCAATGCTATTGATGCACTTAAACATGAGTATTTTACTACTGATCCCCAACCTGCGAAGCCAAGCGATTTGCCAAGATTCGAAGATAGTCATGAGCTTGATCGGAAAAAGTTTCGCAGTCGGGCCAATCTTCCACCTGCACCGGCAGGAGGGACTGTTGGTGTAACTCACAATCCCGCAGGGGGAGAATGGGTTGGGCGAGCTGGTGAGGTTCCATGGACAAATGGATCTGGGGGACCAGCGCAAGGCAGACGCCCTGATGGCCAATGGAACAACGGAAGCGCAAGACACGGGGGAGGTCGTCAGCACGATAATCGACCACTACAATCTCACGATAGTCGGATACCACAGGGACAAGGGCAAGGGCACAGACCACCCGGACCAGATCATCGTCCAGCCTGGACTAGGGGCCCCCACAATCAGATTCGGGCCATCGAGAACTAGGCATAGGCTTGCCCCCTAGACCACCTCAACCCCATATGGATAGGCATAGGGGAGGACCAGGGAATAACCGTGGTGGGGGAGGTGGGGGAGGTGGCGGTGGAAGCGTCGACACCTACATACCGTCTTACGGTGGTGGTGGGGGCGTGGACGATCGACGAGGAGGGGGGAATAGCAGAGGAGGTTGGGATCGGGATAATAGGGGGGTAAGTAGAGAAAGGGCGGACTGGAGAGATTCACGGGGTACGCACATGGAGCGGGGATTCAGTGGAAGTACTGGCGGGGGTCAGCGGAGAAGCTCTAGCCGCGACCGTCATCGGGACGGCGGTGAACCAGTCCAAAATAACATATACCGCAGATGAGCAGCATTACACTGATTAAAACGAGTGCCAAAAATTTCTTTGGCCATCGAAACTTGTTTTAAAAAAAAACCGCGGAAACAGACTTAGATTGAACGGCAAAGAACCGCGGACAAGACTTTGGTCTGGTTACCACATCGGGGCCCACACGATGTGATGAGAAATTGCATTTTTTTCCTTGTTTACAAAAACCTCAGTTTTTATCTCTTTTGTTTCTGAGGTGGTGCTAGAGAAAACGGGGTAGTTGGGGAAGATGAACCTGAACGATTTCACGAAACAATTATCTTTGTGGGTGGGTGTTTGCGCTTTTTGTCTTGCATCAGCGGAATCCGAGCATGGGGTGGGGGTTTGTTATTGATTTTCGCTGTTGGCGAGGTTTGTTTGCCGTCTTCCTCCCTTCTTTCAGCTCTACCGATAGCTAGCCTCTTTCTTCCCTTTCTCTTCTTTGTACACTATTTTCCTTCTCTATTATTGTTACGTGAACGAGGGAATTTTGGTCAGGGGCCTGGAGTGTATTTGGGATATCTTAATTTCTTCAAAGGGCGATCAAACAGTGTATTGACTCTAGGACTCGAGGTCTATTTCTGCTATCCTCCACTCTCTTATGTCTGCTTCACAGTATTATACCACCTCTCAGGTTGTCTTGTATCTAAAATCAGGGTACCAGGGGATTTCGATTAAAAAAGGAAGCATAGGATTTCCGACATCAAATTTGCAAAATCACATGATACGTAAAAGAATGAGGTCCATGATGTAAGTGCTTTTTTTTCCTTCCTGGAGACTGTTTCTGGCCAAACAGTTGCACGTGCACTGTGAGCTGTATTACCACATAAACCCCTACCTACCCGGCCCACAGATTAGAGCTGTCGTTGTCGGCAGATCCTAAAGCAGTATGTCCGTCCTTGCCTATCTTCTTGCTGGCGATGAGTGGTGTCGCTGTTTTAAATACCGATCGATAAACCTTAAGTGTTTCGATACGCGGTTGGCTCTTCAGCCTCACGGCCTTGAAGTTAAGATGCGTGGCCGTGTTTGTTGTCGTCGTTGTTTTCCGATCTTGATCTATCTGGCTAGAACTCACTTCTGAAACAGTTATTGTGTAAGAAGATCTCTCCGAATACTTACGTGGAAGACTTATTACTCTAGTATTGCATGCAGTACTGTTCTTACTGACGTTGTAGCACCTGTGATCTCTACATGCAAGTATCATAAGACTCCCCGCGATACTAACTTACTTTAGAACATACATCCATAAATATATAAAAATGTACTTGCTGAAATTTGGCTATGCTGAGATAACCGCATATAGATACATGTACATACATGTAGTTAACAATAGATATCTACCGATCACTGACATTAATCACTTGAGAACATCGCTATTGAAGAGAAATAAACTGGATTTATCATGGGGAGGCTCCAGTGTTACAAGATTTACGGCAAAGTTTACTGGATCTGAGATCGTATCGTACAATCTGTTGAATTATAAAGTTATAAGTTCAAGTATTGTTGCGGGGTTGTTGCTGTTGAACCATTTATGAAACATATAGTAGTCATTGTATGTGCGAACACGAAAGTGGAAGTGGGCTACAAATCGGTATTATCTCCTGTCATCAAGCCTAACCACTCTGCTGTGGGGAAAAATAGAACTAACCCCCACGCTGAATTTGTCTTACTTTTATAGTTACCGTTACTATGGATATGTAGCAAGTAAATACATAGATTACTAGCTATCTATTTATTTATTTAACCAACCCCAGATTGCTGTAGGTGTGCATCAACACCCGGCTAGTTAAGCAGCGGTTTACATACATACATGTACATCTGTACCACCCGTGAGTGCGGTCCGGTAGAGTGAAATATGTAAACATCGCAAAAGCCATCATCCGAACTCCTTATTACAATACCTCTTCGCAAAAGGAGATTAGATCGAGATGCACCGGCCTATGGGCGGGAAGCTTACCTACAGACTTAAGATAGCATTTGCTGCGAGATATGGTTCTTAGCACTTGCTGTATTAGCCTCCCCCATAGACAGTAAAAGGTAGATGTATCAAATGATAAGCCTAGGGTTCCGTAAGCAAAGATAGCGGAGATGAATTCTTCATAATTTTGTTTCCAGAATAAGTCCTTGACGCCGCGGGATTTGGAGAATACCTCCCGGTTCCCTCCCCCTTACGCAAGGAACAACAAACGATTTAGACCCCGACTTTGACGATTCCTGGAAGACAGAACCCCAGGGTTCGTTTTATCCCCCCTCTATCTCCTTCGCCCGTGGTTACGGGGGTTATTAGTTTGGCTCAGTGGGTTGCCCCTCTCTATCGATGTGTCGATCGGGACATTCATCGGCCAGCTACGATAAGAAAGATAAGGCGTGGATCTGCAGCAAGCCCAAATAAGCCTTTATGCACGCACTGTTGCCAAGTGCATGCGGCTCTGTTTGGGGCCGGGCGAGTGCTAGCTTGTGATGAAGGGCACTTAGGGCCCTGTCAATAACGGCAAACGCACTACGCACTACGCACGTACCTACATGAATGCAGACAAAGTAAACATAGTTGCGTAAATAAATAATAGGTAATATACTAAAGGATATTTACCCTGACACACTAGAGTAATAACCAATTAACAGCCAGTGATTGGCTAGTAATGATTAAAGAGGACCACTTCAAGCACTAGCGCATTGTAAACAAATACTGTAGATCAAGCCCCTTTGAGTTAGCTGTTAGAGCGAGGTATGAAGACGTCTATGCATCCGTCTTCTTGGCCGGAAAGCAGAAAATAGGGGCGTACCGGCTGCACAACATAGAAGTGTCTCGGAAACTCAATTCAACCCGATTATAGAATACGACATTATTAGCTTGACGTCGTGGAGTGTTTTGAAACTTCATGCCTAAAGCCCATGCTTCTACCTCCTAGTCCTGTTCAGAAGCTTAAGCTCACGACGAAATAATCCGGCTTATTGAGCCGGATTATTCCGCTATATCAGAAGGAACTTTAGCAGCCAAGACTTCTACAGTTATCTAGGTAGTGGTGCTGTACCATATGTGTCGTAACCAGGTTCTGACCGATGTTACATGCAGTTCTGTATGGATGGATCATGGGGATTTGTCAGTTTTCAAAAGGGACCAGCTCGAGGCAGGGGGAAGCCGCCCAAAAGTGAATGAAACGCGCAGAAATCGCACCGCTGAGCCTTGGTCTTCTATTCAATCCTATTATTGCTGAAATCAACCGCCTTGTCTGCATCAAATCGGCTCTTCCTTGAAACTGGACATAATCCTCGGGTTTGTATATCATCTGGTGCTGAAAAATTCCCGTTTGTTCATGTTGTATCGATATATATTTCTGACCATTGGCAGTTAGCCTTTGACACTCAGTATAGCACATGTGCACATGGATACATGTCACCTAGACATATAAGTAACAGAGCCGCCGAGGCCGGGCCAGCCTCCAGCTGCTTATTCGGGCTTGTCATCGACGGAGAATATCTGGTAAACTAAATAACATCTGTCTGATGATGATGATGGTTATGATGATGATGGTTATGAGCTCGAGGGTGAGTGTCAATTGGGGTAGATGAATTTGCTTTCTAGCCGTACGCGTCGTTGGTGGTTTATGGACCCGGAGCAAAAGCCTCAAGGCTACAGCGAACTCATGTACCTACATGTACATATACCAATAGTAGCATATGGCTGCGCACAGTTTGAGGCTAATCCCAGGCTATAATTAATAATATATGTATTATTGTAGTACGGACAACGAGCACCCAATAAACTAAATTTTTAGTAACTCGATTGAGATTATTATAGGTACAAGTAGTCCATGTAGCTTATAGATCGCGGGGATACTTTGTGCCCAACTCTTACCCGGGTCAGGATGTAGGTTTAACACCCGTTCTAGGAGATGGGTATGAGACGAGTACATATATACAAAGGGGATGTGGCTTCTCTACCCTGTATCAAACTAGCACTATGTGATTCATGAAATTTGCCGACAAGCTCTCTCTCTAATCAGCTATCCTAAATTTCCTTTCCCTAAATTTCTCTTTACTCCTTCAAAACATATATAAGGTCTAAAAATTTCAATGTCATGTGACAGTTACCATTCGCACTATTGTGCTTTAATTTAAAGTCTCCCTTCCATCATCAGCACTACAATGCCATGTAGTACTATCCACGATTGTATGCAGATGTGAACCTATTATAGCAATAATCACTGTTCACTTGAAAAGTGCATGCATGTAAGTATATATCCCAGTTTATCTTCTTTCTGTTACAAAGCTGCGCATTTCACTGATCCATCCTCCCAATTCCCCCCTATCAAGCATTCCCTTACGATGATTATAGCTCATAACTAATTAAAAGATAGAGGAACTACTAGCTCAGGATAGAGGAACTAGGATTGCAGCGGACGAATAGACAAAAACGAGGGTGTACTCTGAGCATTGAACTTGATCGTCTTTCTTTCACCACAACTTGGTACTCAGCCGTTCAACATTCTTTTCTATCACCAGTTTGGAGAGTCTTGATTTATATACGGCCCCACGGGTCATTGTATCTTCTCTCTTTGAGATGGATGAGAAGACCCTGAGTGATGGCTCATGTTACCGGTCCACTAAATCAATAAGTTAAACCCTTCGACTATAGCTACTTAGAACACAGAGGGATCTTAGTAACGAATAACCTGTCGAGAAAGATGATGTCCTAAAGACTTACAGCACCTAAGCCTCTCATATCGATAGCATGGTTCATAAGGTCGTCCGAGGTGGCCAGATCCAATGCAAACGCCTCGATATACCTCTATTCTTGAGTGCATGCCTTATCATACTCGAACTCAGAGGTATAGCGCCGAATAAAAACTTAGTGCACTGAGAAAAACCATGGATTATTTCTTGGCCAATCCAGAAACAACATATCTGCGCCCTGAGACCTGAGGATAAGTATGTCGACGTATTGTACAAAGAGGTATAGCTTTGATGAGTATGATGTTCTCCTGTGCTGGTCATGCGTTTGAGAGATTTCCAAGGTTTCGAGATTATCTCTGGTGCTGCCATGGCGTAGACCTCAAAACTCGAACAGGAAAGTCTACCTCGGGATACGGGCCGGTCCGTGTTGAACCACAGTCCAGTTTATTCACTAATTGAGTGTTGAGAAGGAGAATAGGTCTATGTATAAATCCTGTCACCAATACCTTAGATACTATACTCTATTATAAAGGATCGAATGTGGAGAGGTCTTCTTCTACACCAAAGTACCAGAAACTCGGTGTCTTGTCATTTCCGTGGAAGTTGTTTGGGGTGTTAGAAACAGTACGACTTCATTATATTGACTGTGACTGATATTAGGTTGGGTTGAGACTGAGTTTACGTGGGAGGCACTGTTTTCTGACCTCTTCAACATACCGAGGAATTGAGGTAAATAAGCTAGGATAATAGTCTCATCATTATGAAAATAGCCAGTGATCAAGCTCTGCCGGCCCCATGGTCATACCTCTGATTTATAATATTAAGATTCAGCTAGGCTTAAAGTACCACCTTCACCGGGATGGCTAATTCCGAGAAAAAATATTTAGAACATGATAAAGATAGTCTCATACATGGTTAAAGGATGACACTTCAATTATCGATGTGCATTAAGATGAACATCTCATAGCAGACGGGGAAGAAGGGACGAAGACGTGGAAGGAGAGGGGAGAGACGAGGCTTGGGTGGGGCGAATTAAGAGACGGCGTCTAAAAGAGGGCAGAGCACGGGGTTTCCCTTATATCGGTTTACATCTTGTTCTACTTTACTGTTTTGCTTTAGTTTTGATACGCGTGGGAGGTGGTGGAGGCAGAATGGGAAGTTCTGGGGCTTGGTGTGATATTGCCATAGTCGCTGTAAGGCTGCATGCAATTAATGAATTAAACAAAAGAAATTTTTTTCTCATAGCAGACTCCTGGTATCAAAGAGACTCTCTAACAGGATCCTTCGTATTGGCAGGAATTGCTGCTTCCAGCGCGGAATTTCTTTTTGCCATATGTTCTATAACCTCCAAGGGTATTGTTATATGCTCTGAGTTTGCTGAAATCTCCGTGAAAACCGATATATATCTCATATATTTCACCAGTAGAGAGTTAATATGTTCTCTTTCATGTGAGGAAGCAGTCTCCCAATTTTACAATCAACCATGGTCGAGGACACCAAATGCATAACTAGGTTTGTTATTATTATCTACATGTATTTATGGCGTTTAATTGAATAGTTCTGTTCTTATGCTTACATCTATCAGTACGATCGAATGAAGTGATAGATTTCACAAAAAATTTCCTTCCGAGTCATTTTTGATGATGCTATCCACTGCCAACCTGCAAATATTACTTATACCCTCAGAACCTTCTTCATTCGGCTGTTATTCAGCACCATGGTCCCATACAGCCATGAAACCGAAGATTTCTGATCTTTATGCTTCGTGTTTCATAACAAGCATAAATGACTCTAGTATAGATATGGATACGTGGCAGGCCATCTAATAGTATCAATGCTAGCTTGAATTTTACGGGATTTGAAAATTGCTAATAATGCCGGTGATCTATGGCTTTACAGTCTTGCGTAGGCCAAGACACATAATTTGTCCGTTAAGGGAGCCAAGCTAGCTACATGCTTTACGCAGTGATTGGCATCAACCGAAGCAGTTATCATCCTTCGTGTGCTCCGCAGATGGAGACATTAGGCCCACGACGGCGTGGTGATAGCCATGAAATCTAACTCTTTCCAGGCTCTGGAATCGCCAGAACAAGTAAAGAAGAAGTCACAGGCGGTGACCTCACACAAAAACAGATTCGCGGAGTGAGGGTTAAGCTTACTAGCCAGTAAAACACCTCTTTGAGGGATAACCTCCACTTAGTGCCCGGTCTGAAAACGCACGAGGGGATATGGCTATCAGAATCCCACCGTTACGATCCTACGTATGCGCAATGGCACTAGCTACCGGGCCGAGCCGCCTCCAGAGGACATAGCGGCCGGCGATATTGAAATATCGGTATTTCAGAAGCAAACGGCTGGGATCAGTGTAATTGCAATTGCATTTAATATGTGCAAAGACCACATTGAGCCCTCGCAGACTCTCTGGATGGGTAGATAATAAAACATTCTGTCACAGATTATCACTCGGAATGCAAGTCATCGCCGTGTGTTACATATGAAGCGGAAACTTCCTACCGACCCCCAAGTGTGTCTTTGCCATTTGACCGGACAACCTCAGCCGAGACACTCGGCATGTAGATTACGGTACACAAACCACCCCTACGAACCCCTCCGAAATTTACAGGTATGTATCCTCATTGACTCTTTATCCGAAGCGCCTAAACTTCATGAGGTTCGCTCGAGTAGCCTTAATATCAGTATTAATACAAATACATGTACTCGCGTCTAGGATAAAGAACCAGAACATGCAAATGCCTAGTTTGTATGGCAGATCAGCGCCACTCCATACAAATAATCCCTGCTTTCTCACTTGCATGTTCTGGTTCTTTTTCCCTGACGCAAGTACGCAGTTGGCGGTGTTTCTGTGGTGGTGCTGGTGTCGGCCTTGGTTCTGTATACAATCACCGCACTGTCATTGTACGGTCCATACCTCTCATGTAGAATAGAAGTGCGCAACGGAGCTGGGCTATTATGTAGAGTATATGCTATTTCCGGGCTCTTCCATGTAGAGGCCATCATCTATAGACTTTTACTTCTTTAGACACTACACGACTAAGGCGCGCCCCGTTGCGTAGCGCTGTCGTTATCACAACATGTTAGGCCCACGACGGCGTCATGATAGACACAATTTTAATACCTTTTAGAGAAATTTTGCGTCCATCTTGCCGATATTTGCAGTTAGCTTTTACAATTTGCATGGTGAGCCACCAACCGCCACATGTCAAGGATCCACCCGCTGCTTGCTTTCTGTGCACGGACATCTTTCTTCTCTTCGACCGTGACTTTACCGACATTGGTTATTTTCCTTTTTGCCCCACCAAAGCTGGACGTACGTTAGGATCACCCGCTGTCCCGAACATAAGGATTAACTGAACTATGGTGCTTCATAAAAACAGTATGTACGAAATCAATTATCCAAAGCCCCCTCCCCCCCTCCCCCCCTCCCCCCTTTTCCATTCTTGCTTGACCCTTCTTCTTCTTCCCGTTCCTTGTGATTGGTGATGCTTAAGCAAGCGAGGCGCTAACGTGCTTTTGGATGATAGAGTGGGATAAGAAGGCGACTCGCGCGCATGTGAGAAAACTGAAAGCTCAGGGTAAAGAGGACGATACCAAAAAGCCTCGGGGCGAAAAGAAGGAAGGGGAACAGCCTGGGACAGCTGGGCCCAATAAACAAGAGTTCCCAAAGCTACCAGGGGCTGAAGAAGCAGAATCAGAAGACAAGGATTCACAAGACGAGGAGGCGGACGAAGATGAAGATGGAGAAAATGGCGGAGGTCAATTCAGTAAGCGGAAGATGCAGAATAATGCATGGAGATATGAGCAAGAGGAGGAAGAGCCTGTTCCAGGTGAAGGTGAGTCGTCTTTTGACCGGATTTTCACCGAATATATCGGTATTGACGGCATTCTGTAGAACCGGAGGAGCCCGAGCCCGAGCCCGATTATGTTACCATGACAGTACAGCGCAAAGGCCAATTCGATGCTCCTAATAAAGTTCCGGAGGAGGACTTGGACTTGGGTTTCCTGAAGGATTTGCAGCTGCAAGGGCAAAGATCCAGAGGAGCTGAAGGCAGTGAAGACTTTGGCGGAACAAAGGGGAAAGTCGTCAAGGTTGACCGCAAGCAGTTTGAAGATGTCACAACAAAAATAGCAAAGAACTCAACGGTAGACGCGTTTAGACAGAGATTCGCGCCCAGAAAGACGAAGTCTCGTGTTGGAGGCGGGGGTGGGGGTACAGGGGAGGACGCACCGGACGACGACGTCGATTCGTTCCTGGAAGAACTGAAAGTAGTCGGTAAAACCAATTTTAATTATATGAACCTCTCCCCTCCCCTCAAACGTTTCTGCTGGCTTCCTGTTCTACAAATAAGCCAGTGATGAAGCGTTGATGGTTTCCTATCACATCTTTCTCTCTCCTTTTGTCCCAGAGTTTTCCTTATAAAACCCCCCCTTCCCTTTCTCGTGTAGCTCGTTTTGGGTACGTTATTTTACTGATGCTGAGCCCCTCACGCAGAGATCACCGCGACTCGCCCAGCTGGGTCACGGGAGATAAGCAGTGATCTTGGCAAGGGTCGCACCAACGAAGGTTACGAGCACGACAAGGACGATGACTGGCTAGACGGCATGTTGGGTGGAAGGTGAGGGAATTGTACATACGGTAATATATATTTGTCCGCGTGTGAAATTTCAACCTGCTACCCATAGTTTTTCTGCATTCGTCGAGCGGTAGCGGTCTGTGAGCCCCTACCCTACTTTGTTAAAAGACAGAAGGCAAAAAAAATGAGGTCAGACAGATTGGGAAGGGCGTAGAGAAGAATAATAGTAATAATGATTTGTGGGGGGGCAAAGTAAAGGCGAGGGGTGAGGAGGGGAGGGGAGGGGGAGGGGGAGGGGGGATCATTTACTCAATGAAGGACGAAAGGGGTAAACATAATAAATATCAGGAACAGGAGAAGGCGAAAACGCGACAATGAAAAAAAAGTATCTCAAAAGATGAAAGACGAAGGGAAGAACAAGACCGTAAACGTCTGAGATTTCACGCTGGAGGAACTTTAAAATAATATACCAATTTATTTCCCTAGGTTTGGTAGAGAGTTTAGATGATGTGGGAGAGCTTTAACCCTAAGGATCAAACAAGACCAGTTTCATAGCCGCCCGAGGGTTGGCGGTTGAGGGAAATATGAAACACTAAGCCCCTGGACAGGGGGTATTTGAAACGCCAGCAAAAGCGTAGCGAAAAGATCTTCCTCGTGTGCCTGTGTGGTGTTGCTGGTCTGTAAGTGGACTGGTTAACGAATTCGCAAGTATCGAGGCTACTAACTGAGCCAGCCTCTCTGTCGCTTGCTGTTTCGCTGTTTCCTCATATGGCAGAAGGCCTGGTTGGACCATTCCCGTCTGGCGCTCTCATTAGTTTTCTGGCCGCTCTCTCTCTTCGTTGTTTCTAAGCCCTCTCGTTTCTAGCTCACTGTTTGTCCAGAACTTTAACAACCATTTTCCTCACACATCTTAGATTCCCTCTATCCCTCTCTCTCTTTCTCCCTCGTTTTGCTCTACCTCTTTCCCCTTTCCCTTCTCACTCTCTTGGAACTCGTAGACCCTGAGTTTACCAGCTAGGAGGTATCTACTCATCCACCCATCATCACCCATCCATCCATCCGTTCTCCCTCTCGCCTTCCCCCCCCCCCCCCCCCCCAGTCACCACTTCTAACTCATCACATCACTCACCCCTTCTCACTCTCCCATTTCCCCTTCCTAAACTCGCTCTTTCTGTTCTCCGACTAGCTTCCTTTCCAGTGCTTCACACTATTATTATTTCCTTCACTCAAGCCTTTCCGCACCTAAATCTACTCCTTCACACATATCCACCCCCCCCCCCCCCCCTTCCAACTCCTCTTCACCCCTTCACCCCTCCACCCCTACTCTTCATTTCCTTTCCTTTCCCACCTCCCCTCGCTTCCTTTTCTCTCGCTCGTTCGCTTTTTCTCGACGACACATCGCTGTGGATTTGTCACTCTCGCTTCTTGACCAAAATCCGCTGCCGCTGTCTATTTCGTCTTTACTGTAATCACATTAAAGCATCAACACCTCTTTAATTGAGCTTTATACAATATGACTACGGAGGCATTATCTGCTGCCCCCCCCCCCCCCCTCCCCCTCCCCCTCCTACAGTGATGGACGTGGATAGGTCACCGTCAATCACCCATGCTCCGTCCGTGGCAGCGACATCCACCTCAAAATCCGCTAAATCTTTGAGCGCAAGTCCTGGGAAGAACTACTCACCTCCGAAAAAGGTAGCTTCAGCTCCATCGGAGGATTCTGCGCGCTCTCCAGACCTGTATGTCTCATTTCCTCTTCTGCTGTGTCTGTCCTATACATTGCTCGAGACTTCTGACATTGGCGCGCAATAGGAAACGTAACGAATTGCCCAAGATCATCGTAAAGAAGGAGCCAACTTCTCCCGGTCCCCCCTCTCGCCATCGCCCGGCAAAACTCAACCTTTCCAACGCTCCCAATACCTCTTCCGGCGCTGCCACTCCGCGCACCGCGAATGGCAACCTAGCCACTATTCAAGATGTCGGCATGGCTTGCCTTTCCCCAGGATTTTCTACCCAAGACCCCACAATGCGGGAGCAACTCCAGCGTAGTATCTCCGTGCGCGAAGCCCAACGTTCGATAATTGAATCACGGCTCCATCGTCACGCAAAGCCCAACGCAGAACCAAACTCGAGGGCTGATCGCGATGAACCGCCCGCATCTGCACGTGATCGTAGTGATCGGGGGAGTGATAGGTCTGCCCATACACCAAGGAGAAGACCCCCAAACAGCTTGACAATAGTTCCCCCATCCCATCGTGCGTTTGCCCATGAGCGAGTTGTACAATCGGCCCCTCTACACCAATCATTTACAGGCCGACACCACCCCCCACCGCCGTCCCATCATAACTCTCAACAACATCCCCAGAACCAAGAAGTAAATCGTTTACCTCCCATTACTGATGTTGTTTTCGGCCCCAATCGCCTGGACTCAGCCCGCGGCATCAGGCCCCAGGAGGAGAACTCTAGCCGACAGTACTATCCTACCACAAGACCTGCATACCCATCGCCAAATAATATGGCGTATCCCCGACCACGCGAGCATCGTTCTGCCGAGGAGGCTATTGCAAATATGTCAGGTGGTCGGGAAGAGTTGCTGCCGCGAATAATTCACTATGGAGGGCACCAACCACCCACCCCACCCAGCCCACCACAGGCACCGGCACACACCCCGTCAAAATTGATGGTCAATGGTGTACAAGAGCACCCACCACACTCCAGCGGGACCAAGCGAAGACGAACAAGGGAGGACTATGGGGAACGAGATGGTAGCTTTGGAAGCGAGGATAGCCCAGATGCGAAACGAAGGAAGAAGGAAGAGTTTTTGTCGTTGTGCGCAAGAGCGTGGGAGTTGTTCCATTCTTGATTTAATAGCCGGGAGCTATGGTTTGTCCGATTTTTTCTTTCTTTCTTTCCTGTTCGTTCCTAAAATCATACTCGTTTCGTTTACCTTACATTGTGCTTTTAACATTCTTGTATCTCATTTCTCATCTCTATTTTTCCAAGTTTCTCTTTGGTTTGGGAACAGGTTATTGGGACGGGGGCTGGACTGGGCGGTATGGGAGGAGTCTGGGAAATCCGGGATCTCTGGGGAAAAAAGAGTACACTAACAATACTCGAGGTTTATAAGCCGGGTTTTCTTTATTTCTTTTAACGTTGCAACGCGAAACGGCTGTTTAGCGTATGGGACAAAAAAAAGGCTGCTGGACGGGTAGGGACGGGGACAGTGTCGAATTTTTTGCTATTTTTTATCATCTTTTTTTTTCGTGTACAAGGAGTCTTCTTTTTTTGTTGTATCCACCATATCTCTGTTTTCTTGCTCTACTTTCTACAGCAGATAATAATTGCGTGGGGGTTTGGTTATTATCAGTTCATGTTGCTTGGGGGCATATCTTTCTTTATTTTATTTTACTTGTGTTTTTTTCTATCTCTCATTTTGGTTACATACAATACCTCACCTATTGCTTGCTTTTACCTCTTACCACAGCCTCATTATTTCCACCTTACCTACTTATTTCTTTAGTATTTTTTCCTTTTAGCTCCCTTGAACACGGGTCCTCTTTCCTTGCGTTTTTTTCATACTCGGGCTGGCTATTATCTATGGGATGTGATTTTCTTTTGACTGGGGCTGGGGAAGGCGGACGGGGCCAAACGGGACATGGTGGGAACTGTGCGAATTTGATCTGCAATAAGAGCAGCGCGGGCCGTCCGGGTAGGGCGGATGGGTCGGATTTTTCTGTTTTATTTCTTCTTATTTCTTGATATTGTTGGTTGGTCGGTTGGTTTTGGGCGCTGTTGCGAATGGATAGTGAATATACATACATAAGTGTGCGATAACTGTTGGTCCAAGGAATTATGGAGGGCGGTGATGTGCACGAGTGATGAGCTGTGAACCTGCAGTGGTTGGTAGGGGTAACTCGGTTGAGCTAGTACTGTAAGAAATGTGGTAACCACCTGAGACAACGATCAAAGAGCTAGAAGGCGGAGCCCCCCCTTGAAACAGGTTACTGAAAGATTTACTACTAGCAGTGGCCACAAAGGCTAGGGCGTGCCAAGGTTTTCAGAATGGTTATTGTTTAGTAGCGTGGCACTGCGGGAGAATATACCATGCACCAACCACAACAATAGTGTGATAAAGAGTTGGTTTTCTTGGGCAGATAGGGTTTTCACTCATGATAGATATTCAGTCATAATTTGTCATAACTACTAAGGTGCGTATACGGGGAGCATTCATCGGCCTGAAGAGGTCAATATACTCACTGGGGGGTTCGTTCTACGTACATGTATGCGTATGCTTGATACGCAACATGTGTGAACGAGCGTCCTGCGAATTTAGTTTTTTTTTTCTTTCCTTCCAGCTTTTATGTTTGGTGGGGGGATGATCCAGCCCTACATCAAAAAAGGCATATATCTGAAACCACACATCTCCAATAAAAAACGTTTGTTCATCTTTTTTCCATATACGTAATACTACCACTTTTGGAGTAGCTCGGATTTTGTACACTGGGTGAAACATCTCCAGACTGCGGAAACCATTGACATTGAAGGGCTTTTTCAGCCTAGTGCTCGCTTACTACTTACTGATACCGATAGAATGTCGAATAATTTCTTGTTTCTTGGGGCTTTCCCAGGTGTAGTAGCGATCGCCATCTTGTATTAGTAGCACAAATGTTGCTACTAATCCAAAAATAAAACTTGATAAAACATATGTCTCCTTAGAGGAGCTCTAAGAGACGCCCGCTGATTATGACTCGAGATCTCTTAAAGATGGGGTAAGTCATGATGGCTTTATAGTTATGTGGCGCTTTTATGATTCGATGAGACCATCGTGGTAGATCGAGGAAGTGGGTACAACATCTCCAGATATCATTCACCTGAGATACATAGCGTGTGTTTCCAGTGCAAAGTTAATAAGTTAAAAAGTCTGACTGGACATGGGAGTAAGAGCTAGAGAAAGCCATGTGCCCATTTCTAATGCTGCTATGAGTAGGGTTTTGGATGTTTCACATTTAGGAACTTTCACAAGTGCGAACTGGAACTTTGGGTCAAGATGAATCATCTGATCTGACTAGATGCGATTGGACTTGGAATTTCCCACACGTTCAACCACATGATACGTCTATCCAACTACTGGAGTGCTGGTGGAGAAATGTTTACACTTCTTGAGAAAATATGATCCCTCTGCTTCATCCTCAAATTTGTAATTTTGAAGGAGTCCACAGTCTACATGTCTGCACAGACCAGTCAAACAGTCTCCCCCAAATAAAAAGAGAGTCAAAAAGAAATGCAGGTAACCACACCAACAAACCGGCCTAGTAGTTTACATCAAATCTTCACTGTTGTGAAGGGGAAATAAAGGAAAGATGATGAAAAAGGACCCAGTACTCGTACATGACAAAAAGGACAAAAACGAAAAAAACAGAGAAAAAAAGAGCCGCGCGCGCCGTGGATGTTCCATTCTTTACCGACAATCATGAAAAACAAAAGAAAAGAAAAAAGAGAAAAAAAGGGTGAACTTTGAACGAATATTTCTATTCGATTCAAATCGTGTTCCGACGTCCTCTGAACTCCCCAGAAGGCAAAAAAATAAGAGCGGGGGAATGAGTAGGGAGAAGACTATAGAATGACTAAAAACATAGATCCAAAGATCGATCTGTAAAGGTGCAAAATTATATACCTGAAGGAAAAGTCGAAATTTAATCGAAGATGAGGATTAAAGTGTAGTAAGTTTGAGAATGAGATTCATTGCTCCTCTTAGCGCCGAACTTGATTGTTGTTTGTATTGGGAGGGAGCCCGGGCGAGCCGTGACCGTTTACCATCATGGCCTGAGGTGCTGGATGGGCATGTTGGGTCGTCATCATTGGGTATTGCTGGCCATTGGGAATACGATGTTGTGTATGCTGTGGGGATTGTTGGTATGGCGACTGTTGTTGTAGCAGCTGGGCACTCGACATTCCTGGATGGACATTCATCATTTGCGCTTGCTGGGTATTGATGGTCAGGCCTTGGTTGTTTCCTTGGGGCATTGCGGAGGACCCCATAATTGATCTACGATGATGTGGGTGGTATGATTGAGTTTCGGGTGGCGGCGAGAGCATTCGCGCTCGAAATTGTATGTTACTGTGATAGGAAGTAAGCATCAACGTGACGTGAAGCAAACGTTCAATAATAGAAATTAAACTTACGTGTCGTTGTTAATGTCCACATCATACACTTGGGGATAGCAATCTTCTTCTCGATCGTACTTCATACGATCCCAAACAACTTCTTCCACATCAGGGAGTGGTTCAAATGCTGGTAACCTTCTATCAATCCGAATGCGTCCGCCACGCCCCACTCTTCGACGGAAGGTAGGAAGATTTCTCAAAGGCGCCTTTTTAGGAGAGGCTTGTATAACTGAGATATGCCTCTGAGATTGTTGATGGCTCGGGCTTGACTCCGGAGAAGAATCCATAGAGTCAGCTGATGCTGGAGGGCTTGGGAGGAAATATGTTTGTACTGCACAAAATGCAGCATTGGGTCCTGTTAATTTGGGGGTTTCGTGCTCAAAAAGTACGTCCTAAAAGGAGAGTCAGAATATAGATTTGGATGAATGGTTCTTCAGAGAACAAACCGAAGTCAAGTCGATAATATTATATTTAGGAACAACCCTCGAGTTCTTCAATTCGAGGTGACGTTCCGCTCTTTGCTTCTCCTTATCGAGCTTGAAATTTGATAGCTGCCGGAGATCTGCCTCAGCCGGCTTCCCATCCTGGCGCCCAGGTATCCGGGTGCTGGATGTTGAATCGACTGGTCGCGGTTTCTTCGGCTGTGTAGATGATGGCTGGTGAGCAATAAGCACGTGATATTATAAATGGGATTGAGTAAGATGGGGTTCATACCTTTGCAGGTATAAGATCTTCGTCGTCTCCTCTGATACCCAGTTTCCGTTTTGTTGCAATTAACGTACGCCGGTGCTCAAATATCGAAGCTTCGTATGCGAAGCCAGTCTTACGCATAGTCTCACGCTGCAAGACATCTTTGACAAGATTCCGTGCAGTATCAAGTTCTTGCCGAAGTTTCTTAACCTTATCGGTGCTTTGAGCATCCGTTCTTCGGGTCTTTCGGACCTGTCGAACTTCACGTCGTCTAAAACAAACGTATGGGTCGCCGTCATCCTTTTCATTTCCTTGCTCAAACTAGATACGAGTTTAGCAACGAGAATTTTATTAAAAGAAGCGCGACACCATACCTTCAGTACGGGAATGATAGCACGCCCTTCTCGGGCAACCTTTGCGTCTTTCCAATGCTGATATATGTGCTTTGCAAATATCCTTAACTTATCACTAATAATACCATCAAAGGTAGTCTCTATTTCTTCATAAGAAATAATAGTTGAGACATCCATCGATAAATATGGCTGCCTTTGCAAAGCAGTTTTCTCAAAATGGTCCATAATGAGTTCAAAATCATTGACCTTGCATTGGGCCCCATTGGGCCGTTTAGTTATTGCATTTAGTTTCTCAAGGTATTTTTCATCTTCAGTTGATACACAATATGCGACACCACTACAGTCCTCAACTGTGGAGGAAAACCGAATGTAGCTCGCCGGTCGGTCAAACCGCCGTGGGTAGAGCGATTCATAGTGCCGAGCTTCGATTTCAGCAGTGTTGGGGGTTGGAATAAAGATTTGTGTAACTTTCGCGCCAACAACGGCGGCTTGTGAGGCTGATATAGCAGCTTGAAGATGGTGCTCCTACGCATCGGGAAACGGCATTAGCTATTGTATGCGTGTTGAGAACACCAAAATGTAACAAAAATTATTAAAATGAACAGATACGATAAAAAAGTACATATAATTAATTTGAAACAAAAACAAAAGACATCCAATCATTCTCACACACCAAACAAATGGTGATTGTTGTGATGGTGTTGCATATCAAAAACTTCTTGTTCTGGAAGGAAACTATCGGGTGGTGTTCCAAAAATAGCACCTGAGAGGAGAAGAGGACAACGCACGATTTCTTCTTGACGCTCAACGCCCGTCTCTATCGGTGGAATATTTCTTTGCGCATCGTCGTCTACAGAGTCGATTTGATTCTCTCGTAGGACGGCCAGGGACTGCTTCGTTGACAGTTTTCGCTGTCTAAAGCGATTCCCTGCACCCGACCGAGTCATGGTGGCGACTCAGACGCGAAAAAATCGTCTTGACGATATTAGATTCAGGTGAAAGAGCGAAGCTCCAAGTTTGATGGACACGCGAGGGAAGTGATGAAAACTGATGATATTGAGCGGTCGCAAGGGCTGAAAGAATCGTCGCGACCCCTATCTCCTGTGGTGTTGAGGTCGGTCTATGCCACTAAGCAGAGCCTTGTTTGGCTGTATTGCATGTGTTGTTGTGGACGTACTATAGCGCTAGTCTCTAAGGGGAAAGATGCGGTATGACCGTGTCGAAAGGCTTGGTAGCTACGTTCCCAGATATTCGCTATCCCTGGCAGCACAATTCCCAAATCTACTGTGCTGTAAGGAGCAAGGGACTGCCGATACAGCTTCTCCCTATCATCCATCACGTCTACCGCAACAGCTGCAACTGCAACAGCAACTGCAACAGATACCCTCACTTTTGTCGACAGCCGATATATCACGACCTTTTCAGTGTCAATTCAGTTCGTGCAGCAGCTATGGGTCAAAACTCTTCCCAAATTATGGATAGCATTGTGTCTGGATCAAATTGTTTGCCTATCCCCACCCCCGCTCTCGATAAGCTATATTCGCGGTTCCTGGGTACTGAACGTGTTACACAGTCGACCGCGATGAGGTAGATCGACTACGAAAGAGGTTTATGAAGCTGGACAAGGTGTGTTCCTAATGTTTTCCGGTAGTTGTTTCGTTCTTGGAGAAAGTGATCAAGGCCTCACTGCGGGGTCGTTATTATGCAGGACAACTCTGGAACCATCGAACGTGAGGAGTTCTTGAGTCTTCCTCAAGTTTCTTCAAACCCACTTGCTACTAGGTAAGTCGCCGCCCTTATTTTTTTTCATTTCTACAAGCGAATAAAAAAGGAGAAAGAAAAAAAAAAAGGGAAGTGGAGTTTCGAACACACGGCTTATAAATTCCAACAGGATGATTGCCATCTTTGATGAAGATGGTGGCGGAGATGTCGACTTCCAGGAGTTCGTTTCCGGGCTGAGCGCCTTTTCCAGCAAGGGGAATAAGGAGGAGAAGCTTCGGTTCGCCTTCAAGGTCTATGACATCGATCGGGATGGCTATATCTCAAATGGTGAGCTATTCATCGTCCTTAAGATGATGGTTGGCAGCAACTTGAAAGATCAGCAATTACAGCAGGTACGTTCCAACTCCCCAATTTTTCTTAGACTTAGCCCCTGCATCTGTCCCAAGCCCCAAAATTCCAAATTCCATTGCCCAACACCCTTTAATTCGCCCCCACACACAATAATAAACATACGCGCACGTGCACAAGAAATGAGATATCAAAATAAGGCTTTCGACTAATGTATGTCTCACAACTTCTATTTCCAGATTGTGGACAAAACGATGATGGAGGCCGACGAAGACTTGGATGGGAAGATCAGCTTTGAGGAATTTTGCAAGATGGTGGAGAACACTGATGTCTCCATGAGCATGATGACCTTGGACCAATTTTAGGCAAATGTCGGTCCCATTAAAACTGCTTGCGTAATAATCGTAGAAGAGTCTTGGTTCTTGATTTTCTGTTTTTTTTTTTTTTTTTTTTTTTTTTTTTTGATATTGTCCCCGTGAACTAAGAATCAATCAGTAGTAGAAAAGCTCCTTTTTTTTTTTTTTACTGCACTTTTTCTTTTTCCCTATGGTGGTTTTCCGGGACCAAGGTTATCTATCTCGTATGATACCCATTGCTATTCCAGTTGTTTACGCTTCTTCTTCTTCATAAGCCACCAAGTACAGATCGCCGTGATGAGGCGGCAAGACCAGGATGTTACATGCGGAATATTCTCCCCACTCGTACATTCGCCTCAAATTTAGTAGGAGCTCGTGCTACCATCTACTCCTTATGGTGATACGGGAGTTCCCTGCGCCCATCGCTCATCATTTTTCGCACTCCCGGCGTTTGTTTTTATATCAAAAAAATTTTTTTTTAGCGAAAACTGCTTGCTTGACATCAATCCTTAGAGTATAATTTGTATACTAAATAAACAAAAACCAAATCAAATGATATACCCCATATGAGTCCATCTCTTGATAATACATACAAATACATGCGCGATAATCTATAACCCCAGTAACTCCACGACAGGTACCAACCCCCAACACCGATTTAGACCCCGAAATCCGAAACATCTATCATGCTTGTACAAAGGAGAAGGCAAAAAAGAAGAAATGAGCGACAATGAGATTACAAAAGAAAATTGTTAAAAAATGTTGCTTGTTATATCGCCGCTTCATGGTAATTGATCTATGGAGTAGCTAATTTAATTGTTGTCCCAGGTCGGGGGTCCCGAAGAGGCGCGAGTCGTGTTCAACGAGACGGCTTGTTTCCAGTTATACGGTCGGGGTGTCTAAGGCGCGGCTGAAGCTGAAGTAGATCTTTCTGGTGGCGCACCAGAGCCCTCCAACAGATCCAAGCATTCTTGGATCGCTATACAATACATGGTCCGTGAGTCAACAATATTCGTGCCTAAATAGGTAAAAGCAATTATTCATGGGTAACCATACCTCCTAGTATCTCTTCTTCCCATACCCCCATCTGGTAGTCTACCAGGCCATGCCTTTCCATGGAATCGCATAGTGCGATCAACTCCCGTCCCATCCTCTCCAGCATATCCTCCCGAATGATTTCTCGTGGGGGCAGAGGCGCCTGGCCCGTAGCGTTGAACTCGGTAATCATCTCCTTCTCCTTTTGCAGTACTACCAACCAGCAAGTGTTGAATTCGTTCCACAACCTTGTCCGGTCTCCGTACAATTCCTGCTCGTCGCGAACTAATCCTGTCACTGTTCTCAGCCCAAATTACTAAACAACTCTTTTCCTTGCGCATACTAGCAATAAGATAGAGTATCCTGGAAATAAATTAAATGAAATTTTGTGCATACCCAACTCAACAGCATTTGTTAATAACCAGTCGGAAATCGTGAGGAGCGATGTCCCTGCCTCGCCCAATCGACCATCTTGCATGTTTTGAAACGTACGTTTCAAGGCGCCTTGATACTGATTGTAAGCATCATCCAGGGCCGCGGCGTGATGTTGTTGCGCAAACTCATTATCATTCTGAACTGGTTCCGGCGCAGTCGGCTGGTTCAATTCCGGAAGGTTGGAAGCGTACGTATGTGGAAGCCGACCTGGAGTGGGACTGTACTGAGCGTACGAAGGACTTGAAAACTGTGAGGACGATTGATGATGTGGAGCAGAGGTTGGTGAGTCGCCGTAGTACTGAGAAGCACCAGAAAATTGACTCGATAGTACTTCTATCGCAGCATTCTGTCGTGGTGGGTAACCCGGCGCATAGTTAGAACCCTGTGACGGTTGAGGGATGTTGTATACAATATGGTTCGAGGCGTAAGATGGGTGTTGCTGTCTGTACTGAGGTTCCTGAGAATATTCGTTCTGATAGCTTATGGGATTGAGCAGAGGTTGTCCATATGACGGTTGTGAATCGTCCCCATGACGCGCTGATGGTCTATCTCTATCACTTCCTTCCATACCCCTCAGTGTAAAGAATCCGCTGTCTGCGACAAATTGGTTATGATAAGTCGTTGCCCCGCTGGCGGCAGGCAAAACGAGAGAAGTTGTTGACGTCAGTTTGCTGGTATTGAGAGATATTGTGTCGAGGCTGTTGCATGCAGATATATCTGCACGTATTGAGTAGTAGGTGGTAGTGATATATTCTCGTCGAGGCCGTGGCAGGAGGCAGGAAATGGGGGCTTTATTGAGTGGAACTGGCAAGTGGGATCGAGACGGAGGTGAAGCAGTGGTTCTTATTGAATGGAGTGAGTTGCAGTAGATGGTGGATCATTAAAATCAGATCGCTTGCTGTGCCGGAGAGCTTATATGTGTGTGCAGATGGGAGTGACCTTGTACTAATGACGAATCCCGTGTTGACTGCTTAACGAGTAGCGAAATCCAGGGAGAGGCTAGACTGCAGAGGGGCACAGCTGGTTGGCAATATGGACAGTACCAGGTAGGTGTGTGTGTGTGTTGTCCACCTTAGGACCTTGGATGGATCTGCCCTGGCTACTTCCTACTAAAATCTCTGGGGGATTGCCGCAGATGTTCTGGAACGTCAGAGCAGGTGGGTTGATGCTTGTGAAGAGATGAGGAAGGATGTCCGAAGAAGTCTCCGCTAGACTTAGTGAGTACTTCTTCTCGATCAGTTGTTTTTTTTAGCTCAGGGACCCTCACGGGCCGATTGGATAGTGGAGCGAGTCTTGTAGGACGTATGAAAACCGGCCCCCAGGAATAATAAAAAAAGCAAAAGGGGGGTTTTAGTAGCAAAAGAGTCAAGAGTGAAAAGGAAATACGGTGTGGGGCCTGCCCTACTTTGGAATCTGGAGATGAGAGTGAGAATGAGGCTGCGGACGTTGAGAGGAAGAGGAAATAGCCTCATACACGATTCCCAGATCTGGAGCTAGGTATGTAGGAGTTGATATGTATATAGCTAGTGGGAGAAAAGCTATCCTATCTAAGTACGGGATTAAGTTCGGGGGAGTAGTAGATTTCCTGCAGGAGGCTTGTCCGGGGAATTATTATTATTATGGGGTTCCAGTCAGAACTCTGTAAGGGCTAGGGTACAACATCAGGCAGAAAATAAGGACGATGAGAGGAAATGAGGCTTCCAGTAGCCGAGCTATGGGTGGAACAATCGACAAGCATTTCCAGAGATCGGAGGGGCTATTGTGGAGGGTGGCAGAGTAGCTGAGCGGCGGGGGTGGGGGGTGTGGAGGTGGTTGAAAGGGGACAAGAGCGGCGGCGGTGGGCTTGTGTGGAGAAGAAGTCAAGAGTAGAAGAGTGGACAGATGTGTGGTGGTGGTGAAGGGGAGAAACATCTCGGACGAACAGTTCTAGAAAAGAAAAAAAACTAAAGCTGCAAGGGCGCCCGCCTCATCAGATGAGATGACGATGACTTGATTATGAGATGGATGTTGATCCCGAGGAGAGTAGCAACAAACAATAGTAGCCAGTAAAATCGGAATATTCAAAAAGCAAAGCACGATAGCAGCATCACGAAGCTCGTACATACCCACAACATGTGGGATGATCGCTGCCAGCGAAGCTGTCACGATGTTCACAGTGGAACATTCCCAGTTAATTTGCGGAGGTATAGATCGACGGCTTCTATTCATCCAGGACCCCACCGTCGACCGACACCATGGGCATCGTGGGCGGGAGGTTCGAGACCCTGAGTATCATTTGCAAATCTCTTTCCATTTTTGGACTTTGGTACCTTTCGTTCCCTGGAAGTGGTAACTGTTTCTCCAAGCAAGATACCGATTCGGGTTGTTGATTGACTGACATGACAGTAACGAATCGGTTTGTCAATCGCCGGCTGTCGTTCGTTCTCAGTCTCGGTCTACCTCTCGCTCTATCTCATATTCTCTCTCTCTCGAGGTCTCTCTTGATACTCTCATGCTCTCTTTGACCTCATACTCTTTCTCCGAATGATCTCGTATCTCTCTTCGCGCGTGGTTCTGTTTCTGTCTTCCCGCTCTCAAGCCCGCCCTCGTCTCACATCCTGCACCCGACAGAGAGGTTCAGGCAAGGCGAGACATTGCAAAGACGGGGAATATTGAGCAGGGCATCATGTGTGAGTGAGTCTCCGCATCATCCTCTGCTATTGCCAGAAATCAATAAAGCTTCCTCTGAATGGGTCAGAATATGACGCAAGCAAAAGATATTGCCCGTCCGCCTAACAATCTTTTTGCCCCCCCCCCCCCCCCCCCCCCTTTGCTTTCTTTTCCTTCTTTCATTCCTTTCAGCAGCTGGGCATGCGTACCACTCACCGTCGTTGAGCTTTGAGTTGCTCTGTAAAAGAAACTCCCTCTTGCTCTGCCTCCAGTTCCTCACTCACACGACAACGTGGCACCCAATGCAGGGTTCTCGTCCCATCTTACAAAATACCCTGCTGGAGCTACATTAGAGGGTATCATTCATGTCGGTTCCCGTCGTTCATCACTGCAGATGTAAATCTTCCATCTCTATAATCTGAACCCGAGTTCCGAAGTTGGGCTTAAGCACCCACGGTAGATGGTAGATACATGTAATACCTACATAATAACCTGGCATGGTCATCCACAACTGATTGCTTGACTGATATTTTGTTTCTGCGCTCAGATGAAATGACCGCCGTATGGATCTCTTCCGTCGACTGACAGTACCACGTTTCCCTGACGTATTTTTTCCTGCTAATGAAAAGCAAATGATAGCTCCCTGTACATTTTAACCAGATTGCGACAGTCTTCTTGAAACGTGTGGCGCTTTTTCCCAGGAGGCTGGTCGTAATAATAGAGAGAGGGAGGTCAACTTGCCAGAGGCCTAGGGATGGGGTTGCGCCGTCGTCTGATGATCCTGAATCCTGATCAGATGCAGTCATTGGGCCCTGGTGGGTGCCGAGACGGACCCAGTACTAAAAGTGAAAGCCAGGAAAAGGAAAGAGACCAGAAACAGCCGGTCCGCACCTGCAGCAGAAGTAAGTTCCAATAACAAGCCCCCATCGCATAGCAACACAAATCCTGCCTATGACTACCGAACCCAACTTTAGACACTGATCAGACTTACATAACAGGCGCACCTTCTTCTCCACGATCTAAGCCTAAGCCTATTTTTCGCTTCCATACCCCGTACAACCGTTGGTTTGAGCCTTGCGTGCAGGAAAGCCTTAAAGATACTTGATCTGATGGAGAAAAAATGTCGCAAATACCCCCAAGGATGATGAAATGATCGTGGTCCACGCATGAACTTTGCATCTCGTAGATAGTGGTCTAACCAAATTTGCTCCGAAACATATACTTACTGCTTGAGAAAAGTCTTTATCTCTGTACCACCTGAGGTCGGGACTTTGAGTGTTAGCCAGTCGGTCGCAATGACATCCGACCAAAAAAGGGATGTTTTCTGGAAACACCTAGGCTTCTTTAATTTCCGAGCTCGCGGGTCACCAACACCCCATTGGTATATCTGCATGCGTGGATAGGGAATGGTGGAGTCTGGAGAAAGGGAGAAACATATTGAACCACCGATCAAGACCAACACTATTAATTTCCACATCTTGGACAATCAATAACTTTAGTGAACGGCCGGAAGAGTCCGAAAATGATATCATCAATTGATTGATATCATAGATATTGCTATACACTTAGGGAAATATCATGGAAGCCTCAAGAGAACGATTTTAATGCCAGTGCGTTGTCAAAAATAAGTTGGGCATGGAAGATGCCGGTTGTCATTCGGCAATGGTCCGAGAGAACCGCTTCTCCCGCCTCAATCATCCTTACAAGCGCGATGGGATTGCCCGCGTAGTTGCTAGATGGCGGACATATGGCATAAAGCTGACATTCGGCCGTTGAGCTTTTTTTCTTTCCTTTTTCTTAATCTTCTCCTCCTTTTGTTCCTTATGTCTGTTTTTTTATTTTATTTTTTCTATATTCCCCAATTCTAGTTGAGTACTGTAGATACCAGGGCAATTGCTAATCTACTTCAGTCTTAGAATGATACAGTTCGTCCGTAGTGATGGTCACCAACCGGTAATTATTTACCCAAAACCCTGTCCAACTTAGCCTGAGCATTCCGATGTGTGCATTGCAACGGTTGTCGCGAGTCGCGAGTCCCCGTCACACCAGTCAGTAGTCATGAATCCTAAAGAACGCATCCGGTCTGGCTGAAACAAAGAAAAGATCGTGGAACCGTGGAATTCGGCAAGCAAGCAGGATATGGTATGGCATCCCGACATGGAACATAGGTTCTTCCACGAACGGCCTTTTAACATTGGTACATTGCAATTCGTACGACCTCGACTCCGCAAAAAGTACTGTAATAACAATAAATTTATTTTAGTCCTCGAAAGCCCTATTTGCTGCCTCATCTATCATACCATCCAAGGTTACGAAACCCCATTTGTATCCGAGGCAAGCAAAACCGCGCATCATGTTTCCGATCGTGAGATGGGTGGGAAAGTTATACGTTATTCGTTCAATTCAATTCCGTTTATATCCGTTCCGGATCCCTTGTAAGTTTAGATACATGTATTTTTCCCCCGTTCCCTTATTGCGTGTGCCATGACCATGCGTAAGCACCAATAAGGAGGACTGGGCGAGAATTACCCTCGGTGATGATATGTTTATCTGAATAGTGGGCCGGGAGGGATCGATGGATCCCGCTCTATCTGCCAGTCTGAGCGAAGGGCAACTTGCTGTAAGGCTTAGGTTTGGGTCGATTCCGGATCGACGCGAGCAGTCAGTTTCACTCATTTCTGGGGACGGCATCCGTGAGCCCTAAAAATTGTACTCTGGGCTTTCCCTGGCAAAACTGACGAACGGAGTGGAACGATCACCACGTGTGATGGGATTTTAGTTGTAGCGATTGCGCATTAACTGGGTACTAGTAATAACACCGACGACCGGGAGAGACATAGATTGAGACCTAGGATCCCACTGCTGATAGATCTATGGAGTTGCCCTCAACAAATCAAAATCATGGGTTTACTCAGTCAAGTATATTGCCTTATCAATAAACCTTCAAATGAAATTCATAGAATATACTATAGCATTACAAGGCGCGTAGAATTAAAAGAAAGGGAGAGAAGAAAAAAAAGATTTGCATGAAGGATACAAGATTAGAGCTGCCTGTGATGGACTGCAGTTTCCTCGGCGTGTTAAGATGTGCCTCTACGCCCTTATTCTAATTTCTTGTGTCGAGCGCCCACCAATTGCAGGGGAGATTTCTCTCCTACTCAATTTATTCGAAGGAGGTTAATTAACTACTAGAACTATTGTGGGTTCAAGCATGTTGAGAAGTCGCACGATGGTACCTTGATCGACCCCAGGTACTTTCTAACTACAAACATAACCCTGACCGTTGTAGAGTAAATTGGCATGTAGTACCGAGCTTATCCCGATATTGCTGACAGAGAAGAAATTCACAGGACGGTAGCACTGCATGGCAATAGTACCCACAATCTCGAGAGGAAATCCGTTTTACCCCAGTATTTTAAAGTAACAGTACTATCAAATCCTTTACCATATGAATTGTGCACGGAGAAAAGACCGTATAAACCCGACAAGCTTATACTCTAGATTTTTCCCATCTCAATGAATTAGTCGAACAACGCATCCTACATCCTTAACCTGTAAGCCTTACATTCTTCAAGGTTTATCCAAATAAATAACGACAAAACGAGAGGGGGGGGGAAGATGAAGGGAAAAATACCAGGCCTCTGGGGGGAGGGGTACAAGCAAGCACGGTCCCCACATGACGTGGGTAATATTCTAGAAATCAATTTATAGGTGTTTATAGGCGCATGGTCAGGCACGCTATAAAAAATTCGCGAACCAATCTGTACATAGGAAGAGTAAAAGAGTAGATAGAGAAGCTTCTTCCGATCTGTGTTGGTTGGTTGGGTGCATACATTAGTATCCAGGACAGGCCAGGAAACCCATGTTGCAGTCGGTCGTGCGTGTGCGCTTATTGATTAGACGATGTTCTGCCGCCGATTGATGTGCCATGATTAAACCCTAACCCTTGCATATGTAGGTGCATGTGACGTCCAACCTTCCGTTCCTTGGAAGATTCTCTAGGGAAAATAATATATTATTGTTGCTGTCACGTGCTAATCCTATTTCCAAAATCCTTTCCAAGTTCGCTGGACATCTCCCATGCGGTCCGTTTCATGATGTCTCGAGAGTCCGAAAACAAGAACTCTGAACAGTGGCAAAATTCCGGGGCTGAGGGTTGTCTTAGCTGGCGAAGCGATGACCGCGATGCCCATGGTGTTTTGATGGTCTTAGACTTGTAATTATTTGTTGTCAAGGAGATCAACCAAGGTATCCAGGCCAGAGCTGCTGGGAGTCACAGCCACTTTTGAAATGTGTGAAGTGGCTCCTCTCGAACGGGCTTGTCAATTGTGTAAAATGCGGGTGTGCGGTGCGATGGCGAAAAGTCAAAAGGATGTTGGAGGTGCATATGCAATGCCAATGCCCTATGTGATGGGCAAAGTCAACTCAAAATTTGAGGTGGGGTGCAATGGCGCTTAGTCAGAGCGGGGCACACAAATTTCGTTACCCCTCTTCCAACTTTCTCGTGGTTTTTTTTTCCCTCTCTCTCGCATCAAACATCTCTCCAATCCCCTACATTTCTCCCTTTATTCTCCTACATATCCTGCAATGGCGTTCGGAAAGATCTACAGTTACCCCGTACGTGTCCCTGTTGAGCCTTGCTTTCTGCCTCGCTTTTCGTCCAGTTGATTTCCTTCAAATTGAGTCACAGTTATATTGACATATTTCGGCTTCTTTCTAGCAAAACCCTCGCACAACTGTTCTCTTAGCTGTTGCTAAGGCGAACGGTCTTGATGTCGAGATTGTCCATGAGGAGCCTGCCAAGGGTGTGAGCGCTGAGTACCTCAAGATCAACCCCCTCGGAAAAGTCCCCACCTTCCAGGGTGAAGACGGATTCGTCCTCTCTGAGTGCATTGCTATCGCTATCTACCGTGAGTTTCCCAAACTTGATACATCTCTGCAGCTTGGTTTGCTCTGGGTGCTACAGCAAATCCCTTGCCGCGTGAAATATTTACCTCTGAATTTTCGTATTGCAATCTTGTGCCTGAGCTATCATATACCTTTCTTTCTTTCATTGAGATTGTGAGATTTCTGTGCTCGCACTTGCTCATAGACACGCATAGTTACCGCCCAAAACGAGAAGACCACTCTTCTCGGAAAGACCAAGCAGGACTATGCTCAGATCCTGAAGTGGATGTCTTTCTCCAACTCTGAGGTCCTCTCCAACCTCGGTGGCTGGTTCCGTCCTTTGGTCGGTACTGCTGCATACAACAAGAAGTCCGTTGATACCGCCAAGGCTGCGACCCTTAAGGTTATCGGTGTTTTGGAACAGCACCTCCTGAGCCAGACCTTCCTTGTCGGCGAGAGACTTACTCTTGCTGATTTGTTCGCCACCTCCATCCTTGCCCGCGGATTCCAATACGTAAGTCTAAGAACCTAGCGGATTATGAAACGTTTCAGCTCCCTGATGTGTAAAAATAGGTCTTTGACAAGGAGTTCCGCGCTGAGCACCCCAACCTTACCCGTTGGTACACTTTGATCCACAGCCAGTCCATCTACACCGAGGCCGCTGGCGAGCTCTCATTCATTGACGAGGCCATCCAGTACACCCCTCCCAAGAAGGAGCCCAAGAAGGAGCAGCCCAAGAAGGAGGCTGCCCCCAAGGCTGAGAAGCCTGCTCCCGAGGAAGAGGAGGAGGAGGACAAGCCAGCTCCTAAGCCAAAGCACCCCCTTGAGGCCCTTGGAAAGCCCACTTTGGCTCTTGATGACTGGAAGAAGAAGTACTCTAACGAGGACACCCGCTCAGCTGCCCTCCCTTGGTTCTGGGAGACTGTCAACTTCGAGGAGTACTCCCTCTACAAGGTTGACTACAAGTACAACGATGAGTTGACCCAGGTCTTCATGTCCTGCAACTTGATTGGCGGCTTCTTCAACCGTCTTGAGGCTTCCCGCAAGTACCTCTTCGGTTCCGCCTCCGTGTATGGTGCCAACAACGACTCTGTTATTACTGGTGCCTTCTTGGTCCGTGGACAGGAGCACCTCCCTGCTTTCGATGTTGTAAGTACTCCGTGATGCCGCTGCGTTCTGCCATGCATATCAAGATACTGATTTCAAATAGGCCCCTGACTTTGAGTCATACGAGTTCACCAAGCTCGACCCTACCAAGGCTGAGGACAAGGAGTTTGTCAACGACGCCTGGGCCTGGGACAAGCCTGTCACCGTTGGCGGAAAGGTATGTATAAGAAAAAGATACTTGGTCGTTTTTCTAATCGTACTAAAAGAAAAACTAACTCTTTTTGAAATAGACCTACGACCACGCTGACGGAAAGGTCTTTAAATAGACGGTAATAAATGGGTAAAAAAAAAAAAAGGGAAAAAAAGTCAATTTTTTTTTGTTATTAGCTAGATGAATCCATGTCGATGCAGCAAAAAAGTTTTTAAGCTGTTGTTCTGTCGAGTGATACCTAATGAAGCAATCACGTCACCATTTTTTTTCTTTCCGTTGTAGCCTCCTCTGATACGTCCGTCATTGTTTCTCACTCGGCCGGTTTGGTCGGTGTATTCCGTCTCGTGAACTAGATTTAGCCTTGGAGACTACATCTGATCTGGTCAACTATAATAGCCGCAGACAGGGCTGATCATCCAAACCCGGGTCTGTTCCATAGTATATGTGCAGCTGAGGTAACAAGGCTTGGCTCATGGGCACTCACTCGAGGACTTGACGTCCTGTAACACAAAAAGATTTTAACGGACACAGTCATGTTGTCTCGTATATACTTTTCTTTTTTGCTCCAATATAGAAATCCTACTATCTATATACGTATGTAGTATTCCAGAGGTGTCACCCACCCGCCACACGTGCAATAACTGCATGTAAGTGATAATCGGCTCACTGTGTGTGTATTAGAAGTGATATAGATGAACTCAATTGTATTTCCCTTGTAGTACGGTGAATTGTATTTCCCTGTAGTACGGTGAATTGTATTTCCCTTGTAGTACGGTGAATTGTATTTCCCTTGTAGTACGGTGAAATTAAGTATTGCCCCAAATATTGCGCTGGAAAAACCCATTAAACCCCACGAAACTCGAGACCACAACTAAAAGTACTGTGTTGAAAGTCATGGTTCATTTTTGTCGTGTGCTCGGGAGTAATTGCATATCTCTTCCACCGCCAGTGTGTAAATACCACAAGTACGGTAGAAGTGCACAGAACGGCTTTGCTAGCGGCGAATCCTGCAATTGCACCCTGCGTATCATTCCGGCAATGGGGCCGGTTTGGTACTACGTGTAGCCAATTCCTCCGGGAACGATACGTAGATATAGACACAGCTTTTTTCTCTCTCTTTCTTTCTTTCTTTCTTTCCACCCCAAAAGCAACTTATGTATAGTATATGTATAGTGTAGACCAGCGCAGCCCAATTGAAACCCAGCGAAAAAGAGGTAAAAAAAAAAAAAAAGAGTACAAGAAAAGGGGGGCAACCCATTACCGTTGCCATAACCATCAGCAGCACACCAACATCTACGCCTCCCGCCGCGCGTACGGAATGTTCTTGTGCTCCTTCTGCGCCTTGCGCTTGCGCTTCTTCTCGACCGCCTTGTCGAGCTGCTTGGGGTTGAGCTTGCGGTACTTGTCGAGCAGGAGCATCTTTTTCTGCTCGGCTGTTTGTGTTTTGGGGGGGTGGTTTGTTAGTATCTGGTGGATGGTGATGGTGATGGTCTTGGGGGAGTGTGTGGTGGGGAGAAAGGAAGGGGGGGGAGGGAATACTTTTTTTGAGGTAGAAGGGCTTCTTCCCCTGCTTGATCATCTCGCGCTCCTTCTTCTTGTGCTCGCGCAGCAGCTCCTCGCTGCGCTGCTTTTGTGCCTGTTGTTGCTTTTTGGACTCCTGTTTTTTTTGTTGGTAACTATATCAGCATCGCCGTTTCACCATTTCTCACCTCCCACCCCCCAAAAACAGAAGAAAAAAAACATACCATACTCCTCACAACCCTCTCCATCTCCCCCCTCCTCCCCGCATCCCGCTCCTTCTCCATCTCCCTCTTGAGCACCTTCACCTCCTCCTCGCGATACCCCTCCAGGAAATCATAGTTCCTCCTGAAAACCCGCTCATCAAACACCCCCTTCACAGCAGTATCGAACCGCGGGTCCCGCGGCTTCAGCCCCGCCGGCACGAGCGGCGCGACAACCTCGCGCCGCCGCGTGACGGCGCGCTTGGACGAGAGCTCTTGCGGCGCGTGCTTGGAGGTGCGTTTCAGCTCTTTGCGGGTTTTGCGGGGTTTTTTGTCTTTTGTGGCGGCGGGGGTGGATTTGGGGGCGGCGGGGGTGGGGTTTGCGGAGGGGCGCGATTGGGATTGGCGGAGGGAGGTGGCGGCTTTGGAGAGTGTGCCGAAGGAGATCTTGGATAGTGCTGAGGTGGGGGATAGAGGGATAGGCACCTCGGGCTCGGATTCACCCTCGTCTTCTGAGGCATCGTCGTCTCCATCCTCCCCCTCCTCCTCCTCCTCCCCCTCCTCGGACGGCGCATCGTCCATCCGCTCGTCCTCGTCCTCGACGTCGCTGTGGTCGTCGGTCTGCGGGCGTACTCGGCGTAGACTCATTGTGCGTGTGTGTGCGTGTGTGTGTGCGTGAGATGTAGCAGTCGAGAAAAGATGAGGTTGCCGCACAACCCTGGCCCTTGCGTGTGTGACAACGGCGTGACAGCAGTGTGCGTCTTTGGTTGCCTGAAGAAGCTGCCCAATCGCAATTCTGATATTCATCTACAGACACACGGCTTTCTCCCTCCTTTCATGGTCTCCGCTGCCACAAAGGCCCTGTCGCTGCCGCGTCTCTCGTCGCTGCTTGCCGGTGCTCTGGTGCTGAGGTCTGCCCGCTCTCTCCCTGCTATCCCCCGAGGCTGACTCTCCCTGCTATCCCCGAGGCTGATCCCCGAGGCTGACCCTCCCACACTAGACCTCTCCCTCTCTCCCCAATGTCACGCCCATCCACCCGCGCCTCCGAGCCCTACCACCACCCGCAGCAGCAGCAGCAGCCCTCCGACGAAGAAATCACCTTCCGAGGCCGCCGCGGAGCATCATCACGCCCAATGGACCGCTACCAGCCCCCCAGCCGCGACACGAGACCTCCAGCGCCGCCGCCGCTGTCCCTGCTGCGCGGCCGGTCTGAAGGTAGGCTGCACAGCAGGCCAGCCCCCACCCCCAGGCGGGACCTCGACGGGCCGTGGCGGGAGCCCCATCATGATAGCACTGGAACAGGCTACGGCCACACCTCCTACCGCGGAGACAGCGGCCGAGGAGGGGGACGTGGGAGCTACGACAGAGGTGGTACGGGCTCCACACCATCGCGGGCCCACCATACAACAGCAGCAACAACAAGCTTCACCGGAGCAATGAGGACCGCCAGCACACCCGACTATGGGCGCGCCCATTCGAGGAGGGATTCGTACAGCTATCCGGACACACCCGTGTCCAGCGATGGCGGGGTGGCCCTCCCGAGTAAGTACGAGGGACAGGACTACCGGAGAAACGACCAATGGAGAGGCGCCAACCTCCCGCCGCCGCCGCCGCCGCTTCTTCCCATCCCCGGGTATGCTAGTGTCAACGACTCCTGGCGGAACGATGCCCGCTTCCCCCCGCCAGTCCCGGGCTCAAGCTCAAGCTACAGAGGAGGAGAGCCGCCGTACCCCAGGCCCAGCAGCAGCAGCAGCTACCCCGAGAGCGCCCCTCCCTACGCCCCGAGAGACTTTGGATCCAGCTCCCGCGAGACTACGTTCCGGGGACGTGGCTCATCGCGAGACTACCACACGGCTACGCCACGACAAGAAGTTGCCCGCAGGTCCGAAAATCGCTACCCTCCTCCTCCCCACATTCCCGTCTACTCTTCCACCCCGCTCCCCCCGCGGGGCCCTCTCTCGTCAGCGCGTTTCCGACAGGGTATTGACAAGCACTCCAGATACAGCTCAACCTCTGCGCCGCCACCACACACACACAGACCGCTCCCGCCCTCCTCCCCGCGCCCCGGCTCCAGAGCTCCCCCTCCTCGCGGGAGAAAGGCACCCCACTACGAGCGCCCCGAGCCCAGAACAAGGCTGCCCACTCGCCCCGAACAAGAGCCTAGCACAGCAGGAGGGCCTCCTGTCCGCGGTCGAATGGACCCTCCTCCTCCTCATCATCACCATCATCGCTCAGACCCCCATACCCACATCCCGCTCGAAAAGACACGAAAAGCCGTCCCCGTCCCCACCGCCGAGTACCTCGCCCTCTCCCTGCAACCCGCGCGGCTCGCGTCGCCCGCGCCGGACCGCGAGCAGCTCATCATCCTCGACCTCAACGGCACGCTGCTGGCGCGCAAGTGCGGCCGCGCAAAGTCGGGCTCCATCAACCCGACGCCGCGGCCGGGGCTGCGCGCGTTCTTGGGATACATATTCCGCCACTTTGGCGTCATGGTGTGGAGCAGCGCGCGGCCGGATAATGTGGCGCTGATGCTGAAGGCGCTGTTTACGCCCGCGGAGAGGGGGATGCTGTTGGCGGAGTGGGGGAGGGATACGCTCGGGCTGACGAGGGTCGAGTTTAATCAGAAGGTGCAGGTGTATAAGCGCCTGGACCGGGTGTGGGAGGGGCAGTATTGCGTTGCGTTTCCCGGGAGGGGCGGGTGGGGTCAGGGGAATACGTTGCTGCTGGATGATAGTCCGGCAAAGGCGGTGGGGCAGCCGTATAACCATGTTGAGGTGTCGGAGTTCTTGGGGACGATGAGGGAGGCGCGGGAGGATAGGGTGCTGATCAACTTGGTGGGGTATCTTGAGGAGATTAGGTGGCAGGGCAACGTGTCGGCGTTCATTAGGACCGCGCCGTTCGGCGTCAGCGCGGGGAGGGAGGAGGTTGGGAGGCGGGTGTTGGCGGAGTTTGGGTATGTGGAGCCGGTGGTGGAGAGTCTGACGGAGGGGCAGCTGGAGGTGGAGCGGGTGGATGAGCGCGATGAGCGCTACTTGAAGGTGAAAAAGGAGAAGAAGAGGGTGGTGGGTGAAGCGGAGCTGCAGAGGAAGATGGAGAAGAAGGCGAGGAAGAAGGAGAGGAAGAGGGAGAAGATGGAGGCGGTGAGGGCGGGGGGTGCGAAGGAGGTGGGTGGCGGCGGGGGGGTGCAGGTGGAGGTGGAGGTTGAGGGATGTTGGGGGGGGGGGGGGGGTTTGTTGGGGGGATAATGTGGATGTGGGATTCTTTGTAGCTAGCTAGCATCTATGGGTGCAAAGAATGAGAAGGAATAAATGGTGGGAATATGGAGGGTCAGGTTCGGAATTTGTTTTTAACTGAAGGTCTTGTCTGTTGTCTGTTTTGGCATCGTTAATGCATGTGGATGGATGGGATGGGATGGGATGGGACGGGCTTGGTAGAATTGCTGCTGTAAAAATCTGCTGGATAGGACATGTTGCCCCGCCGTTATCTACACTTTGTGGTTGTGGTGTCATGTGTGGCTCTACTCTTCCTCGGGAGATTGAACTTCTTACTGGCTACTTGATTAAGTGTTTGTTGCTAGAGGGTGGTCGGTTCTTTGTGGTTGCTTCCCCAGGAGAGGAGTCGTTCTCGGGAAATAGTTATTGTAATTGCGAAGGTGACGGTCACAGCGGTACTATATAGTGAATTGCGCACTGGGGATTAACTGTTTTGTGTTTAGAGATGAGTTGGAGAGTAGGAGAAGAACTTGGGAAGTGGATGAGGAAGGCCAAACAGCTCAGAGAGTAGTTGGATTGCACATTTGCCAGTTTCTAGTTATGCATCATGGAAAATCACTCGCTGAATCACAGAATACGTATTTCAGAAGGCCCACATTTTTTCCTCGTTTAAACTCGTAGGAATAGATGCCAGAATATTTGTGAGCCGAGTCAATTTGCTGAATATTCAAAGTTCTGCATTCTCGTCGTATATAGGCAATGCTGGAAAATTAATGAATTAAACAAAAAAAAAAAAAAATAGGCAATGCTGGATCTAGTAATATATTTCCGGTACTTAAAAAAAATAACTAAAACCCCCCCGCGGATCTGACATAGTACTGACTGTTATTTGATTCCCCAGGCTTAGTTGGAAGGAACGGTTTGCTAAATCGTGGAGATGCTTATTTATGATAAAAGTATGTATTATGTTTGAGCACACCATGGTGCCAGTATTATATGGCTTTGGCGCCGTTAGTTCTCTGGTGAGGCCGCCAATGTGGTAAATTACTCCGTACGTTTCTCTGCCCAACGAGTTCCCGGCTGAGCTGCTGTATGATCTCGCGGCCAGTTTTTGCGTGATAGCGGATCCCAAGTTTCGGTTTTCAGGGACAAACAAAATCTCCAATCCGTCGACTGGTAATATATGCCCACCCACGATTTTCACCACCAAAAAAAAAATATGAACATGAGCAAAACAAAAAGAGATGATGGAGCTGCGGGGAATCGAACCCCGGACCGCTTCTATGCTAAAGAAGCATTATACCACTAAACCACGGCCCCATTGGCATTAAATTCTTCACAGCCTTTTCGCCCCGTAAATATCTACATAGCTGCGCTGCTGCTAAACTTTTTCATGCACTAGCGTGGCCGGCCTAGGAAGCGATTGGCCAGGATTAAGGCAGCGACGCGCGAAGTTTTCGGCACATTAGCGTACTCTGGAGACTGCGAAATGCGGCGGGGCTGCTTTGCTGTGTGCTTCTGGTGATTGGGTTTCTTTTGAGTAGTTGGTCCATCTTGAACGTTAGAGAGCTAGAAGTGATACGTCGTGGCTACGGTATATCCTACAGTAAAGTAACTACTGTAAGTACATTTGAGTTCTAAATCTGTGTGTAATAAACTTTAATCCAATATTTTCTATATACTTCAATCTCTACCGCTCTTCACATATATATATATATATAGAGTCGCAGACTATTATCACCGCTTTAGTGGAAAGAAGGCTTTCATTCGAGACATATGTATGCAGTGATGGGCATAGACCCCAACCGTTGACCAGATTATAGATTTGATACTCTAGATCAAACCTGGCAGCTCGGCCTGGTACCACGGAGCCTAGAATTCCATAGCTCCTGTAGCTATCTAGATTACTAGATGACTCCCCATGGGCGTTTAGAAGCGGTTTGGATGAAGTTTAGAGTAATAAAATTTGGATGGCAACGCTCCAGATTCAGAATCTGAATGGGGGACGTTCAAATTTCCAAATCTTTAAAATTTGAAAGGGCGAGATACGATTGGTTAAGAAAGGTTCCGGGTGGGTCCTGATGTTACGCACTAAACCAAAGCAGTACTTAAAAATCTGGAAAATATTGTTCGCATTCGCATCCAGATTCACCTAAACGCCTTCCAAATTTTCACGGGAAGTCGCCCAATAAAAAGCAATCTGAGGGGAGCAATATTATTGGTTGAGAGAACACCAAAACCGCAGGTTACTACGGGAAGGAGATTAAAAATCTAGCTCCTAAATCACTTCTAAATTCCCACGGGAAGTCATCCAGTGACTATTTGTCATGAAATGCAATAAAAGTTGATCAAGCTGGTACTTGTAAGAGCCTGCGGCGGCTTCCGCCCTGCTGCTCTACTGTAAGCCGATATATCGATAAGTGGTAAAGTATACTCAGGGGTTCAGTAAAAGGTCGTGAAAAATCGCGCTTATCTTCACGGCCTTTTACTTAACGCCTTAGTATAACGTAGAGAGAACACATAACTCGGTAGGTAATAATATCAACAGCCCTCAATGTCCTAGACACTTCACGAACCGGCACTTTCCACATTGTCAGGTCCTAGGTGATCGAAACCGCCGAATGGAGTCACCGGCGAGGAAGAACCTACCTAATGCACTTCAGCGAATCTTTGTTACCGAATAATGCGGTCATTTCTTATCTGTCGATACTCGGGGCGGGAAACGTTTCCACCTGCAGCCCCCACGATTGGCGGGGAATACCAAGCTTTCCGTGCAGCCCTATAGTTATATCGCTCTGGTCAGGGGTGGCTGGGTCCTCACAGAAACACCAAAAGTACATGTACTATAGGCTACTCCATGTACTTAGGTACATATTCTTGATTTCGAACAGTTGAAGCCGGTTTAAATCCGGAATGGACAGGACCAGGCGTCCCTGGTCCATCAAACAGGTTTGGAGTTTCAAACCGCGGATCAGGTTTCTAGAGATATAACATAGCAAGGGGGAGTTTGATATAGCTACATATATCGCAGGGAAGTATATAAAGCTTGAATCACCTGTGTAACCACCTCTCAAACATTTACTGACCGTTAAAAGGGCGAAACACTATCCACGAAATCGCCTAAATACCCCAAAAAATACATGGAACGATCATCTTGGATAGTATCTAGCTCCATATCAACAGCGTTATGTGATATACTCCACTGTACCTGGCTTGTGCAAACACTACAAGTTAGTCTACAGCCATCCCAGCTACAACAAGATTCATTTCAAACCCAATCTAGCTACAAGGAAGTCCTCTACTCTAGGGGAGAAAGCAACAATCGGTCCAATGGATCATGTGGTGACAACATGATCGCAGACCCATCGATACTACCGTCACAAAATCCCGGCCGGGCGCTCGAGCCATATTTCCTACATGTCAGACCGTGCATGGGAGTTCGTGCCTACACTACCAAGTTTATGTACCTCTATGTACTCTACTCTACCTGCTCTAGAGTAAAGTACTCTATGCACGTATGTGACAAGTACATACGAGTAAAGCAGCGTAGTAGTAGTCTCGGCTCCAGGTTCTGCACGCTGTAGCGTCCTTTCTCCCGACCCTAGAGTAACAACCCCATACACCCGGCGGCGGCAAAGAAGACCGGGGAATGGCCAAAGGGATCAACATACGGACATGAAACGGCCCGAAAACCGGCCACTCCGGGATCTACATGTGAACTACAAATGACGCGTTACCGGGTGCGACTTAGTAGTCCCTGAAGCAGCCTGTAGAGGAGTAAAGTAGATATCAGGTCATGGCCATGCCGAGGATAACAGTCCAACAGCGGGGAAACCGTGCAGCAGAGTGGGGCAAAGGGGGCTGGTGGGGGTACACAGGACGAGTGATATTCCATGATTACAATCGGAGGAGAGCCACACACACCGATCCACTACAAAGAATCACTCGTCCGCCGCGCATTTCGATGATGACGAAATCAGGTTCTTGGGGAAGAATAGACTGGTAGATTATGTAGCGCCCCGCACCTTCTTTTTCCGGGAAAGGTCCTTCTTTTCGTTACTGGCATCGGACGAAAGATCCGTTACGTGTTGGTCGTTGAAACGCTCTCATTGGCGGATAGGCATTTCGACCACATAAACGGTAGGAAACCCTTGTCCAGTGTTCAAAATCACCAAGCAACGATTATTATTATAATTATAATCGTGGGTTTTTTATTTGCACTACCGCTAGATTGAGAACACACGGACGGGAGGAAACGCTTTCGTTAAATTCGATTAAATGGCAAATAACGGTGGGTTCGTGTGCCTGACTGACTGGCGCTGTTAATTAAGCGACAGCGATGGTCCCGCGCGCACGTGGGGAGGCTAGAGAAAGGTCTCATCTTACCAACTGTAGATCCGTCCAGGGCGGCCATCCGCTAAGGCCGCTGAACTGATTGGCCGATGATGTAATTGTGCATGCGAATAATCAAACAGCACCGGGTGTTTTCGTAGCAGAGGGTTGTTGGAAAGGTCAAAGTTACAAATGAGCCCGTCAAATAATTGCCTCCAGCCTCGTTAAATTCCAAAGCCCATGCAAAACCTGCAAAAGGAAATCTTTGATATCGGATTATACAAGCGTAAACAGGGTATCCGCGGTAATATACATAGGAGAAATTACACTGCAAAGACTAGCAAATGAATCCCCGTCCTCTCCACCCTTCCAAACCACCTCCCGCTATCAACATTCAGCGCCAATTGCCCAATCCATGACCATTTTCCGCCCAAGTATCTTCGCCAGACCGTCATTAACCCCCCCAAATACATAGGAAAATAAAAAAAAATTATAACTCCCCCACCAACTAACCAATTAATATCCCTCCAAGCCCCGATTCGGGGCGACAGGAAAATAAACCTCCCTCGATTGAGAACGAGGTGTCTCGTGTGTGCGTTAAAAATAAAAAACAATAAAACTCCTCATGGTATGCCCAAACAACCCAAACAAATCAACCGAGAAGGACAGTAAAAACCAGGACCAGCAAATACGATAATTTTTCTCTCCAAACCAATTAAAAATGCCAAACATAAAACAACAAAAAACACCATCCCCTATGAAAAATATAAACAAGAATGTTTCAAAGACTGCCTCGTCTAATAGGCACAAGGTTCAAAGCTGAGAACCGAGTGGGGCATATAGACGTTTTTGAACCAGCTTTGAATGATGCAATTCCAAATTCCTTGCGAGGAGGAATTGCATTCTCTGAGTCTCACTCTCCCACTTCTCCTCAAGCAGGGTGAGGTTTTGCTCCGCCCCGACGTCCGATGAATCATCGGCAAATGATACCTTCTTCTTTTCCGATTTGCTCATCCTTCTCAAGCCCAAGCTGCTCTTCATTTTGAGCTCCTTCTTTGATTTTTCGGCATCAGTTGGCTGGAAAAGCTTGTCCTTGAGGCACTTGACATGTTCAGCCCTATCGCGCTCCATTCGGGGGAAGTAAAGTAAAGTTTTGTTCTTCTCCAATGCATTGACAATAGCGCTAAAGCCTTGGAGGTGAATCTCGTTCATTTCGCAGTAAAGTTCCCGAAGGGTTGTATTTTTGGTCAACATTGAAGCCAACTCCATCGCCCCAGGAGTTCCTAATGATTGTACTTCATTTGGGTATTAACATCGTAATCCGATTCTTGGTGGAGGTAGTAGGGAGCTTACATTCAATCCTTAGAATCTCCAAGGTTTTATTCTCTGCCAAACGCCCAAGTGGTTTATTCAAGCCTGCCCCCAATCTAGTCCATAATTAGCGGTTTGTGGGTGGTATGTGGATTATTAAATAAATACCTGGCGCTCTCAAGAACACCCTGCTCCCCTGAAAGTGCTAATTCTTTTAATGATGTGTTCTTGGCAAACATCTCTCCCATGGCGTTACAGGTTTCCTGGCCTGCCTCGTAGGGTAAAGAAACTTTGGATAGATCTAGAAATGAAATCGTTTTATTGACCATCAATGCATCCATCAATTCCCTAAACATATCTTCCTTGGGATAATCAACCATCCTCATTGTTAAATGGGTGGGTGTAATGCCATTTCTGATACATTCAAGAAGCTTGTCATGTTGTATAGCAACTTGATTTTGCCCAATATAAAGATGAAGGTTTCTAGGTTTTCCAGGAGATCGAGACATAGAATGCATGAATATAGCAATATCTTTGGATGTTAGGCCGCATTGAGTGAGCGTCAGATGATGAAGGGAATCTGATTGTGGGCTGGCCAGGTAGGCCGAAACAGCATCTATTGTCTCATTGTTGAGTTTTGTTTCACTGCTATAAAGTTAGTAATAGACTCTATCTAACCACACGAAAGCAGCGAATACATGCCTTAAATCCAAATCTTCCAATCTCCATCTCAATAATGTCTCCGCTGTCAGGAGAGCGTCGTCGCCAGCGGTCCTTAAAAGCCTTGATAAATTCAATCTGCGCAAGAAAGGAAAATGGGACATAATGTTATTGAAGCTCGGGGCATGAATCCGCCCAGGATTTCCGCTCAAGTCCAAGGATTCCAGGGTGTTCTCATGTGTGATTAATGAGTTCATAAACAGCGTCAGAAATCTCTCAGTCAAACCGCATCGTGCGAGCTCAAATCCACGAAAATGTGCAAGTTTAGAGGCAGCTGCATCCACTAGCCAGTCAAGATCTGATTCAACCAACTCAATACCCGTGAGATCAAACCAGTCAACATTTGTCAAACCCCTCCTGCACAATGGCATGATGGCCTCCAAGATACCACACCCGTTCTGGGTTACCGAACTCCCGACACCCTCTCCAACACGCGGTTTCCTTTTCATACACTCGTAAAAGTCTAGTCGTCTTAACTTTCCACTGTAAAGCGCTAAGGCTCTGAGCTCATGTATCAACAGCGAACTCCTCTTCCCACCCGTTGCCTTCAAATTCAATGGCTGATTTGAACGATCTGTTAATGGCTCATACTCGGATCCATAATTCTCATGTACTTTATGCAAAGTCTCGAGGTTAATTCCCCTGAAAGAGATTGAGCAAAACGACTCATTCCACCGCAAAGATCTCATGACAGCCAACAATTCCAGATCCGTGTATTGTCGTCTCCGAGAGAATGCTGGTGGGTAAAGTACGAACTGCGGCGCATCTTCTACTTCCATGTGGACGCCGTAAACAATGTTCGACGCATCGAGATCGTATGCAGTACCTAAACATCACTGTCAGCAAGGTTTTGCATTAAGGTTTAGAACGATAAATGCTTACAATAAGCAGATAATGTCCGGTCAAATCCATTAAAATCGTCACCGGGGGTGCAGGGAATATCTGGCAGGGCTGCATCATTTAGGTATTCTGGAAGACCTATAAAGGGCGTGATGAGATAATTCGGCCTTAGATATTCCGAGGCCTGACGGATTGCCTGAATAATGTCAGATGCGTCTACCGAAGCTAAGTGCAATTTTTGAGCTGCTCTACACGGAGATCTGAGGCTTTTTATAAGCATAAGCCTCAAAGACGGATTTATAACACCTTTACCTGAACGAAAGAGTAAATGAATCATCCGTATCTGATATGGTAAGGCCAGATAAATTAAGGGTTGCGTAGGAACTGGATGTGGCAGCAGACAAAGAAGTGGTACTTCTGTTGGGGGAAGTCTTGGGTATTGGTACTAGATGGATTTTGTGGATCCCAATTACAAGGTAACATATCGTCGAATACATTTTCTGAAGGTCTTCGGAAGATCCAGCTTTATGGCCGTTCATTTTAGCAGCCCGCTGGACAACTCGGAATATCTGAAAGTGGGAGGGTGAGTAGTCCTTCTCTGCCTCCAAACGACGGGCAATATGTTCTACTGTAGAATTTGAGAATGGAGGGGGCGATTTGGCGGTTCTCGCAAGATGTGTCACCTGTCTCAATATTTCCAACCATCCTTGAGCTTCCTGGGGCGTTGACACTTGTAGTACCGTGGAGGAGGGTGTTCCGTTCGCATCGTCTAGGTGATCTACTTGAACTGTGCATGCTAAATCCGCATCTCCGCCATATCTGTACACCGCAACTATCTGAATGGCTGAGGTGACTAATGAATGTTCGTTGCTCAATTCCCCCACCGAACCTATCGAGGGAGCTCTGCCTGTTGTTGGAGACCTTGTCGGGATCCCAATGGCTTCACTCGCTTTGTGCTCCGATTTGTACCTCAACAATTCCTCATTTGTCAAAACCATGAACTCCTTCTTTCTCCTCAACAAGCCGCCCGTAGAAATAACCTCCCCCGAGTATACCACGAATTTATTGCTAGGACTGATCGGAACGTTATCTGATTGCGAGGAATCGATCGAGGAACTGCCGGAGGATTCGAAATGCATCCCAATCACAGGGCTGCCAGGATCCCGATCCCGGGGTCTCAAGGATCCAAACATCGATTTCGGCCGCTGTGCAGGGCTCTTTGTAAGAACTCGGGGACGGGCATGGGTGCCAACGTTGCTCGATACAACCGTGGTGTATTCCTGATAATCACCAGCACCATTACTGAAGAATGCGGATTTCGGCCTCTGCTTTATGACATGATCTCTCGAGGACCATGTTGAAGCTGGTTCGATTTCGGGCAACATGGTCGGTCGGGTAAAGAAGCCAAAGCTCTTTCGTCTAGCTGAGAGTGCACCATCGTGAGACGCGGACATTCTTTGGCCTGATCACGAACGGTGAGACACAAGCACGGTTGAAGCGCGAATTACTGAGACAAACAACAATGACGAAAATAACAGCTTGGGAGAACGCGAGACGCACAAGCAATGCGTCTCTGGCAAACAGAAACGGGTATTCAAAAATGGGTACTATGAGCAACAATGACAACAAAAAGCAAAGGTATTGAATATTGGCCGTTGAATGGAAAGAGTAGCAACTACGAGAGAAATTAATCGAAAAATGTGCTGCAATCCAACGACGGGGGAGAGGGGCACGATTTGGGTCAAGAGTTAGTAACAGGGGAAGTGAATTTTAGAGGCCCCATAGAATGTGGATTGTCAGGGTGGTGGTGATGAGGAGAGCGGAAGGATTTGTGGAGAGAGAAGGGGAAGGAAGGGGTAGAAGAGTGTATGAGAGAGACCACCCGGAGTATTTAGGAAGGATGAGCACTCGATAGGAGAGGAGGGGGAGGGGGGTAGAGAGGACTGGGGGAGGGGAGAAGAAAGGTGGACGAAGCAAAAAAAAAAAAAATCGAAAGGAAAGACAAATAGATAGGATAGCCTGAATTATGGGCAAGTAAAGTTAGATACAAGAGACAGCCTACCAGACACACGGACAGAAACCAGCCAGCCAGGAGTCCAGGCACCACCACACACCACCAGAATAATTGCAGAGACATCAGACAAGACAAACTGGCAGATGCCTGCCGAGCTCTGTAGTTCTCGCTTCAATGCTGGGCAGGATTACTTGCTTACCAGTAAGTACTAATGTCACAGACCAGAAAAGACAAGCCCCCAATTGCACCTGCACCTAAGAGACAGACATATGCAACTGTCTGTCTATGTATTCTAGTCAAGCCCTTGCAAGACCAGACGAGACAGGAACGAACGAGAGGTTGAACTCGAACCAAAACCCTCAACACAGCCATCCAAAGAAACCACTTTAACTGACAGCCACACGGCGTCACCCAAGGCTAAGCACCAAAAAAAAGCAGTATGATCCACCACCCGCTTGCGTCAGTGGTCCGGATTCAGTTGTCCTGGGCCTATCGTAATACCCCGCTGCTTTACGATCCCGGCGTACGGGCTCCTCTCCTTGACCCTAGCAAGTGCAGCCTTTCAAATCGTTCCTATCTGGTCGTGCCGCTCCAAGATGGATGTTTCTGCAGCCGCAACAGCTGCTGCGTCGTTCCTTGTCCGATCGGAATGCTGCATGCTGCATGCACAGTCCTCCAATAAACGGTGAAGCCTGAAGCCCCGAAGCAAAAAAATCTACTGGAGCAGCATGTCTCTTAGGCCTAGAAAGAATGCCCAGAGTTCTCTAGTGGGCACTTTTGTACCACACACTACCAGCTAGGATCCCTGCACTTACATCTGGTAAAAATAGACGGTTCGGTCCGAACTCGTCATCATAGCATGCATGGTTGGTTACTCCTACATCGTGGGAAGGAGAAGGGGAAGAAAAAGGATTTCGGAGGAAAATTATTCAAAAGAAGGAATACGAACCTTCCTTGCCGGTAAAGGCCGAACTGATGTATCTTTTTCGACACACCCTAAGCATGGGAAAGGAGGGAACGGTTCGATTTTCTACTCTACCATTCGAATCTCACTCCCCTGATGTTCGACACTCTGCCGACACCTGCACGGAATTTTTTGTTGAGACATGTCCGAGATTTTGCAACATCAAAACAATGATGTATGTAGTGGCCAAGTCACATCATAGACGAAATTACCAAATTTCAGCCTCCTAGGAGTTACGGAACAAAGATCATTTCCTAAATTCAATTGTTGTTGGAGCTACTGCGAGTACTTCTGGCGTTCTCCTCCGCTCATTTGCCACAGCTGGGTACATGGTCTGTAGTTACTACTGACACTGCAATTTTGCCAGGATGGTAAGAGACACACCATTGTTTGGTGATTTTTCCAGGTTACCCTCTCTTCACCCTGTATGCAGATCTACTTATTCGAGATGTTTGGCGCGCTAAAGGAAAAAGAGATACGTCCCCCCTTTTGTGCCGAGTCATTCATAATCGATCACTCGACCACTTAGCAACCCGCACTTATACACTAAAATTCGGTACTCTACTTGATTTCTTGACCTCTCCCCCGCCCAATCTATGTTTAATCTAAGTAGCCGTGTATTAAATCCTCCCTACTCTCTGTGTCTTTACTAGTAGGATGAGATATGTACTTCATAATTACACCGCAGAAGTACTTAAGTCCATGTACTTACATATATGTACCTACCCCTACGGAATTCGGAACGCCGGGAAAAGTCTAAAATATTATGTGGGGTTTAACCCGGACGCGACCCAGCAGCACGGGTTTGTCAAACCAAACAGTACGTCTCGGCGCGCAATTCCTACATGGAGATAGTCGAGCATACTGGCTCGGTTGCACACAGGCAGAAGTCGTTTATTTGCGGGGGTTGGAGGCATGCTGTCTTATAACTACGCACCACAGGACTCGATGTTGCGCCCGGGGTAGCAAAGCCATATTCTCACCAGGGTACGGTTCTTATCATGCTCTGCTCTGTACGCACACACGGACTAGCTGCGGTACTGGGAAGGTAGGTATATAGGCAAAGGTGTCTTTTCAGAATGGCGGCAGGTATAGTATGCCATGGTGCATGGTGTGTTGCGAAGGCGTGTTTCCTAACGACTTCGTATTCTGGCCCCATTGTGTTGTCTGGTTGTTTCTTTTTTTTCTTTTCTTGTCACAATCAATTAATCAGTCCGAGTCTGATAATCTCTACACTTTGTTTACTGATTCATATGATTTGAAAACATCCCCTATTCTTTGGCTCCATCTCGCCGATCATGATCTGCACTGTTCTGTTCATCCTACGAGCTGAATAACTTACATGTACACACTCAGCGCAGGTTCTGGCTGAGGCAGCTGACTGACTGACTGACTGACTGACTAGCTTCCAGTTACACATAGGTCCATCTGGGGTGATTCTATATATACCACCCATATACAATCTGTCAGCATGCTAGCCAATTATATTGCGGCAGCATGTTTCTCGCTTTTCAGTTTCAAGTACATACGGGTAGGTACTGACCAATACTCCCTCTCCTCCTCGAGTTCTTGAGATGGGGTAAAGATATCTATCCGTCACAGGGTTTCGCGCGTGTGGTGTGCATGGCGCGTGATCTGACCCGCCTGCCTAGCTGGCGAGTTCTTTCATCTACTGTGTTACATGTAAGTATTCTAATCTCTAGTACTTATATGGCTGAATGATAACTGATGGAAAAAAAATAGAATAGACTAGGTAGGTACATGACTTGTGCATGTTCAACCTCCCTATTTCCAGACACCCTGGCAGTATCTCCTTTTGTAAAAAAGAATAAACAATACCGCCCCAAGTACGCGGCACGGGATTCCTTTCTGTGGGAGCTACATAAAATTTCTTGCGCCACTAGATTCCCGAGACTAGTCGACACACTTGATCTGGTGTAATAATCTGCGCCCAGGATCCAAGCAGAATTTCATACTCAATAATTAAGGCGGACCCGAGAATTTCTCCGAAAAACAAAAAGAATCCAATCGCCGTACTACAACCTAATTTAATCGTGCCCCGGAGATAGGTGGAAAAACGGTGCGCAGATGGGATCATCACGTCCATCTTCCCACGCGGGAATTTATCCCCCAGGAGGGTCGCATTGAAACGGTGATTTGCCATTTTCTTTAATGCATGACGACATTCGGATCCAGCCCAACTCCACACCGCCACAACTGGGGACCGAGACGGTGAGTTTTATATTACCCTTTTCTGCAGTGTTTAAACCACCTTCTGGCCGTCCTGCCATTTGAATAATTCGGAGGAAGGGTGGGGGGGGGGGGTCATCATGTGTGCCTCGCTGTGAGAGGCTGTTTAGGAGCCGAGGTAGGGAGTAGACGGGTTTGTGCATAAATCACATCGATCGACAGATGTCACCACTAATGTATGCAGCTGGCTTGAGCCCCCCCCAAGCGAGCCTTTCCCCTTCTCCTGGGTGGGTGGTGGGACGAGTGATATTGTATGACGTTGTACTGCACGACTGGGAGCCTGAGATGTCGGGAATGTGTCTTCCAACCAGAGAAGGGGAGAAAAAAGGGGGGAGGGAGGGAAGAAAGACAAGGAAGAGAAGAAGGAAGGGAGTAAGAATAATTAATTATTGATTGCAGCGAAAATGGGACCGACCTGTGTAGGGCCAAGACCGGCGACGGCTCGGATGTATTTGTAAGTGGTATTTTCTTTATATTGCTCCAGTGTTGGGTTTCGATTTTCTGGTGATGGTGGGATAGTATATGGTGGGCCTCCAACGTGCAATCCCGATGGAGAAGACCGCGAGATCTGGTTATATTGTTACGTGCGTGTAATTTATGCAGGTATCCATTGCCATACCAACCCTCACGAGTAGAGTAGGAATCCGGCTCAGTCGTCGAGTACTTTGTCCGGACCCAGACTTCCCGGATCTACAGAGCTTATCCTTTGCTGGCTGATGATTGGCGAACAGAGGCTCCACTCAACCTTCAACCGTAACAAAGCCTGGCTGGAGCGAGCTGAAGCACAGAATCGGATCTCCCGACCATCATTAAGCGGCCGATTCGTTGTGACGATTAGGGCAGATCTTACTCTGGCACGTCTGGGATTAGTTATTGTTTATTTTGCTTCGTTTCGTTTCTTGCACTTGCACTTGCACTTGCCTTGTCCGGGCTTGCTTGCACCTCGGGGGAGGTGGTGGGGTAGTGCAGATTGCCTTGCTGGTGGATTAAACTTTTGGTCTAGATCGAATCCTGCTTTCTTGGGTGGATAATAGCTCAATTTTCACATCGTGGAGCATCGCTTGGTGGTAGTGCTCAACAGAATTCTCCTCGGACTCGGGCTCGGCCTGCCTTCGGCGTCCTGCGCTCTGGGCCATCCCGCCAATCAAATCATGTTTGGATGTACTATGGTTCCATCATCCCAGACCATCTGCGTCGAAATCGCTCAAATGTTCCAGCCAGCGGTGTAACTGATAACGTCCGTCCTGTCAGACCGCGTACAGGGCGGTGGAAGGTATGTAGTATGACTTTGTGTGCTCTGCGGGGAGCTAGTCAGTTGCCACCGTTATGGCTGCTGTATATGTTTTCTGGATGCATCTTTGACTGCGGACATGCGGCCATTACAAATGTTCTGTTCGTACTCGCACATATAGCTAGGCGTAGTGGATGGCTGGCTGGAGTCTCGTATTCATCCCTTAACAGCTCACTGTAGGCTAGGCTGGCTGTAACGGTAGAATGGGACTAATCGTGGTTGGCGGGTTATGAACGCCAGAAATTGGACGAATACGAAAAGAATAGATAGATACCCCGGCTCAACCAGCAGGTATACTAGCACGTAGCCAGCTGAAACATCCCAGCAATACATGTAGGTATTAGGTCGGTGAGCAGTTCGCTGCTCGTAGGGAATAGTGCGAGACTACATGTGCACATCAGGCAGTATAGTAGACACCACTGGCCACATATATTATCCATAGCGGTCAATGGGATGTGTACAATATATATGGAGGGTGGTCTTAGTAACGGTGTTCACAGTCTAGCCCAACGAGACGTGTCACTTAGACATGTATAAGTAAACAGGCTTGCATCCTCCTTCGTAATAGCATCATCCATCCTATATTTGAATCATCCTACAGCTGCAGGATGGGATGGGACGATATACGCAGTTTTCCCTGTCGATATCATCTACATTATAATTATAGGCTTCTACATACACACAATACATCTGCTAATGCACTGGCCTAATGATCCCAGCCCACTGCCCGCTGGCTCATGATCAGCAGGGCTCAGCACTAGCAGACCAGATTACCGAGACCCTTAAAGTTGCCCCGCCAAGAAGTATGTATGTACATCCATCCATCTATCCATCCGTCCCTTTTAAGCTTCGCAGCCGCAGGTCGCCAAGACACGAGTGATCGCACATGATGCTCACTCATGATCACCCCGGCCCTCTTACTTTCCGATCAACAATTAAGAGCAATAATATTGACGGAGTCAAAGCGTCATCTATCACCCGTAACACAGCAAATAGAGCTTCTAGAAACCCGACTGCTACTGGCCCACTGGTCTATGTTGGGGAGGGGATCGGCAATAACAAACCGCACGAGGGTCATGATATTCGGTTGTAATATTACCTATTCAGCAAGAAAATCAGGGTTCGCGGCCAATAAGCCGTTATGAGTACATGTTATGATGTGATGGCGACCCGGGATCGTCGTGCTACCTCTACTCTGGCTCTACTGCAGGACCATATGTTATGCAGACCCCGACTCCGAGTACCTAAGAGGTGTGGCAATCTCACCCGTGCTCTGTTTTGCTCTACAAGTCAATCAGTAATGTTTCAAACCATCCGCTGGTCCTTTGGCCACCTGTGCTCCACTGGTTGTGTGTGGGGTGGGAAATAAAGGGACGAAGAAAAAAGCTGTGATCACAAACTGGCTTTCCCGATCCCATGTGTTCAGTCTAGAGTAATAACGATACAGTCCAGTTCAATTCAGAAACAAAAAGATGGCGCCCAGAAACGACGTTGGGACTCATTTTGGGTAATTTGATTCGCCGCCTCCCTGAATTCGTCATTGGGGCCCGCTTTTATTCTGCATTTGCATGTGGTACTGTGCCTTTTTGAATTAGAATGCGGGAGACTGAGACAGACGGGTGCATTAGCATGATGGAGGCAGGTTAGGGTTGATGGTTGATGTCACTCGTGACGTGGAGAATGTCTTAGACTGGCCATGGCAGGGGTGAGACAGTGGCGCTTTGATGGTGTTGGGCTCGATCTTGGCCTCGACGCTGCTCTAATCTACGCTGCTGATCTGATCTGGTCTACATTATGTACTCTGAGGTCCTGGTAGAGATGTACTCTAAGGTACATACTCTACATAGGTAGATGTGGATGTGGATGGATGTACTCTGATCTGCGGGGTGTGGGGTATAGATGCATATTCTATGGGGGCGGCTGGGGGGATGATGACTATGGGTAATGATGCATCTGCTGGCAATGATCGGTTGGAAGAAGAAGAAGAAGCAAAGCTAGGGCAAGGGCATCATCACCTTGAACCAATTGGGGCTGACATCGAGTCTATTCACAGCCCATCACAGCCCATCACAGCCCATCACTCGCCCCTACCTATTTTCTCCACCTCACCAGCACCTCATCAGTCCTAAACCTCTGCGTACACGTGCTGCCCTCCAGCGGCGTCCTCTCGCCCTCCCCGTACGCCAGCAGCCCCGCATGCGCAATCATGATCCCATTATCGATGCAGAAGCGCTCATCCGTCGCAAACACGCTCCCCCCGCGCTGCGCCGCCATCAGCCCCATCATCTCCTGTAGCCGCTCGTTACACCCCACCCCGCCTACGACGAGCACCTGGCTGCTCCCTACGTGCGCCATCGCCCGCTCCGTGATCTCGACGAGCATCGCGAAGACGGTTTCTTGCAGCGAGAAGCAGAGGTCTTCTTTTGTGACGGGTTCGCCGGAGGGCGTGAGGAGGGGTTTGGGGTGCGAGGTGAGGAGCTGTGTTGCGAGGGAGTCGACGACCGCGAGGATCCCGCTGAAGGAGCAGTCCATGCCTTTGACGGTGTAGGGGAGGTCTAGCAGGTGCTGGCCGCGTTTGGCGAGTTGCTCGATGTTATAGCCTGGCGCGGGGTCGTTGGGGATGTGCAGGGTGCGCGCGAAGCGGTCGAGGCAGTTGCCGACGGCGATGTCGAGCGCTTCGCCGAAGATGCGGTAGCTGGTGGGGTGTTAGAATACGGGTGAGAGGGAGAGTGGGGGAGGGAGAAGAGGAGGGAGGAGGGAGAAGAGGAGGGAGGAGGGAGAGACCGTTGCTCGGCGTAGGCAATCACCTGCGTGTTGCCGCCGGAGACGTAGAGCACGACCGGGTTGTCGGCGCCCGTGATCTCGCGGCCCATCTCGATATCTGCGCGGCGGTTAAGCAGCCATCACTCACTCAGCAGCGGGCAGGAAAAAGGCAGATAGAGCAGAACGTACGGCCAACACAATGATTCACGCCCACCAGTGGCTTCCCCCACAGCAGACTCAGCGTCCTCGCCGCAATCGCCACGCTCTGCAGCGGTGCGCCCATTCCCGGCCCTACCCAACTCACCATCTACTCAGCACACCTCACCACACCGCAATATTAGCTCCTCCGAGATCGAGGTAGAGTACCTTTTGTATAGCAGATGCAGTCAATATCTTGCACCCTCGTGCCACTCTCCTTCAGCGCGCGCTTGATGAGCGGGACCACCCAAGAGCGGTGGTGCTTGGCCGTGTCCTTGGGCAGGAACCCCTCGCCCGGGGGAGAGACGAAGGTGTGCCGAATGTTTGAGAGGATCTCGGCGGGTTGCCCGGGGGTGTGCTTGATGAGGCCGACGCCGAGCTTGTTGGCGGAGCCTTCGAGGCCGAGGGCGATCATTGCGGGCGTTGTGTGTGTTGGTTATGGGGGGGGGGTGGTGAATTGAATGGATTGTTGCGGGTTTCAAAAGCTGTGTCGGGGGGGGGGGGGTGCTGTTTGTTTTGCTGTTTTGCTGTTTCGCTGTTGTAGCTGCTGCATCTGCTGCATGACCGGCGGGGTTGCGTGCATGATGGCGGGGCCCGGACGTGTTACCCGGCCGACGCAAAGACATGCAAGAAAATCATTACTACCGCAAAAAAAAGGAGAGGGCCGTGCAGAAAAAAAACAGCCCCACCGCACAGTACTACACCAAACACCCAAAAACACAACAGAAACATCATCACTCCACAACTTTCACAAATACCCCCCCAATTCCTACAACAATTACAGTTATAATCTCACAGTTCGATCCAGACAAATGCTCAAGAATGCGCTCCGCCGCACCCCCGGCACCGGCACATCCTTCATCTGCCTCTTCTGCAAGCCCAGCAACAGCACCACCGTCCCCCTCCGTCTCTCATCGCTAGGGGCAGCACCACCCCCGCCGCCCTCCGTACCCTCACCACCACCCCGCAATGCCTTAAAAATAGCACCGGTAAGCGCAAGTCCAAAGTCAAGGCGTCCAAGGCCAAGGCTGCTGCTGCCGTCGCCGCCGCCGGAGCCACGCCTGCCACCGAAGAGAGCGCCCTCGACGAGATGCGCAAGGGCATTGACGCCATCGTCGCAAAGCAGCTGGCCGCGGACCAGACCGCGGCGGCAAAGAAGAAGATGAAGGCGAAGGCGAAGAAGGGGGACGGCAGGAAGAGCGTTGTCGGCGAGGATGGCAAGAGGAGGCCTTTAGCGAGGATGGTGGCGGCGGGCGCGAGGAAGAAGGAGGGCATGACGCTGGCGGAGGCAATGGCGAAGAGTGGAGCAAGGAGGAGGAGCGTGGGCGAGGAGGTGGAGGTGGAGGTGGAGGAGGTGGCGCCGCCGAGGCCGAGGGGGTTGGAGGTCGTTGATCCAGATATGGCTTTGTTGGAGCGTGAGTGATTCTGTATCTTTCTGTGTGTGTGTGGGGGGGGGGGGGATGAGTGGAAATGATACTGATATTGACCCCCCCGAACAGCAATCAAAATGCAGGGCCACACAAACCCGCCCAAGATTCACCACGACCTCGACCGCGTCCTTTTCAACCCGGGCGTGCACTACCTGCAGGATCCTCGCTCGCACGTCTACAACTTCGAGCCTTACCTGCGCGACATCATGCCCGTGCACGAGTTCGACTTTGAGGCCGTCGACTCGTACATCACCTCATCCAAGGACACCAAGCTCGAGAGCCTCGCAAAGTCGCTAGGCAAGAAGTACTCGGGCTCGACCTCGTCCATGACCGCGATCCTCTCGCACTTCCACTACCTGCTTTCTCACTGGCGCGGTATCAACGCCGAGTCGCTCTCCAAGGCCTTCCCCGTCGAGTACCGCTCCTTCACGCAGCTCTCGCGCGCCCCCGTCGCAACCTTCCTGCGCTACAAGGGCGACGGCACATACGCCATCGACGCCGACAAGGAGTTCGACACGGACAGCATCCTCTCGCTCCTCGGCCGCTCGCTCGAGAAGATGCTCACCCTGCCCCCCGCAGACTACGAGTCGCTGCGCAAGGCCAACGCCGCCGAGCGCACAGAGGGCTTCACCCAACACCCGGACACGTTCCACTACAGCACCCTCGGTGACTTCCTGATGCGCTCCCAGCTCGACGCGTATGACCCGCGGCTGCCGGGCACGGGTATGTTCGATCTGAAGACGCGCGCCGTGGTGAGCGTGCGCATGGATGTGGCGAATTTCCACTTGGGATCAGGGTACCAGATCAAGACGCTGAAGGGCCAGTGGGAGAGCTTTGAGAGGGAGTATTTCGACATGATTCGCGCGGCGTTCTTGAAGTACTCGCTGCAGGTGCGCATGGGGCGCATGGACGGCATCTTTGTGGCATTCCATAATACGGAGCGCATCTTTGGGTTCCAGTATGTCGGGCTCGATGAGATGGATGGGACCATTCATGGCGGGTACAATAGCGGCGTGGGCGATAAGGAGTTTAAGGCCAGTTTGGTACTGCTGAACAAGATTCTTGATCGGGCGACGGAGAAGTTTCCTGAGCAGGTAAGTCAGAAAAAAAAAGTATAATCATGGTTTATCACTCGTAGCTAATAAGTGTGGGATTCTAGTCATTGCGCCTCCATTTCGAGACCCGAGAGACACAGACACCACAGATGTACATCATCGCCGAGCCCGTGTCCGAGAAGCAAATTGAGAAGATCCAGAACAGGAATGCGCGCGACATGAGCGAGTTCCTCAAGAGCCTTGAGGAGAAGCGCGACAGCGTCATGAAGAAGGCTGAGTCTAAGCGGATTGCAGAAAAGTTTGGCACTATTGAGGGAGAGGAGGCTGCTGCTGCCGAGGAGGAGGCGGAGAGGGTTGAAGAGGTCGTGGCAGCACAGGACGCTGAGGCAGCGGCGGTGCAGGAGGTGGAGGAAGCTGAGGCGGTCGGGGAAGCTGAGGCGGTCGGGGAAGCTGAAGCGGTGGAGGAAGCTGAAGCGGTGGAGGAAGCCGAAGCACTAGAGGAGCAGCTTGAGCAGGGGCAACAGGGGCTGGAAAGCTCGCTGGAGACGGAGTCGGTTGTGAGGACGACGGTGGAGGAGGAAACGGTGCTGGAGATGAAGGAGGAGGTTGCTGATGAGGTTGTGGAAGAGGTCTTGGAAGAGGTTTCGGAAGAGGTTACAGAGGAGATCCAAGAGGATGCCTCGGAAGAGATCTTGGAAGAGACCTCCGAGACCCCCGAAGAAACCCCAGAAGAGAGCTCAGAACTCACCTCCGAGTCCCCCGAGTCCGAGTCCACAGAAGCCTCCGAGACCACCATGGCCACTAAACCTAAATCCGTCAAGCCGTCCAAGCCGCCCATCCTCGCCATGACACTGACAACCTACAACCTCGTCAACAACCGCGCCGTGCTGCGGCCGGACCACCTCACCAAGCACGACAAGTGGACAGTCGAGTACAACATTGTAGAGGCGCAGTCCAACGACCGCGCATGGAACACGTACAACAGCATCAAGGTGCGGCGCAAGAAGGCCGTGGAGCAGAAGCTGCTGGCCGAGGACAGCGACGAGGTGAGCGGGTATGTCAAGTATCTGCGGGCGCTGTCGAAGGAGGGGCGGACGTGGGCGGCGGGGCAGGAGAAGAGGTGGGGGGGCGAGAGGGTGGTGTATAAGGCGGGTGGGCATCTGGAGTAGGAGGTTAGATGGTGTGTGGAACTCCCATCTCTCTGGGGTGGAGGTGTGTAGTTGTATTGGTATTATTATGTACATGTACAGTTTAAAAAAGCAATTTCTACTATCAATTACTGTTGTGGCTATTATGTAAATATTTTAAATGTTCTCTTCTCTTGTGTGTTCGGGTTTTGTTTTTGTTTGATTAATAGAAGTAGAGTTACTCCGGTCTAAATATTAGATAATGTTGGTGGCCGTATGTAAAGTCTTTGTGAGATACTTGGTCCGTGCTATAGGCCGTCTAAATAATCATTGGCCACCCTGCGGGCTTCTTTCACCCGGTGAATTCTATATCTACTTAGTAGAGTAGTATCTTTCTCTAGGTCTAGGGTTATATACGGCTAATAGGAGCGCGCCGTGCAGTTGGCCCTGGTCAGTTCTTTTAATTATATTTTGACTCCATTCAGTGTCAACGATAATTTAGCACAAGAGCATATGTGCTTATTACTAGAGGACTACATGTACATATACAGTCATAAGTGCAGTTTTTCTTTTATCATTGGTCAGACGTAGGGCGACTAGCCTGCTGTACTCCTTCTGGTAATTGGTACTTGGGAGATATTTAATTGACAGCACGATAATCTACACACGCCCGCGCGCCATGGTCAGGAAATACACTATATGTTGTAACGAAGGCATTATATCGCCATACATGTAGCTACCAACTAGAACCGAGAAAGCCCCCAGCGTCCTTCAATCTCACCTCCAATCCGCCCAGGCCCAGGCCCAGCCAAGATTGTATCTCTAAACAGATGTCGGCCACATTTCCACAGGCTATATAAACCCACCCACTGTCTCCTCTCTCTCTTCCTTGTTCTTTCCTTGCTATCAGACAGGGCCATGACCACCATCGATCCACCCCACTGCCTCCCACAAACGACCTGGGAGGGTAGGATTGGGATTTGGGATCTGGTGGTTATGGCCTGTTTGCCTTTTCTCCCCCTTGCCCTGTGGTTCCCCTGCCCCTTGTGGCCCCTCCTGCTGGTCCTCTCCCCCTCCTCACCCCTCCTTCTCCTGGCCCCCTCTCCCTCAAGGGATACCTTTGGCTCCTGGGGGTCCCTGTCGCCCCCTTCCCCCCTCCCCCCCCTCCCCGTAGCCTCCCCTGCTCCCGCCCCCGCCCCTACCCCCGTTTCCATCCCCATCCTCCTCCTCCGTCTCCTAAACCCCAGCCTCGTGCGCTGGTAGAGACGGAGTTGAGGTGAAGGTAGAGGGGCGGCATGGACGAGGGATGGCGTGGGTGAGGGCGGGGCTTGACTTCTTTCCCCTCCCCCCTCCCCCCTCCCGCCGGGGCGCTTCCTCCTCACGGAGGAAGCACCCACTATCAGTCCTTGGGCGCAGCCCGAGGGGCTGAGAGCGGGCCTCCATTGTTCTGCCTCCTCTCCCCTCCTTCCTGCCCCCGTAGCCGTCCCCCTCCTAGCCTCGTGCGCTGGCGGGTTGATCCTTCCCACCTGTCCGCCCGCCCTCTCCTCCCGTCTGGCCCCGCTCGTGGTGGGTTTCCTCCCGTGCCTGTCCCCCGTAATCCCCTGCCCCCCGCCCCAAAGTTTCCCGGTCCCTGCCGGAGTGCTCCCTCGCGTAGGGAGCGCATGTCTCTCTCGGTTTCTGGGCTCTGTCCGAGGGACCGAGAGATATATGTATATCCAACCTCCGCCATGAGCTTCGTGCTCATGTAGAGCTTCTCCCCCTGCCCCCGAGTGCTTCCCCCTCATGGAGGCGCAGGCTCTATTGGTTCCTGGGTTCTGTCCGAGTGACCAAGCGGGTCTGTCCCCCTTTCATCCCGTCCTTCTGCTACCCGCTCCCCCCCCCCCCCCCATTCCCCCCTTTACCCCCCCTAGCCTGTACGTAGGTAGAGCACGGAGCGTTGCGCAGAGTGTATCATGAAATATCACTCGGTCACCAAGAACCTTCCCCAATGCTCCCTTCAGATAGGGATATGCGTGGGTTTATAGATAAAGTGTAAATATAACACACGTAAGTACCTTAGATAACCCCAAGCTAAGTAATTCCTCGTGCGAAACCATTTCTCCGCCACTCTCCTGAACTAGAAAAGCCTGGGCATAGCATTGCTCGTATTGCCATTTACCCCAGATAGAACTGCCTCGTTGTATGTCTACGGGACTATAAGTAAGATATTCTTAGTACTAGGCCCTTCACAGCGCTGTTGGGGTCGCTCAAGACGGCAGGGCATCTTGATCATTTAAGGAGGCTGGAATCATGGTTGTGATGAAATATGCCTAAACCTAAGACATCTATCTACACATGGAGCTTTTTTTTTTGTTTAATTCATTGGTCTACACATGGAGCGTATATTAGAAGGAATATGCATCCTCTCTATTGCTAGAACGTAGACTTCAGCTGGATTTGATGGTAATCACAGAATATCACTCGCTTCCTAAGAACTGTATCAGATATTTTTATAGGTACGGGAAGGGTAGGGAATTGATGGACTGCATGATTCCTCTCCCTTGTTTTTCAATGTAACCAGTACTAGGCCGGATACAGGTATTTTACTGACTCTGTACTTAAAAAGCCCAATAAGGGCCGAGAAGTCGTGTTATTAGAGGACGTTCACTCTTACAGCAGGTATCCTTCTAGGGAGACTCGATTGTAGTGGTGTACACATGAGTTTTCGTCGTTTTTTCTTGTAGGATCTGGTGCAAACCGGTGGTAAACCTCAAGATGCTTGGTGAACGGAATGAGTGAATAGCCAGACGGTAAACCAGGCGCTCCGTTGGCCACCTTAGTAGAATGACCATTTGCCAAGTTAACTGTCAAACCACCCCATCACCCAGAACAGCGCCTTAACCAGCAGCACAGAACAAATGAACTCCAACAACATCAACGGCTTGACTCAGGGTTAGGTGAGAACGCAGGCCAAACCACGGGGTCTAAATTTCAAAACCGAGTGACAACCTATGAATAACTTTCCCCACTGCTTACTTTGCCCGAAGAGTTTCACTTCAAATCCTTATATTCTTGTGCGTCTGATTCACCTGCACTGCATGTCTCCCGGATGTAACCTCACACGCACACACGCAGCACAACACGAGCTGAACAAGATCGATCTTGCAGCTCGATATACACCTCGCGGGTCGAGCATGATCAGTCACTCCCGAGACAGCAGCAGGTTATAGGTTGGTAGGTGAGGTTCCGAATCTGAGGGCCCTGGGAAACGACATGTACTATACTCGTGACAGGCTTGAAGTACCCGAGTATGCAGCTGCAAGTTTTTGGTGTATTTTTGACTTCTACTCCAATGGAAATTGCAGATTAGGACGTGCATTTTCGGGTACTTGTTACCTACTCTACTGCGAGTACTGCATGTAGACTACATATATGTACATGTAGAGTAATCCCCATGGAGGAAGGTACGTACATGTAGGTACAGTCTCATGCGTTGTGGCCGCCTGAAGAACGCTAGTGGGGAGGATCAGAGGTGACTGGCCACAACCACAACAGCTAAAGCCGTCTTCGACATCCTTCTTGTCTCGCTGTCTTACATACAGTCCGGTGGTACCTGAATCGAGTCATCGATTCTCTAACTGCATCGTGTGGACAGCTGGCCTACCATGCACCTCCGGCTCTGCTTTAGTGGAAATGATAGCGATTGAGGAGCCAATTGGCAATGATGATACACTACAAACCTACTATCTGGATTTATCAGGACGATGCCCTCGGCATCATCACAAGAAGAGGAATCGTGAGCGGGATCTGTTTGTCTGTCACGGGAATGGCGCAATGCGGCTCAACACCAGGCCTTAGCCGATCACCCGAAAAGGAAAGTGGGGGACGATCGCGGGGTATGTGATTCAAAAAAAATCCGCTTTTCACGAAAACTTTCCAGGCGCTATATTTTGATTGATAGCTATATAATAATTTCCCCCAAGCAGTTGAATACTTGACTCAGTGAGAAGAGAGAGAAGTATAAAAAAAAGTAAGAAGAAAAAAGGGAAATGTATAAAAAGGAAGAAATAGTGTTAACAGAAGAGGAACCCAACAGAAAGAAGTCTTTATAGCCAGCCAGAAAAATAAAAAAAACAGAAACCCCCCAAACCATACGCTATTGTTGAAAAAGACTCAAACCAACCCAATTTTTTTTGTTTTGAAAAAAAATGCCGCTCCCTAAAGAAGAAGATGTTTACCATCCCCTCTTTGCCATCCTCTCACCTCCAGGGAGCTTCTCAACGTTGAGTCCGACCATGGCCTCTCCGAGATCAGTGGACACCTCAGCAAGGACCTTGGGGTCGTTGAAGTGGGTAACGGCCTGGACAATGGCCTTGGCCCTGACAGATGCGTTTCCGCTCTTGAAGATACCAGATCCAACGAAAACACCGTCACATCCCAACTGCATCATGAGAGCAGCGTCGGCGGGGGTCGCAACACCTCCGGCAGCGAAGTTGACAACGGGGAGACGGCCAAGACGGGCGGTCTCCTTCAAGAGATCGAAGGGAGCACCAATCTCCTTGGCCATGACGTAGAGCTCCTCGTCAGAGAGGGCACCGGCCTTGCGGATCTCGTTGGTAACGGTGCGCATGTGCTTGACGGCCTCGACGACATCACCGGTACCGGCTTCACCCTTGGTACGGACTAGAGAGAGGTTAGTATCAGTGTAACGGGAATGAGTCATAGTAGGTAGGTAACATACTCATGGCGGCACCCTCAGAGATACGGCGGAGAGCCTCTCCAAGGTTACGACATCCACAGACGAAGGGAGACTTGAAGTTGTGCTTGACGACGTGGTGAACGTTGTCGGCGGGGGTCAAGACCTCGGACTCGTCAATGTAGTCGACACCAATGGCCTCGAGGATCTAGCATGTTGATTAGTCCATGCTGCTACCGCAAGAAATGGATGAAAGCCAATGTCAATGACTCATATATCGAACATACCTGGCACTCAACAAAGTGGCCAATTCTCGCCTTGGCCATCACGGGAATGGTCACGGCCTCCATGATCTCCTTGATCATCTTGGGGTCGGACATTCTCGAGACGCCACCCTCCGCACGGATGTCAGCGGGGACACGCTCAAGCGCCATAACGGCGACAGCACCAGCCTCCTCAGCGATTCTGGCCTGGAGAACCAATTGTTAGAGATGTATGGCACAAGACAAAAGGAAAGGAACGAGAAAAAGGAAAGAAGAGAAAAGTTTTTCCCTCCGAGAAAAAAAAGTTGTGAAATCATGACATACCTGCTCAGCATTGACAACGTCCATGATGACTCCTCCCTTGAGCATTCTTGCCAAACCGGCCTTGACGAGGAATTGAGGTGAGAGCGCTGAGCGCTCGACGTTACCGTTAACTGGGAGATCGTTGGACATGATTGCTGTTATTAGGATTCGAGGTGTCGAAATGGAGTGTTTGGGAGTTTTTTTATGCTATGGAGCAATTATATGGGAGCGGGGTGGAAGGGAGGGAGAAAATGTGGGCGGTAGAACAATATATATATGTTTTTAGTAAGAGGTGATAATGGCGCAACCCGTAAATTACTCACACTCACCCGCCGCAGGAGGAGGGACGGAAAAGAAAAAAAAGTTTGACTGAATTGAATAGGTAATCTGTTTACAAGGGGCAAATTGATACGCTTTGGAGTGAAGGAAGACGAAAAGTAAAAAAGCTTAGATGGGCATCCCACGCCTCAAACATCTCTGCTACCCCACTGATTAACACCGGCCGAACACTCCCGCCGCCGCTGTCCGCTTGCCGTAGCAAACCGAGGCCCTCCGTTATGGTTTTTGGCTTCTAGAGAAACAAAACCACACATCTACGAAACAACTTCTTCGTGGGTTAGGTAAAGCGAAAAAATTGTTTACTTTTTCCCTTTCCGGTGTTGCATCGCCATGACCGGCCGGCAGCCAGGGAAAAAAAAATGCACCTGAGATGTCAGCCACCCAAATCTGTCATGTTGCAGCACAGCAGATAGCGATAACGTTTTCGACCCAGTACTGTGTCAGACCTAGAAGTGTGTCGCATGGCAACGGCACCAAAACCAGACACAAAGCCCCCAAAAAGAAAGAAGACCCCATAACACCATAATAGAGGATAATCCATCTGGAAACCATCCTAATCCGTGTGCTTTTAAATGGAATTCATTTGTTAAAAATCTGGCAGTAAATATCTCAAGAGATGGTGGAGATAGTTTTGGCAACAGAAATCCCCATACAAATTTGTATGGGATTGACACTCTTCTATGTCTGACACAGTACCCGGTCTAAAACGTTAACATTAAACCCCCGCGTTGCATCCATCCCATAACGTGGCAACGGTTGACATCAGCCTGCTGCTAAGGACTGATATCTACGGTACCCTGGTTTATTTTAGCACGGCACAGGGTCTGTGTGCTTCGGGCACCTTGATATTAGTGCTTTGTGGCGCTCAACGTCGGGCTGGAGAGCTTCTGGAACAGATCATGAGATGGAGCTAGTACTCTAGGTGCTGCTGCAGCTTTCCCCACAAACGTCTATATCCTCGGATTAATTTGTTCGAGAGCTTTATGCTTACTGAACAGTAGATAGCCGCGAACTCTCAGAGAGGTCGAGAGGCCGAGGTTGAGAGTCGAAGGGAATTGAGAGTCAGAGCATTTATTCCTCTCAGCCCTCTCAGTTGGCCCTTGATCCCTTAGTAGGAGGTAGCATTAGAGGAAGGTGGGATTTACTCACATGTAAACGAAGACTTTCCCTCCCCGCCCTCCCCGCCCTCCCCTCTTCTTATCGAGTGTGGAGAAAACTCTTCACCCCCTGCTCGTCCCTGATCGTTACAAAGAAGAGAACAGCCTATCCCGGTGGGGCCGTAGCTGTTCTGGTCCTATGATTTTAGACCTCCGGCTCTTAGTGTGAGTTTTAAGCTCGCCAATGCGAGAGCAACACGCCATCATAGACAGCTAAACATATAAATAGCTCGGCAACTGAGTGAGTTAATGGTGCGGTACGCCAGCTCATAATTTTATCGTTCTAAGGGTGTTGACTTGAAATGAGGATGAGCAGGGTCAGGATGATGTTCCTTCCTCCCGGAGGAAAGCAGTAATGGGCATATCCTCGTATATCACTAGCACTGGGTGGATCGGCGGTGAGGTCTTCTGGAGCTGCTTGCTCGTAAAACGGACCTTCTGTTCTAACGTTATTGTGTGTGTTGACCGCGGATAATTAATGGTGTTGCTCTGGCCATCAGGTGAGCTTTGCGGCAAATAATTGTGGAGTGGTACTATACAACCTATCTAGAAGCTAAGGGTGTTGTTGTTGTTGTGTGATTCCGAGGTAACTGACATAAAAAATGCTATATTGTGGTGCTGGCCTCATTGGTGAGTTTCTCCGCCCAAACATGCACAATTGTGTTCTTTCCTTATACGGTCCTTATGCGTCTCCGGGCTCCAGGGGGTCATAGGAAGAGAGAAATGAGAAGAGTAGGTGAGAATCAGCTTTTAGACCTAGCCCCACCCCCGTGATCTGACTGCCATATCCTGGAAACTGACGAAGGAAAACATAACTACATGCATCCCGCTGGTAGAAGTGTTAGATCGAAGCTTCAGGAATTGAACCCTTTGATGATGAAGATGTCTATAGTAGGCGATATTATGTTCCTGTGTGATCGATTGAGAGACTAGGTGAATAGAAGTTCAGTGTCACACGTACATCTTAGGCTGGTATACGTATCTCCTCATTACAATAACCTCCTATATATCAACATTAGTAGCTTTCCAAACCCCATCGGAGTCCCCTTATCTATATCACGCCACCCGCCCCACCCGTAACATGTGAGAGGCAAGTTTCACACTGATTAGAATTCAGGTCGGGTTGCGAGTGATACCCTATGATCAAACTCACAGAATGCAATCCTCGACTTTGGGAGCTATGTGGTGAACCAAAATTATGAGGTTTAATGATACAAGACACATATTTGGGTTAGATCTGTTTCACGGTGGAGGCCCTCTTGTCTTGTGCCCGAGAAATATACACCGCCCACCAGGCTTCCCTAATCTTCCATAACAACTACCAAAGGGCAAAAGTAACCCAAGACGCTGCGTAATCCTCACTCCGAGTTGGTCCAAGCTACTTTGAGGGATTGATACCAAAGAGAGGAGGATAGACAATTCTAGTTCGAAGAGATAGTTTCTCGTTCTCACGTAGTCACACTCCTTGACAGTGGCAGTATGCACTTGACTTACTGATCTTAATACCAAGCGACCTATTGACACTGACATCTCTTGAGCGTCAAGAGAGAGTCCGGTGTTCTAGGTCCGCTTGTGCCAGTAGATAGGAACACCGAAACTATTGGGCTAACCTACTCCTTCCCATATTCCTTTACAGGTTGTTTACAGCATTTCTCTCCTCCATATTGCATGGTCTACACCTAGACTCGACCCTACGGTAGTACTTTCCGCCTGATAAAACGCTTGTGTAGAGACGGAACCCCAGTACCTACTCGGGCTTAAATGATAGCCATGGAAGTAAAGAACAGTGAGTAGATGGGAATGAGGAACTGCTAGATAGCTAGGCATGAGGGACGATAGGCTATGAGCATCACCTTTTCTACTGGTCATAGTACGTACTACTGGTAATCATGAGCAAAATTCATTCTTTTGAACCTTCCTCTTAACAGAAAACTACTCACAGGAAAGAGAGCAGGTTAAATTAGACCAACCTTATGTTTACACGCCGGTAAGCCGGGTCTTTATTCGGGAGAATCTATAGTGTCTAGTTAGATAAGAGTCCAGGGTGAATTCCAGGACCGGAGGGAAGATTCGGGTATGATATCGAGTCTCGATAACGGAAGAAGGCCGGGTTGCATATTGTGATGTCGAGAATGATTACGACCGCTTTTATCCGGGGCGTGTTTGACTCTCGAGAATACTAAGATAATGGTTAGGCATAGTTGAGCCACGACAGTAACCGGCAACTCAAGAGAGCTCTCGCGGCCGATGTCTCTCCCATTCATCCTCCCTTGACCTTCTTTCCCCCTCTTCCTACCTCATTATCCTTTGCCAAAAATGGGATTCGCGTACTAACAATCACAACGAGGCACTAGCATGAGGTGCTCAGTACAAAGCTTCCAATGCCGATGCCTTGTGGTTGACTCTGCTCGGCTCACCGTCGAGCCAAAGATGTATTCATAAATATGGACCCCGTGAGTGACTGTGACCGCACAGGGAGGGTGATTACAATCATCTTCCCGAGCCACGCTATAAGATATTCACCGTTGAAAAAGACTTGGGCTCTTTTACTCCCAAAACTCAATTCAAATCCATCCTTCAATTATCCATCACCATCGATCAATGATTCCGCCGCCACCCCCAACCATTATCACCATCTCAAAGCCAGCTCGGTACAATCACATCGCCCAACAAACAATGAATCAAGCCTTTGAAACGTAATCCGAGAAACTATCCAACATATCAAACCTCATCCCTCCTTTCAAGATACCACGTCTATTCCTATGCGCAGGATCCCGCGAGTGATATCTCATGAAGAGATACTCGATTCGCATAACAACCACTTGTGCACAAATCTTCTCAACCAAACCATCTCCACCCCTGCCCTGGCTGATCAGGCTGTGATGCAAACAAAAACCTCATCCATTGATCGGGATCGGAGGTAGGATCGTGATTACAGCCGGGCAGATCTAGATTAGATCGGATTGTATGCTTTTTTCCTATAGGGTGGATTTAACTGTCTCTATGCATCCCACGTCTTCACGTTGCTTTTGATAGGCTATTTTTAAAAAGAAACTAAAGAGACCGCTTATAACCGTCCTACAACAACTGAACACATCACTTTCTAACATTCATGTATAAATCCACGTAGTTAAGATGTTTACAGCAATAGTTATTATGCTAAGCTTCGATCAAATTTTTGAGATTGCAATTGGCAAATCTTACTATTCCATAACCATCAAGTTAAATCAGCTCCACTCATGACTAAATATCGTAAGCACATAAATAAATTCACCAACCAACTAAGCAATGAAATCCCCCAAATCAAATAAAAAAAACGCCTGGTACTACAGTATTATGCACTGTTTCATCTCGTATCCGTAATCCCGATTGTTCATTTAACCCTCTCCTTCTCCTTGCTTTTCCCTAGTCTACCCTGACTTTTAGAGGTCAACCTCCCTTGTGGCTTTCCATTAGAGCTGGGACCTAGCAACAGCCTCCCTTTCTTCATCTCCATTATCGTTTCCACCGCCTTCGCAGGCAAGCTTACAACACTCCATGCGAATGATACTGGTGCCACAAGAAGCGCAAAGCTCCATTGCAGTAGTACCCCTGCAAGTGTCTGCTCCTTCTGCCGCGCACTCGCCGCTGCAGCAAGTGTAAGGATGTCATTGAGCCGAGCATCGATTTCGTGGATTCGAGTTTCGGTGTGTAGGCTGTGAAGGGCTTCTTTTTTCTCGTAGCGACGGACAGCACCTAGGATAATAGGTCAGCTTTATTTCTAATATCAAGAATTTAACTAAAGATGGGAGGCATTACGGTTCAGTGCGTCGAGATCAGGATCTCGCTCGATTGCACGGGTGGCTAAAATTGTAAGCTCCTTGACTTCTGCCTGCAGTTCATCAATCCTTGAGCCCAGAAGATCAACTTTTGCGGGTGGAGGATGATGAACTGTGCTCTGTAGATATTTTGTCCGAGTACGGATCAATTTTACAAGCTGTGCGGATGGCCTCAACTCCGCAGCAAGGACGAAAGTTGAGAGGTTGAAATTTGATATAAGGCCTCCACTAGGTCGAGAGAGCTGCCCGCGGATCATGTGGAGCATCAAGCCGCCTACAATCGGTCCAATGAAGCAACATAGCAATGCAATATGTTCATGCATGAGGAGCTCATCAACTGCAGCGGCACGAATTTCAGCCTCGCGGAGTGTTTTCGGTGGTTTAGGGTTTGGGACAGGGTCGAGATCAGGACTTTCGGATGCGATTGATTGTGCAGCGCGATACCATTCCCTATCAACTCAACTATCAATTTAAACACTCAAAGAAAGAAAGGATGATTACGAACCATGGAAATTTGACCAGCCAGTGAAGAAATATAGCGGCGAGAAATAGCAGAATTATATCTGTAATGAAGAAGTCACCCCCAGTGACAAAGGCCCCGGCGATTGCTGGGAGAACAGCAAATGCAAATGGAATATTGTGCCATGTCGGAGACTCGCCGTCGGTTGGTGCTAGTACGATTTCTGCCGCGGATCCAAGTGCTTGTTTCGCTTCCTGCAGCGTCAACGAGTTCCGCCGGCTATTCACTGCCTCCAGCGAGGAGAACGTTGATGAACGACGACGCCGACGAGGAGTACTGGGCGCTTGAGCTCCCGGAGAAAGCTCTGGGGAGAGAGGACGACTATGCTTGGTAGTTGTTTTAGTTTCGGACATCGTGGGGACGTCGACGGTTATTGGTATGTGAGAGCTGAATGAAGGGAAGGAGGGGAAACGAAGTTTTCAACGTTCATGGACGGTTATATCTATTCTACCAGGTTTCCCATGTCTTCTCCAAAGAGGGGTGAACGTTTCGGAGGTGTGGCCATCTTGTCCGACATCCGCTCGATGGGTGTGGAGTATCGGTACAGCACATGCATGAATCACATGTGCATATGAGTACACACTTTACGCCGTAGAGTAGAGCGTGTACTGAGAGTAGATTATCCGCTGTTGGCCAGTCACTTCACTCTCACTCATCACCACCCCTCCCCACAGAAACACGGAGCTTCAAGGCCGTTTCACGAGTCTCTACTCTGTTTGTTCATTGATCTTATGATGGCTTTCCTCCCTCCGTGTCCGAATTCAAATCCGCTATCGGTGACGAATCTGGGGAATTCGAGATGCGGAGAACCTTGGGGGCAAAAAAGGACAACAGGGGTGGGCAGATGGGATATGCACGTCATTCTGAGAACATCGCACGCAGAGCTGGATTGAGATGAGTATGTAGATATTGAGAAATAACTAATTGGAGTTCTGGTGAAGGATTATTATTCCATTGTTTGACCCGTGTGTGCGTGATCACGCGTTTCCTGAAAGTATTGTTTGGGTTGTTGCAATCAGGGATCTGATTGATAAGAATGCGATAACCAAATCACAATATACCCGCGCTATTCATTAGATCTTTACTGAAACCTGCAATAGGCATAGCGTAGGATGAATGTACTCGACCAAGGACGGGGCTAGAGTCGTGAATTAATACATACAGCTGCCCTCCGCTATACCGAATGCCAAAAAAGCCACAAATCTGCTATAACGAAGGAGTTTGGTGAGCCGAATCTGAATTTCACCTGCTGTACCGAATAATCTGCTGTATCGAACGAGAAATTTTGGAATATGCAGGTTCACGGAGGGCAACTGTATACATATATGTAGATATAACTAAGGCTAAGAGGTACGCGCTTTCTGCGAGTCAATGCAGGGCCCTGGTAAGCAATAAGGAAACACAACCACCATATATTTGTTTCATCTATGTGGCACTTATATATTCTTTGCAAGTACATGTAGCTATATAAATCTTCTGGTGTTTACAACCTTGTGTGCTTGATAACATTGAGAAATGTTAACTTCAAACAAGTTTTTCTCCCTTTTATTTATTCGAGAAACCAAACCCCACGGGAAGACTATCCACCGGCTGCACTGGCGCAGAAAGATTACAAGTCATCGCCTTCAACGATACCACAGGGGCGTCCGCGGGTGACATCGTAAAGCGGCCTCCAGGCACGATATGTTGGGAAATCGTTCTCGTGGTCCGGAAGATCGACAATGGCTGTAGCAATGGCAACCTTCAAGCTTGGAACTTCTTCACGGTGAACGGCTGTACCGTCAAGCTATTAAATCATCAGCATAAAGCTTGAAAATTATCCGAATTGGTTAATTGAATACATGCCCTATTAACTCTCCAATGAAGCTTCTTGTTCAAGAATGGAACAACGATATCGGGTTCTAGCGACTGTAACTCCGGAATAGAATTATCTGGAATACGGTCCAGCAGCCCTCCGGTAAGTGGGATAGACGCCGTAACAGTCAAACCTTCTTCGGCGTTCTGCTTGCATTTTCCGCAGCCGGTGTTATCACTGTTGTTGGCAAAGACAGTGAAAGTGCCGACCAAGTTTCTGTCCAACATACGAGCTACTGGGTCGGTGTTGAAATCACCCATGAAGATATGGACATTAAAGGACCCGCCAAGGCAATATTTATCTACACGAATATCGGCAAAGTACTCGTGGTAGTGATTGTCCTCGAGGAGGCTCGGATGTCCGCCCTCAGCTACAGAAACAAAGGGCTTTTTAGTATCATGTTTGTGGACCTCGGCATGTTTGTGGCCTGCATGGTCGTCGTCTCCAGGTCCATCTGTTTGGGGAATCCCAACCGCATGCTGGGCCATAGCCTTGAAAGGCGCGATAGCAGCCGCGATGGTACCCGAACCTGAGCTACTGCCTGCAATTCTTCCTGCAGGAGCTTGTGTACCATATAACCGTGTGACAGCCGCTACAACATTTTGCTTGACTTGAGTCGGACCGACAACGCCCCAGTCGATGAGTTCGGGGTAAGTACTGCCAAACTGCTTCAACTCTCGGCATGTTTGCGAAGTATAGTATTCGCGGTCGTTCTTGTGGAATGGTAGAAGCCCTGTGAGAGTTAGAGACTAAGAATCATGCATGAAATATGAAAGTGCTGAGCTCAGGGAAAATAAATACCGCACCTGTGTTGACGCCCTCAATCGTAGGGTTGTTGCTTTGTTGGCTACCACGTGACCAGAAGGTGGAGTTCAGGGCTATTTGATCGGTCACGTAGCTGTTGGGGTTCAGTACCTGCCAGAGAGCAAAGATACGATCAACATTGCAGTGGTGAAGCCAGAAAATAGGATCAAAAGCAGCGTATCCGGGGTGGCCCATGTGACCTAAAGGAGTTAGGCAGTGGCTCGTTTAAAGTATTTTCAACTATATCAATACGTACCGTCTCCTCCGGTTATGCCATGGATCATGTTATGAATAGATTCCAAGGAGTCATAGTCGTCTGCACGGCCGTTTCGTACCCAGCCATCATTGGAGAAGGCCTTATATTCCTTGTAGCCATTCTGTGTCAGAAGAGCATACATCCTATCACGGATACTAGAGAGGCCCGGCGTGATTAGCAACGTCTAGTATTGTGATGTGGAATTTACCTACTTCCTGAAATTGCTGTCCAAACCTCTCTGAACCTGGTCTGGGCTGCTCTTATCGGTGGCAGCTGGAGCACGACCTCTGATCAGTGGCTGGCGAATAGTAGCAGGCCAAGTATAGTATTGGCGTTCGGGAAATTCCCTCTTATCAATATTGGTGCCAAAGTTATAACTGTAGAGGGGATTGTTGATTGTTTTTGTTCCGGTGGGAGTTTCGACAGTAACTTTTTCCTGTCTAAGGACAATATCTGGCAGCTTTTGGTTTGCGGCAAAATCCCAATAGCTATATCCGTGATAATAGTGCAAATTAGATATTCGTTTTATGGTACAGAATAGAGTGGGCTACGAACGGAATGCGAAAAGATGGAACGAGACGCATGTATTTGGTCTTGGTTGGGCCCTCAGGGAATGCTTGAACGGCTGCCTTGACACTTGCGAAGAGTGCTTGCTATTGAATCCACATTGAATCAATCATTAGAAAGATTTCAGCAACGAATGGAGAGATGGGGCAGAACTCGTACCTCATACACAGCAACATATGGTCTATGCCAGGTTGGAAACAGGATACTTGAATGAGTGCAATACCCAGTGTTGTTACCAGCAATACCTGAAACATTATCCCAAGCTGTGTAGGGACGTCCATGAATACCACCAATCTGGAACCAGGAGAGCTTGTCGGTCTTTGGGAGACTCTGCATGCGCTGTAATCCGAGAAGATAGATATTGAGCATATCCTTGTTCTGGATGAACTCATTGATCTCTGTACGGAGTGGGACTGCGGGGCCATTGCGTCCCTCGGTCACTCCGGTGATATCAACGTAGTCTGTCATAATTGCTTGCTATGAATAGAGAAGTGGGATGTAGGAAGTTTGATAGAACCCTTGGTGAAGTCCTGGGTTTTGGTAGAGGACAATCAAGAAGATGGGGGACAAGGAGGGGTATTTGTAGAAATATAACAGATAGAGGGGCAATGCGAAGACGTAAGCTTGTAAGTTTATTGGTAAGATGTCTTATTACTTTTCGCGGGACGTTGCGTACGCAAAGAAAGGTTTGAGGCCAATGATTCCGCAATATCATTTTAAGGCCCAACTTTGGTACCAACATCCTGCGTGAGGACCCTTAGAGACGGGTGGACCCTAAAGACATGTGGTTGGTGACACATGCAAGGTTAGTCGCACAAAAGAGGCATGGTGTGTCCTAAAGCAAGATTGCAATCGTGACCATCAATAAACATCTACATATTCTCTGAACCATTGTGCAAGACACAGGGTCTGTGAGACAGCTTTGCAGAGGAGCTGAAAAATATCACCCTTAAAGGAAGAGATCAGAGCCTTTTACGGCAGGATTACAGCCAACACCGCTCTTGGCAACCGTCCGAACGAACTCAGATTTTGCGGTACTCTACATTACTAGTCAAGCAAGGAAAGCGGGGTCAATCGCTTGGTTCCGGCTTCTTGCTTAATTAAAATTTAGGCCTGTTTTGGAGATATGTAACTGTAAATAGTAGTGCATTGTTTGATGGGCTGAGGTGAGCTGGAATGTCCAAGGGCGGCAGTAGTCATACTTACTAGATACGGATATTAGTAGGTGTTATATAATCATTGATTCACGCCTAACATTGGGAATCACTTTGCGGTCGATCCTAGTCCCAGATAAGGTCCTTAATAGTAGTTATTGAATACAAATAGCAAGATTTCATTGTACTTAACCTTTTCAGAAGACTATTGCCGAGAGAGGCACGCCTCAAACAATTGCATGACATTTTAAGTAATTTTATAATAAACACGATGTAGTGCTCATGACCATCATTCCGCCTCGTTCCCGACGCTCAGCTCCCTTTTTTCCCCACAGTACTTCCCACTAGATCTGCATGCATCTTTTCAGCTTTATTCCGCTTCTCAACATAGACACCCACATATTCAGGCACTTCATTCACTGCATTATCTAGGCTTGGAATTGGTACGCCCAAGGCTTCAAACACAGGAACTACCCCAGTCCATACTTTTTCGCGTAGCCCAGGGCGCTCACTATCCTTCTTTTCATCCATCGGGGGCCCTATCCTAACCTTCGCAGATGCACTACTGATCTTCAGTTTTAATATGGATGTCGAGCTCATCTCAGCCTCATCAGGCGGAATGCGGGTATGATTCCATCGGTCAGGAATTACAGAATTAGTTATTAACTCCATTGCATAAAGCTTCTCTGCTGGATCGATAACCAAAGTTGCGGTGCCGTGGAGAATCGCAGAACGGTAGTTGTAAGAGTGAGAATTGGGTGTCAGGGATAGCACAAAGCCATCAACCTTAGTAGCAGCTACACAGAGCGGGATTCCTTCTACCCCACGTGCAAGGTTGATTATTCGAGATGAAACGTAACCATGAAGATAGCTGGTATGAAATATTAGACTTCTTGCATTGATAAATATTATGACGATCGCGAGATGTGTCTATATGTGGTGGAATCTTCATACCAGTCCAGAGCATCTGTTTCATCAGAGCTCGGGTAATCAAATGATCCCATCTGTCCTATCATAGGAAGGATCATTGGAAGCGGCGCTGATGATGGATCTTTAGGGTCTGAAGGTACCACAAAAGAGACATGAAGAACAGATGTTGCGTTGACAATTCGATGGATAGTCAATGCATCATAACTCGCTATTGAATGTGAGAAAAGCTCATTTACATTTGGGGCGATCTAGAATCAAGTCTAGCTATCTCCAACGATAGGTCTATGCAGGCCTTCGAGTAGTTGGAAATAGCTTCCGGACGATAAAGTGGGACATACCTCGTTGATTATATCTATTCACCTTGTTGGTGGTGGTTTTCGGATAACTGAGTTCCCTAGACATTTTGAGCGGCGTTCTCGGGAGATCTATGTTTCAGACTCCAGATTAGGAGATTTTATATGTGGCGGGATGAAGATCATCCAATGAACATGACTCAACATACCCCCGCTCGGGTTGCCCGCCGGGAATTTCCCTGGGTGGTTCCCAGCTCTTCGAAGCTACCTTAGCGTCGAACCGCATACAATTATAAGCCTTATTCAGTCGGCTTATCCAGAACGTAGGCTCACAATAGCCTTATCAGTACAAAAACCCTTTTTTAAGCCTTATTTCATCCTTAAAACATGCTTAAATAGCACTTACCTGAACCTTTTTGTACTGATAAGGCTATTGTGAGCCTACGTTCTGGATAAGCCGGCTGAATAAGGCTTATAATTGGTATGCGGTTCGACGCTAAGGTAGGCCTAGGTGTAAACCGGTCTACATGTAATATGTACGGTACATGTATGTACTTCTACAAGCGGAAGGCCGAACTTGAGTTATCGATAAAGGTCAGAGTTACATTTTATTAATTAGCAATACAGTCGCCCTCCGATGTAACGAATGCCACTATACCGAATATTTGCTGTACCGAACCACTTGGGCCAGCTTCTTTTTTGTTTCAGCAAAGAATTTAGTCTGCTATACCGAATAATACCGAATAATCTGCTGTATCGAACAAAAAATGGCCCAATATGCACGTTCGTTATAGCGGAGGGCGACTGTACTACATGTACGTACGTGACGTTATGCTTGCTGCTACAGTAGACTCTCGCTATAAGGATACGGTCCGGACCGGAAACTCGTATTCTTATAGCGAATAGTTATATCCTTGCAGCAAGTTCAGGGTTAGGTTTTCCAGGAACAATGAGAAAAATTACGGTCTAGAAATACCCAGAGATTTGCGAGAGTGGGGTCTAATACCTATTCCATTTTGGTCAGGGGCAGGATAGTCTGCTTTTTGTAACTTAAGATTTTATTTGTTTTTTTTGGAGGGGAGAACTACAAATCCACACATCAAAGTCACTTTCTATAAGGATACCCACACAAAATATCACCAAAACCATAAGGATATTCTTATAATCAATTATCCTTAAAACCCCGTACAAATTCGTTAAGACTGGCCAGTGATATCCTTATAGCGGGTATACCCTTATATCAAATATCCTTATAGCGAGAGTCTACTGTATCGAAACAAGAATTAACAGAGCCAACCCACAAATTGATAATTTAGAAGTGACACGTGACTGGGTTACACAAAGGACAGGTACCTACATGCAATAAACTGGTGGAACTTCAACGGAATCAACGACAACTCACCTAAGCTTCGTCAACTACAAATTGGCCATGAAGGCCATAAACTCCTGGCTACTTATTGCAGTTACTAATATTCTTCTCCCCATTGCAATACTTATATTCGCAAAAGGGTTCTTCCCGTATAAACCAGTCTTCCCGGGTCTTGCTGTTCTCGATGCCACCTCAGAGCCTCCACCTCCGGCGCCTTTTGAGAAGGTTATTTTTATGGTCGTTGATGCACTTCGAAGGTATATTGTATCTCTGGGGGTTCTATAAATGTGACTAAATCCTCGATAGCGATTTTGTATTCTCTGAAAATTCCGGATTCAAGTTTACCCAGAGGTTCATAGCTTGACCCTTACCCCACATATTCACACCTCCGAATACTTGTTAATAATTTACAGTCTCATACGCTCAGGTTCAGCTGTGCCGTTTACTGCACATGCGACCTCTCCGACAATTACAATGCCACGGGTGAAGGCTCTCACGACTGGCTCAATCCCAAGCTTCCTAGATGTGATTCTCAACTTCGCGGAATCGGACACGTCGTCAACTCTAGCGAATCAAGACAGCTGGTTGGCGCAAATTCGCCAACGTGATGGGAAGATAACAATGTTTGGAGACGATACGTGGCTTAAGCTGTTTCCAGGCATGTTTGCGCGTTCAGACGGGACTTCGAGTTTCTTCGTCTCGGTACGCAGGGCCGGGAGAACCCTAACCCTTGACGCTCATTTTCTAACAGTATTGTGTAGGATTTTACGGAGGTAGATAATAATGTTACTCGACATCATAAAGATGAGCTTTTGCAAACTGATTGGGATGCAATGATTATGCATTATTTGGGTCTTGACCATATCGGCCACAAATCTGGACCACGAAGCCCTTACATGAAACCCAAGCAGGAGGAAATGGACAATATAGTCCAAGAGTTCTACAATGCCCTTATAGCTCTTCCCCATCTAGAATCGACTCTCTTTGTTCTTGCTGGGGACCATGGTATGAATGACGCCGGTAACCATGGAGGCTCGGCACCTGGTGAAACATCGCCGGCACTTGTTCTCATCTCTCCAAAATTCGAAAAGGCCTTCCCTGGAGGTGGAAGGGAGTGCCCAGCATTGCCGAAGGAAGAGTTCGACTTTTACACTACCGTCGAACAATCGGATATCGTTCCGACACTTGCTGGGCTTCTCGGCTTCCCTGTGCCAAAAAACAATCTTGGAGTTTTTATTCCTTCATTGCTTGGAATGTGGAAAGGTAAGCTCCCCGGTGTTTCTTAGCTGTTTATCTCACTTAAATGGGCCAAATACTAAAAAACTTAAAGCATCCGATAGGGTTGAACTCATGTTACGAAATGCTCAGCAATTGCTTGCAATTGTTAGAGCAGCATATCCTGATTTTGATGATAAAGGCTCACTCAGCGATTGCATCAAAGCCAGTACCAATGTCGAGGAATTGAGTTGCTGGTGGAAAAAGTCTCAAGGGGCTTATGAAAACTTCAAGATGAATGGCGTGAACCAAGACGTCACTCTTGAATTACTTTCTGTCTTCTCTACCCGGTGTCAAGATGTTCTCTCAATGGCTGCAAGTAATTACAATCTCGAATTGATGACCACCGGGACCGTTTTGACATTTCTCTCATCCATACTTTCTATTTTTGGTATTTTCCGTTCCTCGGAGAACTCAAGACTTGCAAATTTATTTTTTCCTTTATCAACTCTGCTATATGGTGTCATGATGTTCGCCAGTAGCTATGTTGAGGAAGAACATCACTTCTGGTACTGGGTTGCTTCAGGGTGGTTTGTTTGCATCTTCGTCAAAGGGTATGTTCTCTATATATCACCAAACAAAATTTTGCTGACAGAAAAAGGCATAAGAAAATCGGTGCGCTACCTTCATTAGCAATTTTGACCCTGCTAAGGGTAGCTCGTCGTTGGAATCAGACAGGTCAAAAGCATGCTGGTTCATCTGACATCTCTAAAGACTTTCTCCAAAGATATCCTAGTATCTTGTGGTTCCTAGTCATAGTCGCTTACCTTGTAATTTTCCTTCGACTATCCAATAGGACTTTTCGTAGGGCTGGGCGCGAGGTGGCTTTCGTCTTTGCTTTCGTAGTTATGGCATCAGCCTTGGCGTTTAAGTTCGCGTTCGCTGCCCAAGACACACCTGAGCTGATACCTTGGGATTTAGTTCCCGTAGCTGAATGGTTGGAGGATATACCGCTAGTAAATCTTGCTAGATCAACATTTGGCGCTATTCTTGTTGGTATTTTATATACAATATCCTTCGAGATCCCAAAGAGTGTCCCGTATAGTATGCTTGCCTTGAACAGTCTGAGTTTTTAGGATATATATACTAACTGCTTAGATAATCCTACTTCTCTAAATTCAGCAGTTGTCTTTATGGATTTTATTATAGCCTTCTTGGTTACTCAAACAAGATTGGTCAACATACCACTCTTCTTGTTATTGCAGCTTGTTGCTTGGCTTCTCGGTACTATGCGACTGTCTGCAACGGAAATTACAATTTCCACTATGATATTATCGCACTTCTCCTTTTTCGCATTCGGCGGGGCCAATGCTATCTCCTCCGTCGATCTTTCCAACGCATATAATGGTGTATCTGGCTACAACGTAGTCATTGTCGCTATTCTAACACTCGTCAGTAACTGGATTGGACCCATTTACTGGAGTTGCTATGGAATTATCCTATTGACACGGAGACGTGTCTTGGATAAGTCCGCGTACTTGAGACATACGATCATATTAAGCTCGTTCTATTGTATCACGGTGGCATTCGTTATGGTTGCCTGTACAGTACTGAGGACGCATCTTTTCATATGGACCGTTTTCTCCCCCAAGTTTTTATACAGTATGGCTTGGGTGTTGGGGTACCATATATTGATAAACTTGGGCCTTGGTGGTATAATGGGGTGGGCTGGTAAGCGATGTTTTATTTGATTTGGATGGATATAATACCTGGCCCTAGTGTGCTACAGGCAGCTCATATAAATAGAGCGTTGAATTTGTCGTTTAGGGACCTGTTTTTAGTGTTTAGTTTAAAATAGACTACATGACTTTGACTTAAGCATACTTTACTCGACCAAACTACAGGAAGTATTGTAGCTTAAGGACTTGAGTACATTCATGTGCATGTTCCAGTGCTAAATACATGTACCTCTCCAGTAGATAAAAGGGAAGAAGCGCAAAACACTCAAGAGACTTACATGTTCCCTGGATGGACTCTGTTTCGGCCGGTCCAGATCCGGTGTTGCGAGGTTGAGGAAGTCTCTTACGTCTAGGCTGTTTAACCACACGCTTACAATACTTGTTTTTGTAACCTTGGCCAAGCTTTGGTTTGTGGGATATCTTGGCAGTGCCTGTGGGCAATGATATGTCTGACACTTATTTCTTGGTGTAAAACCACTCTCATTTATATGCGATTTTCTAATCCAAAGGTCTATTAATACCTCAACACATAGATGGCGGCGAGAGAAACAATGCGAATCTAATCCGCATGTAGTATATACATGTATATTAAGATCTAGAGAAACAGGAAGTTTGATTGGTGTAGCATTGGAGATTAGATGGGAGTATACTGGCTCATAGATTTTTATCGCCATCATAGCAACCCTGCGAATAAGTCATCAATCTCATCTGCCTTCTTCCCCTTCTTCTTTTTCTTCGCTCCTTCCTTTTCGTCGGATTTCCTTTTAGACTTCTTCTCCCGCCTTTCCTCCCTCACAGGCGGCGGTGAAGGCACCCGTGATGGTGGCAATGAAGATACCGACGGCTTTACCGCTTTCTTCTTTTTCTTTGCGGTCTTCCCCTCCCTCTTTGGGTCTTTTACGGCAGCTACTACTGTATCTGGTCTCGCAGTAGGCTTTACAGGTGGACGCCGGATTACCAACGGCGTCTCACTTACTACTGCCTCTTGGTCTTCTTCCTCGACTACAGCCATTTCTTCCACTGCTATTTCCTCCTCTTCTTCTTCCTCCTCGACCAGCTCCTCTCTTCGAACGATAGCTTCCCCGAAGTCCTCGCCGCCATCGGCCAGCTCCACCAGGGTTTCCCTCTTCTGGTAGCTAGTCTCCTTAACCACAACCTTAGCCACCTCCTTCACTTTCACCTTCACCACAAGCGCCTCCTTCTTCTCCAGCCCAACAATAGCATGCACCCTCGCCAGTATCGCCAGCAGCGTCAGCCCCAGCGGCGCAAACTGCGTATCCGCAACAACACTCGTAAAGGCTCTATCTCGCACACGTGATCAGTCCCCTCTCACCTGGCTCAATCTTATTACAGCAACTTACGAGTAACAACTCGGTACCAGAACCCGGCGCATGTACTCTACCCTCTTGTTGGCGTCTCCGTCTTCCGCGGATGGGTGGAGGAGCTTGCGGATGTTGCGCCGCAGCATGCCGAACCATTTCCACCATTTGCCGGAGCGGTGCTGGTTCTTGTTGCGGTGGAAAAGAAGGTGGAGGAGGTCGGATTCGGGTTGGAGGTCGGTTAGTGGGAGGGGTGTGTCTATAGAGGCTGCCATTGGCGTTCGGTGTATGGTATCGCCGGATTGTGCGCGCGGTAGGATTTGAGCTCTCGTGAAGTTTGTAGACGGAGAGTGGTAATGAGAGGGTAACCCTGTTTTTTTTCGCGAGTTAGGGCTTGCTTGGCATTACATGCTCAATGATCATTGACGGCTTTGGTCCTCAGATATATAAGTTACTTATACGATATCAGACGCAGAGTGAGCATTTCAAAAGCAAGAATTTTCAGATTATGATAGCTACAAACTACTTCATATAAATTATGCTCTACGAAGTCTACGTCCATCCGTGGATATAAACCCGATTAAATAAATGTCCCAGTCCGGCAAAAGAAAGCTGCACATACATATTCTCTACATGCAATTCCCCTCCAAAGGGCTCCAAAAAGCAATCCCCGCCAAGTAATGCTTAATCCCACCAAGCGCCGGTCAAGCCAAAAGAAAGGCCCACCACAGGGGTCAACCTAGCGCCCCTGAGGCTCCCCAGCGCCCACCACACGAGTCCGAACGCATGACGACACACACCGACACCACCGCCATTCCTCACCACCAACACCAACACCACCGCCAAAAGCAATGCCGAACCCCACCAGCGGAAGAAGAACAGGTCCCTTCCCCCCCACCTCTCCCCGCGCACGCACAAACACAACCACTAACACCCCCCACAGGAGAAGCCGACATCGCGGCCATGGAGGCCACCAAAGGCGCTGTCAACGGCGCCGCCAGAGTGAGTCCCCCGCGCAGCAGCAACAGCACCAGCAACACCTTGCTAAACGAGAGTATGCGCAGTGGGGTGCCGTATCCGTCGTCGCCGGTGTAATCGCCTACTTCACGTCTCCGCTCTTCCGGGGATTGACGCCCCAGTTCAAGGTGTACCTGTGGATGTGCCCCACCACAATTGGGAGCATGGTGGAGGCGGATCGGTATTGAACCTCCCCCCGCCCCAATACCCTACTACTACCCCGGCCCCCTCGAACCCGAAACCCCCTCGTTGTGTTCGTACAATGGAAAGCATTGGCTTACTTGTACATGTCTGGGTGGGGGTGTATGGGGGGGAAAGACGATTGCGTATCTATGAGAACATGGTTCGGCACGAGCGGCGCGAGCAGCTCGAGGCCGCTCATGAGAAGCAGATGCTGGACGAGATGGCAGAGCTGGAGATTCTCGAGAACCGTGCAAAGAAATCGCCGTAAGGCGGGGGGAGGTGAGTGATAGACATGGGCCTTCCAAGGATTGGTTCGAAAGGGCCGAGGTTATGGCCATAGGCCGGATACATGTACGATGTACTCTACATATGTACGTAGAGTCTCTACGCATACCAACCTGCATACTTCCGGAGAATCATCGTGCTTTGTTGGTTGGAAGCCAATCAAAGAGCAAGGGTTTATAGCTGTGCAGTAGTAGAGTATTAGTACTCCGATGCAGGGTAGAGGAACCCAGGATAACCATTCTCTCCAATAGATCAAGTGCCTGAATCCCGACAACCTAACTTCATCCAACACCGGGCCATTCACAGAGGTCTTCTTTGTTTAGCAATATAATAAATATTTTTTGGATATCTGCATCCACTTATGGTGGCTCATCTTATATACAGGAATCTTAGCAGTTAAATAATAACAGTGTCTAAGCTAAAGAAAATTAAAACATACACCCAAACATTCCTTAAAAAATAATCAAAAAGCTAAATACTGTAGCTATGCTTTTTTCGCAGCCCAATGAAGTTAACGATTAAAAGGCGTCCTTCACAAAATAGAAGGAGCCATCTCCAGCGTATCAAACAGATAAAACAGCCATGCCCGATCGACATGTCAATGATTGCTCCCGTCAAAAAAAAAAAAAAAAAAAACACAACTCCAAAATGACCCAATCTTTTTTTTTTTCGGTCTTCGCAGACCAACAATCAAAAAGGGAAAGAAAGAACAGATATTGCGCCGCCCAACTTTGCAATACTAATAACAATAACTATAAAGATAGTCATTAAAGGGGAATTTTTACAGCAGAACAAAAGTCATTATGTTGGTAGGTCCTTTAGTGTCATTAAACTTCGTGTTGTGAGAGACGTTTAAATCCAGCACCAGTTGGGGTGTTCCGTCTCCATGGGAACCATGACGAGGTGGGTTTCTCGTTATAGTTGGTGTTTTTGAGGTGGAGTCTTTTGTATATAATGAAACCGGTTCCGTAAAGGCAGCCTGCCAGCGCGAACCCAGCGAAGGTGATCAAGAGCCAATGTTGACCCATCCAGAAGATGGCTTTTGCGTCACCCGCGTGCCAAGACGAGCCTTTGTAGACAGCGAAGAAACTCCATGAGTTTTTGTTGTACCTTGGATGAAATCAGTACAATTACAATGAGATTGAGCGCTAGATTAAACTCACTCGTCAGGCATAAGGACTCGCACTCGTCCTTCCTCAGTTGTTCCCCAGCGGATGTATTCCTTCCAAATCACGCTAAGGAACAACGGCCCGGTGCCGTACATGACGGTAATGTAAGGAACACGCCAATTCCGGTTGTATAGTTGCAGACTCTCAATAACCCGCAGAAAGAAGGGGTGCTGCGGCACAGATCCCATCGCATCGTTTGAAATACCAGTTGGAACGGTTCTTCGCACCCAAGCATTGTATGAAAGGAGAGGGTCCAAGCGACGGTTGCAACCCTGAAAACGCACCCGAGACATGTCAGAAAAGAGAAGACGCAGTTTCTTTGCTACCCCGGGAACTTACATCGTCCAAATCAACATAGATTCCACCGTAATGTGCGAGGATAAAGTATCGAATAGAGTCTGCGCGCATGATGGGGTACGGGTAGTTGTCGAAGGTTTCCAGGAACCAGGGGTACTCAGTCGCGATGAATTCTCGTGATTTTGCGTCCGTCCAGAGCTATACCGTATGTCAACCAACCGAGTCCCCAAATAATATCTTCAGAGCCTCTTTTTCTTCATTTACTCTTTCTAACTGTCTTCATATGTTCCTTTTTTCTTTTTCTTTCCCCCGGAAGGACAACAAACTAACCTTGTATTCGTAGTCGCTGTGAAGATCGACACATGACTGCTGCGCGGCTTGCCACCTCTCTGGAATTGTTTCGTTTTGCCATGTCTGATGAATGATCTTTGGGATGAGCTGCGGCCGCTGATCGATAAGTATCGAGTTTGGAGCTGGAATTTCCGAGGAGTGGATAGCATCCGCTGAGCAGTCCTCGAACAGCAGTGTTATCAAAGTGAAGACGGCATTCACTAAGAACCCGATGACGATCAGGTTCACGATCAAAAAAGCAATAACTCCCTTCCTCATGATGAAAAACGATTTTCTTGATAACAACTGCAAACGTGAATAAGGGGGTAGGTGAAGACTTTGCTGGGGGGAGGGAGGAGGTGAAGATAAATATGGCCCCTAGTGAGTTCAGCCTTTCAGGAACGAATTGAGGCTGAAAAATACTAAGGCGGCAAAGGGAAAGGGAATGAGAGCAAGTAATAGCACAGAAGGTGAAAAGAAAGAGAAGACGGGAAACGATAAAGAAGATAAATGAACAGACACACGTACCAGAAGGGCAAGACAAACAGCAAACGGGCCAAACTACCAGCCTTCTCGACCAGGGTCAAAGGCTATCCCGGTGTAGACTACAGTACCTAGTAGAGTTCTGTCATTTGAAGGCAAGTGTCCGCGGGAAATTAAAGAATAAAAGTGGCTGTGCAGTTGAGGAAAGACCTCACAAGCTTACACGCCTAGAGTGGCGCAGGCTTGAGGGTGGAGTGGAGGGGTGGTAAGGGATGGGATAGGGATACATAGGGGAGTCGAGTTGTACTATTGTAGTAACACATTTCTCTGTCGCTCTCTCACCTCAGTTCCTCTGTAGCTTACTGCGATTCGCTGGTGGTTGAAAGAGCAGTGCATGAAGGCCCTGCGGAAGACCCTCCGAGTGTTTCACCAAGCCACGCGTTCCCCAAAGCTGCATGATTGAGCCCAATCCACAGATATAGGCTCTCTCTACGCGCTACAGGCCTCCGAATCCCGAGTCTGGTATACTTATGGGTTCAAAGCTCTACAGTATTGAATACTTGTATCTCGGGGGTCGGGCAAACTGAATGTCCGGACGTCGATACATCTTAGTCCTTACCTACGTGTATTTCAATAAAACAAAACTCGCAAAGTCCCCCCCCCCTAAAGTTAATCACCCTCATGCTCATAGGCTCCCGCGAGCCTCCCAATAATCTAATAATACCACGATTGTGCATGCGCGGCAGACAGAAGGACAATTTCCAAGATTAACACATGTCGTCTTTTCATAAGGACACCCCCATTATTACAACGACGCGTGGCTAATGGGCTGGTGCTTCAGGCTTTCCATAGATAAACACTTCATGATGACACTGCCATGGCTTCAGTGCTGTACATATATGTATGATATTCCACAGGCACCGACCGACCTTCGCATTCAAAGCGAACATCGCCTCTCGCGGCTAAAGCTAGGTTACCCATGCCAGCGTCGCAATCCATATCGGCTGATATTCTACTGCATCAAACATCTTCGGATTGATGGAGATCTGGTTGTTAATAGTTTTTCTAAGCTGAGATAAAGTTTGATACCGGTACAGACGGCAGTACGGAAGATTCCCCATTGTTCTCTATTCTAAGTAGAGTATGTCTCTCTGTCTATCATTGAAGATCCTTATATTGCCTATATGCGCTCTTTTATAGATTTTGTTAACTAATTGTTATGCACCCATGCAGCTGCCATCATGGATTTGGAATTGATATATAATCGACCCGCCCTATGAAATGACCCTTCCCAACGATGAGCTCCTACATAGCCAAAAAGGAATGAATACATCCCTATTGGATTTAGGAAAGACTGGGAGTCATACCCTCACGGAGCGACTAGTAATTGTGTTTTGTTATGATACATATATCTACTTGATCAGCCAAATCACGCCTGGGTCTAATGATAGACTAACCCCAACCCCTGGCCCTAGAAAGCCCATTGAAGAAATCTCCCAGTGCGTCGGGAAGCTTGTCTAAACTCTTCAATATGCACTAAACCTCACAATGGAAAAGTCCTCACAATGGAAAAGTGCACGATGAAGCTATTTATACAAGAGCATAGAAGATCTGATTCTTTCGTTAATCACCCTAGACACCCCCTCCTACTTAAAAATTTTCTTTGAGTGTTCGCTAGTCGAAGTTTTATGTAGTGGATTGCCAGTCACGCTCTTTTCCTTAGTATTGTGCAGGAACAATACTAAGAACTCCTCAAAGAACATAAGAATTCCCGGCTGACCGGTCACCTAATATTACAACAACAACGACAACTGAAATTCTGAAATTCTAGAATGAAAAAAATAAAACTCGCGCTATATTTTGTTTTGTCTGATTTCAATTATATGCCTTGTGATAAGTCCTTGTGATATAGACCCCTATCCAGCTCTTGTTAGTAGTCTTTATTCCCTATAATTTACAATTGCAACAATCGTATCTCCAACTTGGACTCGACACCACAACACAAGTTTCATAAGTCTAATGCTTCTCCATATCATCCTAGAATACCATCCGCCCCATAGAGAGTAGAGAGTACAACCCCATTCCCAATACATACCACTCCCCCATCCTTACTCCTATAAAAGTAACACATACTCCCCCGATTCGACATTCCTACCCACCGCCCACCCCCCAAAACAACTGCAGCCAAAACAGCCAACCTCCCCAAAGCAGTAATTATGGTCAACTTTATCTCACTAGTCATCACCCTGTTCCTTGTGTGCGTCTCCCTCGTTGGCTCCGTCCCGGTTGCCTCAGAGGAAGTCCGCGTCGCCAAGCGCACCACCGATTGGGGCAATTATGTCTTCATCGCCAGTCAGACCTCGGGCATTATTGGGCAAAACTTGGGCTTAATTGCATCTCCTGGTGTTTGTGCCCCCCCCCCCCCCCCCCCTCTCTCTTCTCCCCCCTTACCCTTCGCCAGTGGCATTCATGTAGAGTAGATACTGACCCATATGTGGATACATCTAGAACCGCGCCGCCTGTGCTGGAGAGCTTTGGGATCTCCAGGCCTGCGCAGCAGGCTATGTGAGTTTGTGTACCGAAGAGCGGTGGGCTTTTGAATGGTGCATTCAGCACGTGTATGCTCCACACCCCCCCTCTCCTTCTCAGTTATAATACTGATAAAGTGAACCTGCAGAATCACTGTCGCGACTTGCGGTGCTGAATGGCTCAACATGACCCTTGGATGTATGGGCGAGAGCTCGGCCTACTGCGTCGAGACCCTCTTCACCCTCGAGACGTGTGCGAACCTCATCGAGTACGACCCTGCGCCACCACTAGAATAGTAAAACCGCTATGCGTGTGCGTGTATGTGTGTGTGTGAAAGGAGGAGGAAAAATAGGAGTTAGGTGAGGACCATTACTGCACTTTTGGCCTTTGCTGTGGATATTTTGGATGTGGTATCTTTTCTAGTTCGGCTTGTAAATTTTGAATAGCGCTGTAGATCTCTGTAAATCTCTCTCTCGAATCTCTCTCTCGAGTCTTGTTTGTTAGTATATAGGGAAAGAAGAAAAACAAGGGGCGAAAAGTGCTGGGGAATATCATAACTCTACCGGCTTGGCTGGTGGTAGAGAATTTGAGCAGTTAGTGTTCATGTGCGATCGAGTGATGGTATGTGATTGCGGCTCTGCGCAGTGGCGAGTGATGACCTGTGATCACATGTCTCGGCGCAGGGCTGGGTGTGTGGACGACATGGCCCGTAGCCCTCGATGGGGCCCGGGAACAAGACATCGGAGTCCATTAGCGGGGTGTGTATCTAAAACTAATCCGTGCGCGCATCGTCAAAGGAGCGGTCTGGCATGAAGGCGTGGTTTCGAACACCGGCCACTCTCTTGTTTGGCGCAGCCTTAGCAGAGAAGGGACAGGGCCGTGGAAAACACGTGCACCCCACCATGCGGTCCCCTCCAGCATAGAGTACCAACACAGGAGTATTACAGTGATGGTCTTTTTTGACCCGGAATACTCTGGCAGGCAGGATACTAGTAGATTACATCTAATTTAGACAGCACTGTCAAGTGTCGGGATGTGATTGTCGTAGCCTTCGAGCTACATACAACCAATGAGTTAACAACAAATATCAAGATGTGGCCTATCACTCATGCCGCTGGGAGTGCGCACACAAAATCGAAGAGATCATTTTTCTCGATATTTGATTCAAACCTCGCCGGGGGATCGGTAAGGCACTGCTAGGGCCCGGTTATAGCTATTCGCTTGTCTCTCCCGCAGAATGACTTGTTCCTAAGCTTTAAAAGCCCATCACCTGGCGACCCTAGGCCACAGCCCCACGATATCACCAGCTTAAACACAATATTGGCTTCGTTATATCTACGGCTCTCGATACGAAAGGCCGGGTAGACTTTGTGTGTTGTGCAGCCCCCAAGGATCGAATGTAATTCACACCTGGCCCCATTTTCAAGCAGGTACGTCCTGGGCTTTACAGCTCGTTAGCTGCATAGACCATCTGGTTTAGGCTGGCCTAAGCTCGTTCTAAGCCCCTCCTACTGTCCGTAGGGGATAGGCACAAGACTAAATCTAGCGATAGGCATATACATACATGTATCAACTTACTGGTCTTTACAGTGAGAGCTTCGTTAGATAAACGTTAGGCACAAGCTACGCTAGGCGACAGCAGGTAGCCTATCAACCAGGGATGCTTGATTTACGCTGTTCTAGCTTGTATTGAATCAACGAGTTTCTGTCTAGACCAGTTCTTACTGCTTGTTCCACGAAGTTATGCGACTTAGCTTGCTTAGAGGACGCAAATTAATCCCTGGTCTCGAGGAATAGACAATTCATCATTCATCGGTGTTATCAGTCCATGTCAATCCATTTTATTTGCTGATAGCTAAGCACAGATTCTTTTATACCAGGTCGCAAGTCTTGTTCGCCACTAATCAACGATATCTAGTAACCATGGCGCAATAATCAATTCTAAACTCTCAACCTTTTTCTATAAACCACAAAACTCCAGGTATCACAATCTTACAACACACCCTTCGTACTCGGCACCTCATCACCCCCAGTCCTCGTCGTCGCTTCCCTCACCGCAATCGCCAATGCCTTAAATGCGCTCTCCGCCCTATGGTGATCATTGAATCCCCTCAGGCAATCCACGTGCATGGTGATTCCCGCAGCCTGCGCAAACGACTCCATCACATGCGGGATCATCTCGCACGACAAGTCGCCAATCTTCTCCCGCTTCAATCCCAACTCAACCACGGCAAATGGGCGTGACGACAGGTCCACCACCGCGCGCGACAGCGCCTCGTCCAGCGGTGCAAACCCGTTCCCAAATCGCTTGTAGCCACGGATGGGGCCCAGGGCCTTCTTGAAGGCTTCGCCGAGCGCAATTCCGCAGTCCTCGGCTGTGTGGTGGTCGTCGACTGGGGACTTGTTAACTTCAATTCAATTCGGGGAGGGTAAGGGAGGAGAGGGGGTGTACTGTGAAGATCACCCTGGCAGACAAGACTCAGACTCCATCCGCTGTGTTTCGCGAGCGCATGTAGCATGTGGTCCAGGAACCCAATTCCCGAATTGACGGCGATGGTCTGTGAGCTTGATGCCTGCGTTGCGTGTGCGGTGTCGGTCGCGCCGGGGGTAGCCTCAAGGAGGGTCTCCAATGAGCCGCCGTCGAGCGAGAGGGCGATCTTGACTTTTGTCTCGTTTGTGTTGCGGCTTACAACCGCTGTGCGGGGGGCATATGTTTGTGCTGACATTTTTTCAGACTATTGGTATCGAGGAATTGGAATTGGCAGGGAGCTGGAGAGGTTCAGGAGAGGTAGGGTAGAGCAGAGCAGGTTGGGCACCTTGTTTACTCACTCTAGTGGCGGGGTGTTTGGCGGGGTGAAAAGAAATTTTGAGCACCCCTATCGATAAAGGAAATGATGTGAGCCATGTCATCACGTGATGGGGCGCGAGTGATGGCTTGTGGAGTGCCATCTTGATTATCATGCACGGGAATCTACCAGTTACTACATAAATATAGATATTCACATCTATTCCTATCTGGAGTAATACTATATTCTGCGATGCGATCTCTTGGAGCCCGCACTTGACCCTTTAATTCGCCAGCTCGTTTCCTGGAACATGGCTTTTGTCCCGAATATATGGCCGCTAACTAATGAAGGAAGGGGATAGGCAAAGATATATGCGGGGTTATATAAGTACCCGCAGGTCCTGATGCAATGATCATTTCTTCGCCAACCAACCAGAACAGCTAGGTGAGGAAGTCAACTACAGCTATTTAAATACGGGTTCCTCGACTAGTTATTATCCTGAGAAGAGTGGGGAGTTGCTGCTCTTGAAACTGGTGTTGATTAGGGACCGAGATTCTAACCAATATCGCCCCAGAACCACATATTTAACTGACAGAGACAGGATTTGATCCTATGGACTAACTGTGGTTATCATCGAACTTTAAATCCTAGGCCGGTACCTTCACCAAAGCTGTACTATATAAGATAAACACTTCCGCCCCCTACTGCGCCTGAAAGAGATCATTCATTCCTGGCCATGAGACATTGGTTTGAGGTCATTTACGGTGCTAAAAAAATGCGGCTTTTGGCGTTGACAGGTTGACAGGCTGCATCACCATTCCAGGATGCTCGAGTGTAGTAGCTATTGCTGCTAGAAGGACCGTGGTACTTATGCTTTTACCTATGGCGGGTATCCGCATTTCCGGATACCCCTCCTCTGGTTGATTAATCATGACCACAACGAATGGCCACTCTTCACCTCCGGAAAATACTGCCGAAGCTCAACCAGAAGGAAATTATGGCGTCAGGAGCGGAAGTAGAAGATCGAATGAAAGGGGAGAGAAGAGAGCCACGCGGTGGAGATGCGCGATCAGATCATACTTTACGTACAGTTTCTGGAGGCGGGGAAATGATTGATAGCTATCATAATTATAATCAATTGACCGTCTGTACCTAGGCACAATACTTGCGTCGCCTCCAAAGGAAATCCCTGTCGAGCTGGCTGCTCTGCGAAGCTTGCATCTGGATCGGGTTCTACCTTGTAAAGTAGATAGAGTTCCCCATTCAAGTGCATAAAGTACATAATCGGGCGGTTCTGGCTTGCCACTTAATCTGTTATCAGACGGAGGCGCCAGTACTGCTCCAAATCTGGAGCCCTGCTTAATATATTTTTATGAAAAGTTGATAATCTATATCGGGACCACCGAGTCCACATCTGAGATATATATGATGGATTTGATTGCGGTGTCAATACCTACAGTAAAAGCAAATTAGCCCCCAAGTAAAAAAGTCTACCACCGGCCTCAGCAGCAGTCCATTCTTGGTCGAGCTGCAAACCTCAGTGAGAAAATTAAACCTCAGTGTAAAGAAGCAAACAACATGCATCGTACGCCGCACAACAGATATGTAGAAGAAATAAGCAAATAACTCCAGCAAGCCATCTTTAACGGAGGCCGCCAGCGCCCTTCGCCAATTGCACTATCAACCCTCGTGCCATACGATAGGAATCTGGAGACCTGCAAAAAGCTCAACTAAAGCCTCCGACTACGATAGATATCGCAATAAAAAAATGGTTCCTATCCCCCAGATCATGCGGAGGTACAACAGTCGAGTACTTATCACAACCCATCCGCCGGAGGCCTCCGGTCGTGCATCCCAACCAAGCTTTGAAGCGAGCGACGTTTTCTTTCCAGAAGACTGCGAGGAGCTTCCCTAGCTATGTACCTAGCCCCCCTTGATGTAGTTCTTTTTTTTCTCTCCCGAGTCCCATCGCGACAACGATGTAGGTAGCGTGCATGTAGGTTAGTTAGCTGTGTGTTCCCGACAACCTGTCAAGCGAAGAACATCGGAACTTCTTCGTTGATACGGCAAGTCGCCCCCCGTATCCCCCTCGTACCGGGAACGTTAGGCTACCAGGAAGGTCGTCAACGGCGGCCTCCGCTAACGAGTCGTGTGTTCCTGTAGGCTAGCACTAAAACTAGGCTAGCAAGCTGCAAAAGTACCTACTCTAATGCGCCTCAGCTCCCATGCGAGCGATATTTGTGTCTTCTCTTGCGTGTGGAAGGGCTCCCAAGTGGTAAGGTTGTGTCTGATATCGAGCAATGATTGTAACAACCCTAACAATCCAATGATAATACTGCCCAGTCATGGCTTTCCAAAGTGCTCCAAAGTGTAGGAAGTTAGTTCGGTGATGCCTGCGGAAAGCTTCCCTCTGGGATGGTGCCGCCAACCGTAACGAGCCAATTGTACTCTAACTCTAACCCTACATGTAGAAACAATCCTTACCTTACCCACTCACATGCTACGGATAAGCCGTTGATGGGATAGATTTCTGCGAGCGAGAAAAGAAGGCGCCTAGGCAACTACTCTAGCTACCAAAAAACACTCCCACTTTGACCTGGCATGCCTGATCAACAACGCCCGCCAAATTAATGCTAGCCAGCTGGGTATTAGAGGACCCACTGGAAATACGGAGGATCTAGACGAAGATAGCAAGTCTGCAGGGCCCAAAGAAAATATTTCCTAGTGAGCAGCCTTGAGTGTTCGTGTGCTCTGTTCTCCCCTTTTTTCTCTCTCTTGAACTCGGCTTCCTCAAGTTCGAACACACTCGTTTTTTCGCCAGGGCTAGTGATTACTTTGTGGGACCCATACCAATCATAAAAACCTGCTCGGGGGACCTCACCAGATACACACCTAGGCCCATCCACTCTTTTTATAATATCCGGAAGATCTCCTCCCACGGACGATACCACGGACGACAACATACCCGGGAACTTCGTCTAGAATCCTCGGTTCCTTTGAAAAGAAGTACCCACTCCCTGCGCCGCTGACGAGGTCTGGTACCTGGGTTTTCTGAATATTATATCTATCGAGAGACGCACGCACTCTTCCATCCCCAACTCGTCAATTTCCAGACCATCACGGCATACACGACGAACTCTCGGCCATCATGACTTGGGTAGAGCGCTTCAACAGGCGCGTTGCAACCAGCCCTGTGGGGAGGTACTTTCAGTTGGAGTTTTCAGGACACAGAAAGGAGAGGAAGGGATCACGGTTCTTTACTGAGATTCGTGCGGGGTTGGCTACGTGAGTTGATGCTCTATTCTACTCTTCTGATTATTGAACTTCAAAGGGGACCAATGCTTATCGTGGGGATCTATGCAGGTTTTTTGCTATGGCGTCAGTACTTCCTTGATTAGATATATTTGCGAGCTTGAGGCTTAACCCACGGGTAACCGTTACTAACTTACGCCCTGTTCAACATCTACAGTTACATCATTTCTGTAAGTTACACAACCTCATTGATAATCTTCAAGGGGCAAGCGCTGATAATATACTGTTTATAGGTAAATGCAAACATCACTTCACAATCTGGCGGGACCTGTGTTTGCAATGCCGGTCCAGACGACCCGATATGCGCAAACGATACTGATTACCTCCTTTGCGTCGGTGTCGTCAATCGTGATCTTGTTACCGCTACTGCTGCTATCTCCGCTCTCACGTCTTTTTTTATGGGTCTCGGCGCCAATATGCCAATTGCTTGCGCTCCTGGTATGGGACTTAACGCTTACTTCGCATACCAAGTTGTCGGTTTCCACGGCTCTGGCCCAGTCCCCTATAGTCTTGCTGTAACTGCTGTTTTCGTAGAAGGTTTTATCTTTGTTGCGCTTTCTATTTTCGGGATGCGGCAATGGCTTGCGAGAGCCATTCCTGCCTCTATCAAACTCGCAACAGGAGCAGGAATTGGTTTATACTTGGCGCTTATTGGACTTACCTACTCTGCCGGTATTGGTGCCGTGACTGGTGCTACCTCAACACCTTTGGAACTTGCCGGATGTATTGATGAGTACAAGAACGCGGATACAGGAATGTGTGAAAGTCACAAATTGCGAAACCCGACCTTGTGGATTGGTATTTTCTGTGGCGGAATCTTCACGGCATTTTTGATGATGTATAGAGTCAAGGGTGCGATTATCGCTGGTATTGCGTTGGTTTCGATTATCAGTTGGCCTAGGGGAACGGAGGTTACCTACTTCCCGTATACTGAGACTGGGAATTCCAACTTTGACTTTTTCAAGAAAGTTGTTGCGTTCCACCCGGTAAGTCCTTTAGCTGGTAAAAATTAGGGGGGGCTGGTTGCTGATGTTCCCGTGTACAGATTGAAAAGATTCTTGTTGCCCAGGAGTGGAATCTGAGTGGTGCTGGAAGCCAATTTGGTTTGGGTGAGTGATTTTTTATGATTCCCTCAACTCTAAACTAACCGTGAGTGATAGCCCTCGTCACCTTCCTCTATGTCGATATCCTCGACTGTACTGGTACCCTCTACTCCATGGCTCATTTTGCCAACCTCATCGACGAACGCACCCAAGATTTCGAGGGCTCAGCCGTCGCCTACCTCGTCGATGCCATTGGTGTTTCCATTGGTTCCCTCTTTGGATGTCCTCCCGTCACCGCCTACATTGAATCCGGAGCTGGTATCTCAGAAGGTGGAATGACTGGTATCACCGCCATGGTTACTGGTATCTGCTTCTTTATCTCTCTCTTCTTTGCACCAATCTTCGCATCCATCCCACCATGGGCCACAGGGTGCACCCTTATTATCGTCGGAAGTATGATGATGAAGGCGGCGGCAGACATCAACTGGGCCTACCCCGGTGATGGAATCCCTGCATTCGTCACCATCATGGTGATGCCGTTCACATACTCTATCGCATATGGATTGATTGCTGGAATCATCACCTATATCGTCCTCAATGTCGGTGTCTGGGTTATTAAGAAGGCTTCTGGGGGAAGGATTGTGCCATACGGCGAGGAGATGAAAGATCCGTGGACTTGGAAAATTCCAGGTGGGTTCTTCCCTAAGTGGGTCGTTAGAGCCAGCAGGGGTGATAAAACTTTCTGGAAGAGCGATGAGATCGATGGAGAAAGCAATGTCGATGGGAGTGCGAGGAGAAGCGGGAGTGCGGGTGGGGCCGAAGGGAATAAATACGGTGAGCCTTTTGCGGAGGAGAAGAAGGCTTAAACTTTTCAACCACAGGTTTAGATACGAGGGCGGAATCCTCTCCGGTTTAGTGCGGGGTCCATTTCTAGATGCGGATGATACCATGGTCATGGGTTAAATATTGACGGGCCCTGTCGATCTTCTTTTCGGTTCTTTTGGAAGGGTGGTAAGCTTTTTAGCGAAGTAGAATGCAATAGTTTAGTTATACTTATGTGCCTCATACGTTATATATGGACCTGAATGAATTATTTAATGCAAAAACTAGTGGTGGCTTTTGAGTGATTTTGGAAGGCCTAGGATCTGATTTACAATAACACCGGTGTTTAAGCCTTTGGATTGGTCCTCCATTTGACAAGACAGCTCTCGTACTTCATCAAACGAAATTTCGAAGTTGAAGAGTGCGTGTGGAGGAACATTGTTTCTGAGCTAGTGTGTGGTTCAGGATGTTGTTATGAAACATGCTCGTGATAGTTAGGCTTCTGATGACGTAGCTACATGTAGGCTCAGCAGTCGTAGGTTAGAACTCGTAGCTGCGATCTGTCCTACGGTACCGCCTCCTCCCCCGCCTCCACACACAAACAACCCTAGTCCACATCTAAAAAAATATTCGTTTTCGATCTAGATCTAAATACAGGGTATTTCGACAGGAGCCCATACCTCCCATTGCTTTGAGGGTCTGGAATGTTTGATACAGCTACAACATGGACATCAGTAGCCTGCAGGTGCACCGGCTTCAGCATATAATAGCATGAATTGATAGCTCGATTGGGTTATATCTACGTACAATCATATGAAGTTGAAATATAGGTATGGGAGCGTACTGCACCGGCCAAAGTTAGTGGGTGCATGTAGATTTCACCTCCGGTCTTAATGATAAGAGCAACCTGCTATGATATTAATGTTCAATAGCACTCTGCCATGCACTTATAATCTAGCACTGAATTTACCTGGATATTTCTGTTCCGTATTTCATTTGCTCGGGAAACATGCAAATGCATGACTCGCCCCGCTTCATAAGGGTAGTCGCTTTACAAAGGCGCAGGTTCTGGGTTTATGAGTACTCGTCCTGCAAGAGTACAACTTTCTCGTCTACAGACATGGACCCTGGCATATTAGGGCAAGTCGACAGTGTGATGTTTTCGTCGTCCCAGGTGTGACGTTCTTAGAAAAGACACGTTGTGTTAAAAACGCGGGATAGGGTAACTGATCACGAGCCTCCCATCTCGCCGTTAACTCCATATGCATCGTATCTTATTCTATAAGCTTTATCCTCCACTGAAGCTCCGGATCCGGTTGAGGTGAGCTTGAGTTCCCCGAGTGCTATTTCAGATAATGCAAGAATTGGGGAACGGACTCACACCACGAATGAAGGGCCCTGCCAAGTAAGACTTTCTGAATCTGAGCCATCTGCTTGAAAGTTAACCAGACCTATAGGGCTCGAATCATTATCACCATTGACATTAGAGGCCTAGCGAGAGCAATCTTGGACGATATTCTATGAAGCTATCAAGAAGCTCGGAACCCAAATATGCATTTCTCAATAGCAATCCCGCGATTCATTTCCGCCAGCTTTCGGCCTACTTACCGGGTAGATTGAGAGTTAAGGAATTAAGACAAGCTCTTAGACGTTTGATTCTGAACCCTTGCTATTAGCTGTTGCTTTGTCACCTCATGATCGAGTGATATCGGAAGAACCGGTCCCCGCAACAGTACCGGTAATTGAGCCGATCCGTCTTTTGGCCGTAACCAATCTAGGTATGTAACAATTACATGTATATTTGTCTTATGGTACCGGAAGTTTCTTTTTCTAATTAATACTCACTGAAATTGTGCGTACATGGTAGGTACACATCCTTACTTACCCGGTCACTCACAGAGATATATATAAAATTCTACAGTTGTGACTGTGAGACTGTGAGTGAAACCTTGGATCTCAATCAAAGCCACCGGCTTCCCCGAGTCAACAAATCCCGGGGCGTGACAAAACGCCCACCGACCACCGACTGGCACCTAATAGCGCAATTCCGGGTGCTATATTCCGTTTGACCGCTTATCGCAAGGCGATGGTGAGGACAACATGGATACCTAGGAATCGTAAACTGCACCCTCTCGGCTCCATATTTTTTTCATGCATATTGAATATGGGGGGCATAGAACGAGGTACAGTAACTCTGGGTGTGAAGTTCATTTCGTTAACTGCCTGTTATGTCACTGCAGGTCAATAATGCTCGTTGACATGGTACTGGTTGTGATTGCGAATTGGGGATTTGGGATTGGGTGTTGTTGCAGGCTATTTGACGCTTTTAAACGAGATGGGCCCTGCCTGCCCTAGCCCTGTGGGGGAATTCATGTGCAATATCGTGCGTGCAGGGCAGGAGAGGGCTTTACCGAAAACCTAATTCTCTACAACATGGCAATCGATATCCAAAGCAAAGCCTCCACTGCAAGAGAGAGAGGCAGACTACTCAGCCCACCTTTTCAGCACGGCATGTTTCTACTTCTTATCTTCAGATCTAGATCACAGCCTCGAATGCGGCCGCTTGGCAACGGCGTTAAAATAGTCTGTGGTGGTTGACTCTCATCCTGTGGCTTCGGCTAGGCTTTTAGCGGATAAAACTGACGACGTCTGTGGCGCACTACTGATTAAACAAAATTCGAGCTGAACATCTAGCGCAGTGCAGCCCTGTGGAGAGGGAGGGTTTTTTCACGGCCGCGATCGGCGGCACAGTGGATAGAAAATTTGGGAATTCTCACATCCTACGTAATGGTCTCTGCAGGGGGGTCATGGTTGGTGGTGGTAATTTTTTGTTCTTTCTCATTTCGGTTCTTGGGTTGGGTCCAGTACGAGAGACCGAGTGATCGCGGAGGTATCCACAATAGGACCCAACCGTATCGCCGGCGGAAAAATGGGAGGAAAAAAAAATCAAAAAAGTGGAAATCATCGCAGCAAAGAATAGAAAATATGGACTCGAAGGGGACGAATGAGAGAATGAGCATGGGCATAATAAGCGCAGTTACTTCTTCTTTCTCACCATTATCCATGTCCTTTAGGGGGTCAATTCCTCCTTTTGTCAGCTGAGCTGCAATATGGGCTCCTGAAACGTTATATACATGTCTACCTACATGCTCAACTTGTCATATCTGGTACAAATATCACATTCTCTGTTCCATCGCGTGGACTGGATTTTTGATAATGGTACGTTCTTAAGATCTTTGGCATCAGAATGGGAGGTCAATTTCCTGCACAGAGCAACTAATGCATTAGTTACATGTCAAGACGTCGAGAATCTACTGCTTTGGGAACAGAAGTAGAAATCTGAAGAAGAAGAAGAAGTCAAAGAAGGCCAGGCCAGGGCCGGATGCATATTCCGGTAGATTGGTGATAAGATCTTATTTTCTCGTCCTTCCCGCGCCGGTGACATACAGCTGTCCCACTGAGGGCAGGTGCAGTAGTTCTAGAGTACCACATCCAGTCTAATGCAGTAGATTTATACCCGCCGCGCACTAATAATTACTCTTCTCTTGGAGAAAACCAAACCTGGGACGAGCGCATTGACGTGACGGTAAATCTACCGTATTTTGTACACGTTGCAGAATATTTTTTATTTTTATTTTTATTAGTTGATACGGAGGGGAACTTTGAAGACCTTTTGGTTCCTTTTTTTACTTCTTATTTTTTGGACGCGCGCTGGGGAGATTGGGAAAGATTTAGATCTGAACGACATAAGGGCGATGGTAGCTGAGTAGCCAGTGAGCGCGCGTTAGGTGATACTAGTGGGGGGACAATAATCTTGAAAATAGTAGTAATGATAGAAACTAGTACCAAGCATTAGTTTTCCAAGATGTTTCCCCGTATTCTTTATGTCTTCTCATGTCGATAGGGGGGGGGGGGGGGGGGGGGGGGAACAGAGCGTCTATCCAGACAGAAGATGTGTCTCGGATCAAGCAGCACTCCGTAGATCGAAACCCCAAACCTTGATTTGACGCGACGAGAGAAACGCGGTCCCAAAAATAGCCAACGAAATTGAAGATCCGAAATGGGATAAATGGTAAATTCAGCGGGCACTAAAAACTTGCCACAATGAGCAAGGCGAAACACCACCTCTCCCACCTCCGTTCTCCCTCATACCCTGTAAGCTAGGCTACAGGATAGGGTGCTATGTACCGGTACCAGATGGAGTGTTTGTATATCAGGTATCTGATTGATGGTTGGGTCTGGGGTAGACCCAGTAAAGGGAGCGATATTGAGCTGGTAAACGAACGGACAACGCACACGTTGGAGATCAAGAGGCCCATGGAGGGCGTCATCTCGTGTGCAGCGGGGAGGAGGAGCTAATCGGTCCTCTAGTGATGTGAGGATGAGCTCGAGATCTCAAAACGTGAGTACTAAGGGAAAGATGGTATGGAAGCAACGACTGGTCAACTGTTAAGATGAGAAGATGACGGTTGATGTAAGGAGACCTGCAGCATATTAATCGGTGGAATAGACAATTATTGTACATGTACATGTAGGTGCTCAAGATATTAGAGAACAGTAGGTAGCAAGAGTAGCAGTAGTAGCTAATGTTTGCACCTGTGATCTACTGTACATACACCACCACCACACGGTCTCCATAGCTCGCTCGCCGCAGTTCATTCACTCACTCACTCCCTGGTCTTGGTGGAGTGGACTGGAGGCCACACTCTCTAATCCACCCCCCCAACATACAAAAGAACCCCTCCCCCGCCCCTCCGTACCCCCCTCCTTTTTTTTCCTTCCCTGACTGCGAGCATCATCACCATCTTCAACTCGGCCTCACACAACCCCTCTCCTCCATCAACGGCCCCTCACAGTTTAATTGTTTATAAAATATTCCAATATCTCCCTCTTGAGACAGAGCCCCTCCTCTCCCCTCACTTTAGATTCGCGCACTCTGCTACTTTCCCCCCTTCGAGAACAGTACGTGCATAGTAGCGGTTTCTCTCGCAGTAGAAAAGGCACATATCTGGACGCGTTCTAGTGCTTACTTGGCGCCTGTACCATCTGGTTTGTGCTCCTTACATGCACCATCCATATTCCTCCTCCTTCATT